TTGGAAACAAAGTAAATGTAAACAAACACTATATAGCCTCAAAACATTGTTAAACTCTAATTTTGATATCATGGATGGTCAGTCCTCGCATCCATAGTTCTGTCTATGCATTTGAGAGTGGTTCCATTTCTCCAGGCCCATCCCTCAGCTTTTTACCGAAACAGGGGCGGGGATACGCTTTGTTAGCTCAGCTGGTAGAGCACGGCGCTTGTAACGCCAAGGTAGTGGGTTCGATCCCCGGGACCACCCATACACAAAAATGTATGCACGCACGACTGTAAGTCGCTTTGGATAAAAGCGTCTGCTAAATGGCATATTAACTGCTGATTGCCGCTTTAAAGTAGTATTTGCGGTACAGGCAATATTGACAGGAATGGTGAATAGTTTCCCAATGTGTTGTCTGGCTTATAATCAGAGGTTACTGAAATGCTAGGACGGGTTGACACAGTGCATGGGAAAGTAAACTGAAAAACACAGTCAGAGAAATCCAAACACACATCCCATACATCTCTGGTTCAACAAACAGACCCTCTGAACCAACCGACTTCGTACACAACACATTGACTGATCCATGAATGAAGTGAGTCAGTTCAAAAACAGTTCATACAAGATCAGTTTTTTTTGTAAAACCCACATGGCAGTCATAGACGCTGATATTAATAAATAGACCTTGCATTGATAAATAGACAATAAAACATTATGCACTGCTGTTGTCCACATTTAGAAAATACTGTGTCTATAAACTTGCAATCAGCTAGTCTGTTATGAACAGATCAGTCAGTCAGTAGTCTGTTATGAACAGATCAGTCAGTTATTAGTCTGTTATGAACAGATCAGTCAGTTAATAGTCTGTTATGAACAGATCAGTCAGTCAGTAGTCTGTTATGAACAGATCAGTCAGTTAGTAGTCTGCTATGAACAGATCAGTCAATTAGTAGTCTGTTATGAACAGATCAGTCAGTCAGTAGTCTGTTATGAACAGATCAGTCAGTCAGTTAGTCTGTTATGAACAAATCAGTCAGTTAGTAGTCTGTTATGAACATATCAGTCAGTCAGTAAATAGTCTGTTATGAACAAATCAGTCAGTTAGTGGTCTGTTATGAACAGATCAGTCAGTTAATAGTCTGTTATGAACAGATCAGTCAGTTAGTAGTCTGTTATGAACAGATCAGTCAGTCAGTCTGCTATGAACAGATCAGTCAGTTAGTAGTCTGTTATGAACAGATCAGTCAGATAATAGTATGTTATGAACATATCAGTCAGTCAGTTAGTGGTCTGTTATGAACAGATCAGTCAGTTAATAGTCTGTTATGAACAGATCAGTCAGTTAGTAGTCTGTTATGAACATATCAGTCAGTTAGTAGTCTGTTATGAACAGATCAGTCAGTTAGTAGTCTGTTATGAACAGATCAGTCAGTCAGTTAGTTATGAACAGATCAGTCAGTTAGTAGTCTGTTATGAACAGATCAGTCAGATAATAGTATGTTATGAACAGATCAGTCAGTTAGTTAGTGGTCTGTTATGAACAGATCAGTCAGTTAGTAGTCTGTTATGAACATATCAGTCAGTTAGTAGTCTGTTATGAACAGATCAGTCAGTTAGTAGTCTGTTATGAACAGATCAGTCAGTCAGTTAGTTATGAACAGATCAGTCAGTTAGTAGTCTGTTATGAACAGATCAGTCAGTTAGTAGTCTGTTATGAACAGTTCAGTCAGTTAGTAGTCTGTTATGAACAGATCAGTCAGTTAATAGTATGTTATGAACAGATCAGTCAGTCAGTTAGTTATGAACAGATCAGTCAGTTAGTAGTCTGTTATGAACAGATCAGTCAGTTAATAGTCTGTTATGAACAGATCAGTCAGTTAGTAGTCTGTTATGAACAGATCAGTCAGTTAGTAGTCTGTAATGAACAGATCAGTCGGTCACTAGTCTATTAACAGATCAGTCAGTCAGTTAGTTATGAACAGATCAGTCAGTCAGTAGTCTGTTATGAACAGATCAGTCAGTTAGTAGTCTGTTATGAACAGATCAGTCAGTTAATAGTCTGTTATGAACAGATCAGTCAGTTAGTAGTCTGTTATGAACAGATCAGTCAGTTAGTAGTCTGTTATGAACAGATCAGTCGGTCACTAGTCTATTAACAGATCAGTCAGTCAGTTAGTTATGAACAGATCAGTCAGTTAGTAGTCTGTTATGAACAGATCAGTCAGTTAGTAGTCTGCTATGAACAGATCAGTCAGTTAGTAGTCTGTTATGAACAGATCAGTCAGTCAGTAGTCTGTTATGAACAGATCAGTCAGTTATTAGTCTGTTATGAACAGATCAGTCAGTTAGTAGTCTGCTATGAACAGATCAGTCAGTTAGTAGTCTGTTATGAACAGATCAGTCAGTCAGTAGTCTGTTATGAACCGATCAGTCAGTTATTAGTCTGTTATGAACAGATCAGTCAGTTAATAGTCTGTTATGAACAGATCAGTCAGTCAGTAGTCTGTTATGAACAGATCAGTCAGTTAGTAGTCTGCTATGAACAGATCAGTCAGTTAGTAGTCTGTTATGAACAGATCAGTCAGTCAGTAGTCTTATAACAGATCAGTCAGTTAGTAGTCTGTTATGAACAGATCAGTCAGTTAATAGTCTGTTATGAACAGATCAGTCATTCATACTCATGGGACAACACACTGGTCTATTCACGCCACTGACTGTCTGTACACCTGAACATGACCATGGGAGAGGGATTTAAATCCAGAGGTATTAATAAATTATTCATTAAGATACAAGTAACCTGTGCAGGTGTGTCGGGGTTAGATGTTCTCTACGGAACAATGAGAGGTTCTATACAGAGCAGAGCCTGGATTTCAGAGGGATACAACAGAATACAGTGTTTTATTCAATTCTGGATTTCATTCCCACCTCACCGTTGAACTTTCAAAGCTTGACATTTTTTAGCTCATCCAATGCTGAGTATATTTGACTGAATGTTTGTGGTGAGCTGCTTCTGTGGACATGCTATGCTGCTTCTGTGGACATGCTATATGGGGGAAACAACAAAGACACGGAGGAAAATGTGACCGTCATCAACCCTCTATTGACTATGTAAGACCTGCTGAGATAGATAGCAGATTATCCACATCTGGACACATCAGAGCGTGACATCATCGATCAATGTTTAATCAACAAACTAAGAGGCTCGTGTCAACTTGAGTGAAGTTTCAATAAAAACAAACAGTTTATGTTAAATATCTTTATTTATTTGCTTTGACTTAAACATTTAAAATTAATTATACACCATGCAGTTATAATAGCCATTAATCAATCATATGCCTGCTTTGTTTTGGAGCCATCCATGTTGTCTGGCAGAGTTCAAAGCAACATCTCAAAGCTAACTTGCCTTGTGGTGCTGTTCCTTCATTGAGGGAACGTCTTACAATATCCCATAGACATACTATGGTAAGGAGCTATAGGCATGGCTGTGAAAGATGCAATCATTTCATAATTTACAAATGGAACACACATCTAGAACATTATGTACATATATCCATATCATGCTCGTAGATGATCAAATTTAAAGCATATCAGAAATATCAACACATACTTGGGGAATGGATCTCCATTCAGATTAAACATAATTCACTTCCTGACAAGATTTATTTACATGACCTTACTTAATAGATTTTATATTAGGCGAGTCAGTTACGAAGACATGTTTATTTACAATGACGGTTTGGCAAGTGGTGAGAGGCAAGTACGGTGATAACTAAAACAATTGGAGCCACATTGTAAGTAGGAAGCTTACATTGAAACCTACATTTTTACCAATTTCTCTTTCTTTTAGAGTTTTGGAAATAGAGTGTATTGCACTGTTCCCCAGGATCACTGCATGAACATCTCCGATTGGCTGATCAGCATCACTGCAGTAGCCTAGAATGGATACAGTGCAGTGCACTCAACTGCAAAACACTGCCCTCTACTGGTGGACATTGAAATCGACCTCACAATTTGAGGCTAGGTGAAATTGGGACACATGATGTTTTCTTTTTGGTCTATGCACCACAAGTTTCTCAATGCAGTGGTCATTACAATCAGTTGCATAATTTAAAATAGAGCACAGCTTGCTTTGTACGTGAATTAAAACATTACATTCAGACTTAGCTTCTTTTAAGAATAAAATGTCCCTAAAAGCATTGGTAAACCATTATCAATATGCTTACCAATACAGCAGAGCAAAAACAATGTGCTAATCATAACTGAAGTAAATGAAAATAGTGCTAAACACAGTGCAGGTGGGCGATCATTCCAGTCTGAACTTTAACATCTTTAGGTGAACTATCATACATTCCTAATGCAGTCGGCAAAGCAAAGGATTCTTCAACAACAAGTAAAGATCCTGTTTCCATTACTGTGACTGTCATATACTATACAATGTGATTCTTAGTGACGACATATCACCCTCGGTAATATACACTCGATCTTCTATCAGCACACCTAATCCCCTCCAAGACAACACTACAATTAAATATATATGTATTTGTACAAAAGAGAGCGAGAGAGAGAGAGAGATTGTGTGAGACATTCAGTATGTGAGAACTATGAAAGATGCCACAGGGCCTTTCAGAGGGTCTTACTCCTAGACCCAGAGGAAGGACAGGCCAGGAGGTTGAGGGCAGAGTGGTCTTACTCCTAGACCCAGAGGAAGGACAGGCCAGGAGGTTGAGGGCAGAGTGGTCTTACTCCTAGACCCAGAGGAAGGACAGGCCAGGAGGTTGAGGGCAGAGTGGTCTTACTCCTAGACCCAGAGGAAGGACAGAACAGGAGGTTGAGGGCAGAGTGGTCTTACTCCTAGACCCAGAGGAAGGACAGCACAGGAGGTTGAGGGCAGAGTGGTCTTACTCCTAGACCCAGAGGAAGGACAGGAGGTTGAGGGCAGAGTGGTCTTACCGGGAATGGGACAGTCTGTACCTACCATACATGCACTCCTGACTCAGGGTCTACATTCTACATGGTTACTTGGTGCTGTGGTTGTAGCTGTGGCTGTACAGGCCTCCTCCCCTGATGACTGTAGGGGAAGACAGGGGGTGTTGGCCTGGTCGGATGGGCTTAGCTGGAAGACAGAACATAGTCATCAATACCAACACACACTGCCACCCCCACACACACACGCCCCTAACCCATCCTCCCCTCCCCTCCCCTCCCCTCCCTCCCTTCCTTCCTTCCTTCCTTCCTTCCTTCCTTCCTTCCTTCCTTCCTTCCTTCCTTCCTTCCTTCCTTCCTTCCTTCCTTCCTTCCTTCCTTCCTTCCTTCCTTCCATCCCTCTCTCCCTCCCTCCCTGTCTCCCTCCCCTCCCTCCCTCCCTCCCTTCATCCTTACCGATCTGAGCGGAGTTTCCTCTCCTGGCCATGTTCTTGGCCCTGACGACCTCCTTGATGCGGTCCACCTCTAGCTGGTAGCGTTTCCTGTCCCTCATAGCGCTCTCCTTGGCCTCCTTCAGGGCATTCTCCAGGGCCTTGACCCGCTCGGCCGTGGCCCGCAGACGCTTCTCCAGCTTGGGAAGCTCGCAGCGCAGGTCCGCGTTGTCACGCACCAACTGGGAGGGAGGGAGAGAGGGGAGGCAGGGAGATGGGGGAGACATGGATGGAGGGAGGGAGGGAGGGAGGGAGGGAGAAAGGGAGGGAGGGAGGGGGGGGGGAGGGAGGGAGAAAGGGAGGGAGGGAGGGAAACAGAGATATCAGGGTCAGCTTACGAAGCTTGCAGAGCAGTTCCGCGTTATCACGCACCAACTAGAAGGACACAGCCAGAAGGGGGCAGGAATGTTAATAAATCAAATCAAATGTATTTATAATTTTGAACCAATCAAACGATACATTTTCTCTACCTGCAAAGATGTCCCAGTACAGTACCTGCTTAATAATGTCCCAGTACAGTACCTGCTTAATAATGTCCCAGTACCTGCTTAATAATGTCCCAGTACAGTACCTGCTTAATAATGTTCCAGTACAGATAAATGTCCCAGTACAGTACCTGCTTAATAATGTTCCAGTACAGTACCTGCTTAATAATGTTCCAGTACAGTACCTGAGTTAATAATGTCCCAGTACAGTACCTGCTTAATAATGTCCCAGTACAGTACCTGCTTAATAATGTTCCAGTACAGTACCTGCTTAATAATGTTCCAGTACAGTACCTGAGTTAATAATGTCCCAGTACAGTACCTGCTTAATAATGTCCCAGTACAGTAGCTAAAGTCCCAGTACAGTACCTGCTTAATAATGTCCCAGTACAGTAGCTAATGTCCCAGTACAGTACCTGCTTAATAATGTCCCAGTACAGTACCTGCTTGTGGACTTTAGTGAGCTGCTCCAGGTTATTCTCCAGAAAGGAGATCTTCTGTTTCTGGGCGGCGCTGCCCACTCCATCCTCACAGTCCAGCTCTGCACTCTGGACACAACAGGAGAGGACAGAAACATCAGTCAGTCTATCCACACAGACCAGACTACAGGTCATCACTGAAAGACTACAGACTACAGACTACAGAGCGCAGTCTACAGACTACAGGTCATCACTGAAAGACAACAGACTTCAGACGAGCATCTCTGACATTCTGCTGACAGGTTGGTGGCATTCTGATACACAGCCTCTCTTACATGGGCAAACATCTCCTTACCTTCTTGACGCGTGTTGTGAGGTCTTGAACAAAGAGCCTGCGTAGGTTATGAAGAGTCTGCAGCTCTTTGGCCTTTAAAGACAAAACAGAGAGAAGACACTTGTACTCAGTGTAAGATGTTGAAATGGACATCTATGATGTATTGATTTATCTGCAAGACTTAGGAAGTGAAGAGCTATACTCATTCAGTCAGCCAGTCAGCCAGTCAGTCAGTCAGTCAGTCATAGCCTTGACGTACCACAGTCTCCTCCAGTCCCTTGAGGTCCTGTCTGGCCTGCTCCCTCTGTTGGTTGAAGACGACCAGCTTCTGGAGCTTCACGTCCGTCTCCTGTTCCTTCACCTTCAGCTTCTCATGGTCAGACAGCAGCTTGTTCTGCTCCAGCACCAGGCCCTGGTTCAGACTGGGGAGACACGGAGGAGGAGAGGGGGGGAAGAGGGGAGAGGGGAGAGGGGGAGAGGAGAGGGGGAGGACAAGGAGGAGGAGAGGGGGGAGAGGAGAGGGGGAGACACGGAAGGAGGAGAGGGGGAGAGGAGAGGGGGAGAGGAAACGGAGGAGAGGGTGGGATGGAGAGGTGGAGAGGAGAGGTAGAGGAGAGGGGAGAGGAGAGGGGGAGAGGAGAGGTAGCGGAGAGGAGAGAAGGAGGAGTGAAGAGGAGAGGGGAGAGGAGAGGTAGAGGAGGAGGGGAGAGGAGAGGGCGGGAGAGGAGAAAGGGGGAGAAACAGAGGAGGAGAGGGGGAGAGGAGACGGGGAGCCACCAGAGGAGGAGAGAGAGGGGGAGCACACGGAGGGAGGGAGAGGGGGAGGAACGAGGGGAGAGAGAGATGGGCGAGGAGAGGTAGAGGAGAGGGGGACAGAGAGAGGGGGAGACACAGAGGAGGAGAGGGGGAGAGGAGAGTGGGAGACACGAGGAGGAGAGGTGGGAAGAGGAGAGGGGGAGGGACACGGAGGAGGAGAGGGGGGAGAGGAGAGAGGAGAGGAGAAAGGTAGAGGAGAGGGGAGAGGAGAGGGGGAGAACAGAGGAGGAGAGGGGGAGAGGGAGGGGGAGACACGGAGGAGGAGAGGGGGAGAGGAGAGGGGGAGGGGAGAGGAGAGGGGGAGACACGGAGGAGGAGAGGGGGAGAGGAGAGGGGGAGAGGAGAGGGTGAAAAGGAGGAGAGAACAGTAGACGTTACATAGGCTTTATAGAGCATTCATCAATTCTTTATAAGGCCTATATAGATGCTTCAGATGTAATGACCTTTTATACCACCTTTCAGTTAGTACTGTATTATGACAGCCTGTAAAGGATTTGTGAAGCATTTATGTAGTGCTTATGAGGAATGTATGAATGCCCTATGAAGCCTTTATGAATGACCTATGAAGCCTTTATGAATTGTAGTTAGAAAAGTGTTCTCAAACACAGAGAGTCGCCGGACGGTATATATAGCTTCTCACTCTGTGAGTTCATCCAGCATCCTCTGTTTGTCTTCGATCTCGTCCCTGAGTCGGGCCAGCTGCTTCTGGTGGGCCTCTCTGTGAGCCTCCATCTGCTGTTCCAGGGTCTTCTACGTGACGGACAGGAGGACAGATCAGAGGTCACACACAGAGACACACAAACACATGCGTACAACTTCAGATTGTTTCCCCAACAGAATAACCATCCTAAGAGTACTTCCAGATCCACCTTGTGGACGCCTTAATCACGGGTTTGATCACCTTAATTTCCTCTTCACCCTCCAGTCTACTGATGTGTTCCTTCTCTGTGTCCACCACTGACACCTCGTGCATTTTCTCTGTTGAACAACAATGTTAACCATGTTATGAAGGAAGCAGTGGTGTCGATAGAGGGAACGTGTAGAGTGAGCACATGTCTCACCCTGAGCGTGCATCTTGGCCAGCTCCTCAGTCAGAGCGTCCTGACTCTCCTCTAGCTGTCTCTTCTTCTGTTCCATGTTCTGCATGTAGTCTGTCAGGGACTTGATCTTGGCCTGGTGCTACATCAGAACACACCAACACAGGGTCAGCGTTTCAAAACCTTTCCTGTTTTCACACCTACTGAACACAGCCCTGTGTCGCCATTTTGTAGGGCTTTAGCAAAGAGTGAAAAGAAATTCAGCGACTCAACATAGGATAATGGAAGAGCATTTCTGCGTCGGCCTTTAGAATGTTTCTCAATTATAGGGAAACCTGGCCCCTCCTCTGTTACCTGGGAGATGAGCAGCTGACAGGAAGCCAGCTCCTTCTCGTTGGTGGCCATCTTGCGTGAGGTGTCACCCTGGGCGCTTTCCAACTGCTTGGAGCGGTTCACCAGAGACTTGACCTCTGACTTCATCTTACTGATGTAGAGACGGGTCATGGTGAAGTCCTCCTCTATCACTCCACCGTTACCGTTCCCTTCAGCCATCTAGACAGGAAAAAGAAGACTGTAGAGTTAAATAGAGAGTTCAATAAAGCCTAGAGGATGAACAGTAGGATTACAACAGTCTAGGAGGAAGATATACTGTTAGTAAACTAAAGGGCATGAACTCTGACTCATGTTGTATGTTGTGGAGAGGTTTGCTAGCTACATACAGTAGGTGAACGATGTTCCAACCCGTTAAATTAACAGGACTGTTGTGAATGGGACTGTTTGTATTTGGTTTGGTGTGTGTTGTTTCTACTGTATGTGTGTCTATGTATATCTGCTGTGTAGGTCCCCTCACCACCTTGATGTCGCTGGTGCCCATGGTGGCTCCTATCTCACTGAGGTCTCTGAGCAGCAGGTGGAGGATCTCTGCAGCTCTCTTCTTCTGGTGTCCACTGAGCTCCTGGAGCGTGGTCAGCTCCCTCTGAACTGACAACAAGACCGTCTGGGGAACACATCAGATACATGGAGCAGTTGTACATCACTCCATCATTAAGGGCCCTCTATACAGTTCTAGTACCTGGTCTACCCACAGGGGAATCTGGGAAAGACTCATTAGAACATAGGTATAGTACCAGTCAAAAGTTTGGACACACCTTCTCATTCCAAGGTTTTTCTTTATTTTTACTATTTTCTACATTGTAGAATAATGGTGAAGACATCAAAACTATGAAATAACACATATGGAATCATGTAGTAACCAAAAAAGTGTTAAACAAATCAAAATATATTTTATATTTGAGATTCTTCAAAGTAGCCACCCTTTGACTTCAAATCAAATTTATTGGTCACATGCGCCGAATACAACAGGTGCAGACATTACAGTGAAATGCTTACTTACAGCCCTTAACCAACAGTGCATTTATTTTAAACAAAAAAGTAAGAATAAAACAACAACAAAAAAGTGTTGAGAAAAAAAGAGCAGAAGTAAAATAAAGTGACAGTAGGGAGGCTATATATACAGGGGGGTACCGTTGCATAGTCAATGTGCGGGGGCACCGGCTAGTTGAGGTAGTTGAGGTAATATGTACATGTGGGTAGAGTTAAAGTGACTATGCATAAATACTTAACAGAGTAGCAGCAGCGTAAAAAGGATGGGGTGGGGGGGGCAGTGCAAATAGTCCGGGTAGCCATGATTAGCTGTTCAGGAGTCTTATGGCTTGGGGGGTAGAAGCTGTTGAGAAGTCTTTTGGACCTAGACTTGGCACTCCGGTACCGCTTGCCGTGCGGTAGCAGAGAGAACAGTCTATGACTAGGGTGGCTGGAGTCTTTGACAATTTTGAGGGCCTTCCTCTGACACCGCCTGGTATAGAGGTCCTGGATGGCAGGGAGCTTTGCCCCAGTGATGTACTGGGCCGTACGCACTACCCTCTGTAGTGCCTTGCGGTCAGAGGCCAAGCAGTTGCCATACCAGGCGGTGATGCAACCAGTCAGGATGCTCTCGATGGTGCAGCTGTAGAATTTTTTGAGGATCTGAGGACCCATGCCAAATATTTTTAGTCTCCTGAGGGGGAATAGGCTTTGTCGTGCCCTCTTCACGACTGTCTTGGTGTGTTTGGACCATGATAGTTCGTTGGTGATGTGGACACCAAGGAACTTGAAGCTCTCAACCTGTTCCACTACAGCCCCGTCGATGAGAATGGGGGCGTGCTCAGTCCTCTTTTTTTTCCTGTAGTCCACAATCATCTCCTTTGTCTTGGTCACGTTGAGGGAGAGGTTGTTGTCCTGGCACCACACGGCCAGATCTCTGACCTCCTCCCTATAGGCTGTCTCATCGTTGTCGGTGATCAGGCCTACCACTGTTGTGTCGTCGGCAAACTTAATGATGGTGTTGGAGTCGTGCCTGGCCATGCAGTCATGGGTGAACAGAGAGTACAGGAGGGGACTGAGCACGCACCCCTGAGGGGCCCCCGTGTTGAGGATCAGTGTGGCAGATGTGTTGTTACCTACCCTTACCACCTGGGGGCGGCCCGTCAGGAAGTCCAGGATCCAGTTGCAGAGGGAGGTGTTTAGTCCCAGGATCCTTAGCTTAGTGATGAGCTTAGAGGGCACTATGGTGTTGAATGCTGAGCTGTAGTCAATGAATAGCATTCTCACGTAGGTGTTCCTCTTGTCCAGGTGGGAAAGGGCAGTGTGGAGTGCGATAGAGATTGCATCATCTGTGGATCTGTTGGGGCGGTATGCAAATTGGAGTGGGTTGTCACACCCTGGTTCTGGGACTCATTATGTTGAGCCAGGGTGTGTGCAGTCTATGTGGTTTGGTTCTATGTTGGGTGTCAAAGTGTTGTAATTATGTTGATTAGTCATATGACTCCCAATCGGAGGTAACGAGTGTCAGCTGTCGGCTCGTTATCTCTGATTGGGAGCCATATTTATTCGGTATGTGTTCTTGTGGGCATTGTGGGTTATTGTTCCGTTTCTGTCAGTTTAGCAGAGGACTTCACGAATCGTCGTTTGTTTTGTATTTACGTGCTTTACTTTATTAAAGTTATCATGTTCACTCAACGCGCTGCGCTTTGGTCCGTTCATTCATCAGACGATCGTGACAGAATAACCCACCAAAGAAAGACCAAGCAGCGCGTCCAGGAGCAAAGGGTCTGGACATCGGAGGAGGCGCCGGGTCAGGAGAGAACGTTGGTGGATGTCCTCCTCGGCTGGGGACATATTACCCAGGAGGAGGCCGTCCGGTACCGGAGGGCGATGAAGGGGGAGAGCCTGGCAGGAGAGGAGCAGGGCCATCGTCGGAAGGACGGGAGGCAACCCCAAAAAGTTTTTTGGGGGGGGCACATGGCTTGGGCGACTGAGCAGCAGGAGGCTGCCACAAGGCAGAGTCAGAAGGCTACCAGGTTAAGGGGGCTGACGGAGGCAGAGAAGGGACGGATTCAGGAGGCTACCAGGTTAAGGGGGCGACTGGGAAAGGCAGGGAAGGAAGGTGTAGAGGCACGGCGAGAGGTACTGGGGTGTGTAACCAGTCCGGTCCGGCCCGTTCCTAATCCCGAGGTACAGCCAGTCGTGTGTGTCCCCAGTACGGTACGGCCTGTTCCGGCCCCTCGCACTAAGTGTACGGTGCGCGTCGCCAGCCCAGCCCGGCCTGTTCCTGAGCCTCACACGAAGCCTACGGTGCGCGTCGCCAGCCCAGCCCGGCCTGTTCCTACTCCACGCACCAGGGATACGGTGCGCTTCGCCAGCCCGGCCCGGCCTGTTCCGGCCACTCGCACCAGGGATACGGTGCGCGTCGCCAGCCCAGCCCGGCCTGTTCCGGCCTCTCGCACCAGAGATACGGTGCGCGTCGCCAGCCCAGCCCGGCCTGTTCCTGCTCTCCGCACTAGGCCTTATGTGCGTCCCCAGGGCCAAGCATGCCCTGTTGCTTCTCCCCGCACTAGCCCTGAGATGCGTGTACTCAGCCCGGTACCTCCAGTTCCGGCACCACGCACCAGGCCTACGGTGCGCCTCAGACGGCCAGAGGCTGCCGTCTGCCCAACGGGGCCTGAACTGTCCGTCTGCCCAACGGGGCCTGAACTGTCCGTCTGCCCAACGCCGTCTGAACTGCCCGTCTGCCCAACGGCGCCTGAACTGCCCGTCTGCCCAACGCCGTCTGAACTGTCCGTCTGCCCAACGCCGTCTGAACTGCCCGTCTGTACTGAGCCTGCAAAGCCGCCCGTCTGCCATGAGCCTTCAGAGCCGTCCGCCAGACCGGAGCCGCTAGAGCTCTCCGCCAGACAGGATCAGCCAGAGCCTTCCGCCAGACAGGATCAGCCAGAGCCTTCCGCCAGACAGGATCAGCCAGAGCCTTCCGCCAGACAGGATCAGCCAGAGCCTTCCGCCAGACAGGATCAGCCAGAGCCTTCCGCCAGACAGGATCAGCCAGAGCCTTCCGCCAGACAGGAGCAGCCAGAGCCTTCCGTCAGACCGGATCAGCCAGAGCCGTCCGCCAGACCGGATCAGCCAGAGCCTTCCGCCAGACCGGATCAGCCAGAGCCTTCGGCCAGACAGGATCAGCCTGATCCGTCAGCCTGCCATGAGCAGCCAGATCCGTCAGCCAGCCATGAGCAGCCAGATCCGTCGGCCAGCCATGAGCAGCCAGATCCGTCGGCCAGCCATGAGCAGCCAGATCCGTCGGCCAGCCATGAGCAGCCAGATCCGTCGGCCAGCCATGAGCAGCCAGATCCTTCAGCCCGCCATGAGCCGTTCAGCCAGGATCCGCCAGAGCCGTCCAGCCAGGATCCGCCAGAGCCAGCCAGCCAGGATCCGCCATTGAGTCAGGTGCTGCCCCTTATCCTGGTGCTGCCCCTTAGTCCGGTACTGCCCCTTAGTCCGGTGCTGCCCCTTAGTCCGGTGCTGCCCCTTAGTACGGTGCTGCCCCTTAGTCCGGTGCTGCCCCTTAGTCCGGTGCTGCCTCTTAGTCCGGTGCTGCCCCTTAAACCGGTGGGGGTCGTTTGGAGGAACCTACGTAAGCGGGTAGTGACGATGGTGGGGTGGTGGTCTAGGCCGGAGCCAGAACCGCCACCGAGGAGGTATGCCCGCCCAGCCCTCCCCTGTTTGGGGGGTTTGAGGCGCGGTCGCAGTCCGCGCCTTTAGGGGGGGGTACTGTCACACCCTGGTTCTGGGACTCATTATGTTGAGCCAGGGTGTGTGCAGTCTATGTGGTTTGGTTCTATGTTGGGTGTCAAAGTGTTGTAATTATGTTGATTAGTCATATGACTCCCAATCGGAGGTAACGAGTGTCAGCTGTCGGCTCGTTATCTCTGATTGGGAGCCATATTTATTCGGTATGTGTTCTTGTGGGCATTGTGGGTTATTGTTCCGTTTCTGTCAGTTTAGCAGAGGACTTCACGAATCGTCGTTTGTTTTGTATTTACGTGCTTTACTTTATTAAAGTTATCATGTTCACTCAACGCGCTGCGCTTTGGTCCGTTCATTCATCAGACGATCGTGACATGGGTCTAGGGTTTCTGGGACTTGATGACAGCTTTGAGCACTCTTGGCATTCTCTCAACCAGCTTCATGAGGTAGTCACCTGGAATGCATTTCAATTAACAGATGTGCCATGTTAAAAGTTAATTTTTGGAATTTCTTTCCTTCTTAATGCGTTTGAGCCAATCAATTGTCTTGTGACAAGGTAGGGGTGGTATACTGAAGATAGCCCTATTTGGTAAAAGACCAAGTCCATATTATGGCCAGAACAGCTCAAATAAGCAAAGAGAAATGACAGTCCATCATTACTTTAAAGACATGAAGGTCAGTCAATCCGGAAAATCTCAAGAACTTTGAAAGTTTCTTCAAGTGCAGTCGCAAAAACCATCAAGCGCTATGATGAAACTGTCTCTCATGAGGACCGCCACAGGAAAGGAAGACCCAGAGTTACCTCTGCTGCAGAGGATATGTTCATTAGAGTTAACTACACCTCAGAAATTGCAGCCCAAATAAATGCTTCACAGAATTCAAGTAAGAGACACATCTCAACATCAACTGTTCAGAGGAGACTGCATGAATCAGGCCTTCATGGTCACTGCAAAGAAACCACTACTAAAGGACACCAATAATAAGAAGAGACTTGCTTGGGCCAAGAAACACGAGCAATGGACATTAGACCGGTGGAAATCTGTCCTTTGGTCTGATGAGTCCAAATTTGAGATTATTGGTTCCAATCGCTGTGTCTTTGTGAGACGCAGAGTAGGTGAACAGATGATCTCCGCATGTGTGGTTCCCACCATGAAGCATGGAGGAGGAGGTGTGATGGTGCTTTGCTGGTGACACTGTCAGTGATTTATTTAGAATTCAAGGCACACTTAACCAGCATGGCTACCACACCATTCTGCAGCAATACACCATCCCATCTGGTTTGCGCTTAGTGGGACTATCATTTGTTTTTCAACAGGACAATGACACACTGGTTAAGTGTGCCTTGAATGACCTGGCCTCCGCAATCACCTGACCTCAACCCAATTGAGATGGTTTGGGATGAGTCGGACAGCAGAGTGAAGGAAAAGCATCCAACAAGTGCTCAACATATGTGGGAACTGCTTCAAGACTGTTGGAAAAGCATTCCTCATGAAGCTGGTTGGGAGAATGCCAAGAGTGTGCAAAACTGTCATCAAGGCAAAGGGTGGCTACTTTGAAGAATATCTCAAATATATTTAGATTTTTTAAACACTTTTTTGGTTACTACATGATTCCATGTGTGTTATTTCATAGTTTTGATGTCTTCACTATTATGCTACAATGTAGAAAATAGTAAAAATAAAGAAAAACCCTTGAATGAGTAGGTGTGTCCAAACTTTTGACTGGTACTGTATATAGATCACTCACACATTAAGGGGTACCTCGGTAGAACAAAATGTCATTAGGGGTACGGTAAACCAAAAAATAAGCTATGGCTGAACTGCTCTAGACCTCTCTATCCCACCCATCATGCCCATAGACCTCTCTATCCCACCCATCATGCCCATAGACCTCTCTATCCCACCCATCATGCCCATAGACCTCTCTATCCCACCCATCATGCCCATAGACCTCTCTATCCCACCCATCATGCCCATAGACCTCTCTATCCCACCCATCATGCCCATAGACCTCTCTATCCCACCCATCATGCCCATAGACCTCTCTATCCCACCCATCATGCCCATAGACCCACAGTCTTCTGCTGCAGCTCATCCTGCAGCTGTTCGTTGGCCTGGCTCCTGTTCTCCACCTCCTGGCTCTTCTGGTCGTAGTTCACAGCCAGCTCCTCCAACGCCTGCAGCACCTCCTTCACCTAGAATAATAAGAACATAATAATGATACAATAATTTATAATTCTATAATAATAATGTGGATTCATTCATAATGTTCTCCTTCACCTCCTCCTTGGCAGCCTCGTTCTCCGTCTGCAGACGAGACAGATCCTCATGGATCTTCTCATAGTCCCTTCTCGTCGACGCCAGCAGCTGAGGAGAGACCCACATGGACACACACACGCACACACACACACACACACACACACACACACACGGAAAAGGGAACACACACAGACAAATTCACACCATGTAACCTGGTTGAATCCCCCTTAGATGTATATCATCCATTTGAAAGCATCATCAAGACATTGGACTTTTAAGAAGAAAAGTGTCTCCAGCCACATTTTCATGATGATGCAAAACACCTCATCATCATGATGTGGCAGGAGACACTATTCTTCTTGAAAGTCCAATATCTTAACAACTTGACTGCTGACATGCAAAACATTTTGGTACTGTATCAAAATCAAGTTTTTGAGTGACATTGCCCTTTAAGATGAGAAAATAAGGTTGTTCATGATTGGTCACCTCATCCTGGTCCAACATCTGTTCCTTGAGTTTCTCCGCCAGCTGGCTCTGCTGGTTGATCTCATCATCCTGTGGGACACAAACAAAACAAGCAACAATTTACATTTCATTTACAATATAGTTGGAAACATTGATTTGACTTTAAAAATCCAACCCCTTCCTACTCCTGCCCAATCTAGCCTACCATTTAATGTTGATGCATGTGTTTTAATGTCTGTTATTCTTTATGTATGTTGAGATTGTATGCTCCAAAATGAATTGACTCAGTTCTCTAATCTAGTCTGCTTAGATTTCCCTGGTTGACCTTGTCGTCCAGTTGTTTGTACAGATTGCTGATGTCCTCTTCGTACTTGCTCTTCTCCTCGGTGGAGACGACCAGGACCAGGCCGTTAGCTGGAGCCATGTTATCTATGATGGGAGTGTTGTCACACGGCTCCAGGTGCTTCTGCTCCTTAGCACTCAGCTGCTCCTCCTCAGGGACGTTCTCACCTGAGACAGGGACAGACAAGTAGGGGGCACTGGTTAGAACACTGGTTGTCTGGGTCTATAATCAGACATGAGCTGCGGTCCGATTCTCTAACCTTCTCCCTGAACTGTGCACTCATTCACTCAATGTCTACCATGGGAACACTAACTCAGTCTGGCTCTATTTCATATGAAGGTTTCAATTCTCTCTCTCTGTCGATAGAGCGGAGAGAGAGAGAGCGGCGCAGGAGACGAGAGGTACGAGAGAGAGCGAGACACGCGCGAGAGAGGATCATCGAGAGAACGAGGCTCTAGTGAGCTATCTGCCGCGTCGAGCTCCTCTCACCCTTTCTCTCTCTCTTACCCCTCTCTCTCTCTCTCTTACCCCTCTCTCTCTCTCTCTCTCTCTCTCTCTCTCTCTCTCTCCACCTCCCCATCTCCCTCCCTCACCGTTCCTCCAACGGTTGAGCTCCATCTCCAGTCTGTGGATGACGTTCTTCAGACTCTTGTTCTTCTCCTTCTCCTTCTCGTACTTCTTCTTCCACTCCTCAGCAGTCAGCTCCAGGTTCACAGACACTGTGTTCTTGATGGTCTTGGCTCTGTGTGGAGGGTGGGACACACACACTCAGATTCCTAATCACACCCTATTCCCTATACAGCAAAGCACTACTTGTACATGGCAAATGGGCTGTAATTCATCCACCAAAGGACATTGTGGCTTCATTTACTCATCACTTATCTACAATATAATATTTTGTCAGAACAGCTCTGAACAGATGGGATAAACATTGAATCAACACAACTGGAGGAGGTGATCCAATAAGAAGCAGGGTGGGCAGATAGCTGCATATAGTAACTGGTCTGAGATATATGACAGGAGTTGTCCCTTGTGAAGGTGACCGGGGACAAATTAGCCCTGCCGTGTACTGTAGACTGACGTGTAAAGCCCAACTCCTCTCAGCCTCTTCTCACAGACAGCAGTGGTGGTCACATGGGTGCAGGCAGTGCAGAGCAGTGGAGCGCACCACAGCACAGCACATCGCTCTGTAGCCCCTACTGTTCTACCTCCATCAGCTCCTCTCCACAGAATGTTCTGGATGTACCCTGTTTTCTCTGGCAGGGCGACAGAGACAGAATGTTCTGGATGTCCCCTGTGTTCTCTGGCAGGGCAACACAGACAGAATATTCTGGATGTCCCCGGTGTTCTCTGGCAGGGCAGCAGAGTCAGAATGTTCTGGAAGTTTCCTGTGTTCTCTGGCAGGGCAACACAGACAGAATGTTCTGGATGTCCCCTGTGTTCTCTGGCAGGGCAGCAGAGTCAGAATGTTCTGGATGTCCCCTGTGTTCTCTGGCAGGGCAGCAGAGTCAGAATGTTCTGGATGTCCCCTGTGTTCTCTGGCAGGGCAGCAGAGTCAGAATGTTCTGGATGTCCCCTGTGTTCTCTGGCAGGGCAGCAGAGTCAGAATGTTCTGGATGTCCCCTGTGTTCTCTGGCAGGGCAGCAGAGTCAGAATGTTCTGGATGTCCCCTGTGTTCTCTGGCAGGGCAGCAGAGTCAGAATGTTCTGGAAGTTCCCTGTGTTCTCTAACACACAGAGCAGCCTAGGCTAACTCCCACTGATGCTACTGTTGCTGTCCAGCCAGGAGGCAGGATAAAGCCCTACGGATCAGAATTTAGGGTAGTGGATGGATGTAACACTTAGCTAAAGGTCAGAGGGATGAACAATGTCTTCATCATCTGGATAAAGACTTAGAGCAGAGGCTTGTTCTGCAACCCCTCAGTAAGCACTGAACAGGAGGGAATACACTGGGTAATCACCAGCTCTACTCATCATCAACTGTCACTGTCAGTCTCCTGCTGGATTAACGACGGCCCATCTGCCATGGGAAACCTTTAATTGTTTACATAAAATAGGGGAACTGGGTCTGGTGCAGCTCACCTCTGTCTGAACATGAGGGTAGACTTATGTTAACAGTCTGTCACTAGACTAGGTAAACTGTAGAGTGGTGCTGACCCACCTCTGTCCGAACATGAGGGTGGACTTGGTCTCACACTCGTTGTAGATAGAGGGAGATGCACAGATGATGATGGTAGTCCTGCAGTTCCCTCCTAGAGAGTCCTGCAGGATACGAGTCATCTTGCTGTCTCTATACGGGACGTGGGTTTTCTGAAAACAAACAACACATCATTTAACCATCAGGGCCTTTCAGCAGACAGCCTCATAGATAACCAGTCAGACATCAGGGCCTTTCAGCAGACAGCCTCATAGATAACCAGTCAGCCATCAGGGCCTATCAGCATCCATCAGGGCCAGATCAGAGGTAAAACATGACCTTACTGCTGATGCAGAACTTTTTTCAGCAAAAGCACATTTTGGTCTACAGTCGTGGTCAAAAGTTTTGAGAATGACACAAATATTAATTTTCACAAAGTCTGCTGCCTCAATTTTTATGATGGCAATTTGCATATACTCCAGAATGTTATGAAGAGTGATCAGATGAATTGCAATTAATTGCAAAGTCCCTCTTTGCCATGAAAATGAACTTAATCCCCAAAAAACATTTCCACTGCATTTCAGCCCTGCCACAGAAGGACCAGCTGACATCATGTCAGTGATTCTCTCGTTAACACAGGTGAGAGTGTTGACTAGGACAAGGCTGGAGATCACTCTGTCATGCTGATTGAGTTAGAATAACAGACTGGAAGCTTTAAAAGGAGGGTGGTGCTTGAAATCATTGTTCTTCCTCTGTTAACCATGGTTACCTGCAAGGAAACACGTACCGTCATCATTGCTTTGCACAAAAAGGGCTTCACAGGCATGGATATTGCTGCTAGTAAGATTGCACCTAAATCAACCATTTATCATATCATCAAAAACTTAAAGGAGAGAGGTTCAATTGTTGTGAAGAAGGCTTCAGGGCGCCCAAGAAAGTCCAGCAAGCGCCAGGACCGTCTCCTAAAGTTGATTCAGCTGCGGGATCGGGGCACCACCAGCTTGCTCAGGAATGGCAGCAGGCAGGTGTGAGTGCATCTGCACGCACAGTGAGGCGAATACTTTTGGAGGAGTGCCTGGTGCCACTTCTCTCCAGGAAAAACATCAGCGACAGACTGATATTCTGCAAAAGGTACAGGGATTGGACTGCTGAGGACTGGGGTAAAGTCATTTTCTCTGATGAATCCCCTTTCCGATTGTTTGGGGCAGAAGACAAGGTGAGCGCTACCATCAGTCCTGTGTCATGCCAACAGTAAAGCATCCTGAGACCATTCATGTGTGGGGTTGCTTCGAATAAAGAATGGTACCAACACATCCTCCGAGAGCAACTTCTCCCAACCATCCAAGAACAGTTTGGTGACGAACAATGCCTTTTCCAGCATGATGGAGCACCTTGCCATAAGGCACAAGTGATAACTAAGTGGCTCGGGGAACAAAACATAGACATTTTGGGTCCATGGCCAGGAAACTCCCCAGAACTTAATCCCATTGAGAACTTGTGGTCAATCCTCAAACAAACAAAAACCCACAAATTCTGACAAACTCCAAGCATTGATTATGCAAGAATGGGCTGCCATCAGTCAGGATGTGGCTCAGAAGTTAATTGACAGCATGCCAGGGCGGATTGCAGAGGTCTTGAAAAAGAAGGGTCAACACTGCAAATATTGACTCTTTGCATAAACTTAATATCATTGTCAATAAAAGCCTTTGACACTTATGGAATGCTTGTAATTATACTTCAGTATACCATAGTAACATCTGACAAAAATATCTAAAAACACTGAAGCAGCGAACTTTGTGAAGACCAATACTTGTGTCATTCTCAAAACTTTTGACCACGACTGTATTGTTTTTGCATTATTTCAATTTCACATATGCAAAGTATTCAGTAATCCCTGCTGATGTCACTATATTAAAGAGAGAAGGGTAAGGGTAATATATATAGAGAACTCACTGTCCCCTCAGCCAGAGCAGAGATGACATTCCCCAGAGCGGAGAGGGACTTATTGATATTTTTAGCTTCGTCCAACACGGCTCCTTCAGCACCTGTCTTACTGACCTTAAAGAGAGAAAAGGCTGTCAGCAGGGGAGAGAGGCCACACAATGCTGCAGCATCTTATAACTGACAGGCCTGGAGTTATAACACATTATAAAACAGTTATAACAGTCATATCACAATTCGTTTGTTGGGGGTCTGTCTTCAGCATCTTACGCCTGACTGACAAGCTGGGAGTTATAACACATTATAACACAATCATTGCACAGTTCTAACACAAGTTATGGCAGTTCATTGGCGTCATCATCAGACAAGCCTAGAGTTATAACACAGTTGTGATACAAGTTATAAACAGTTGTAAAGTTCTGGTGGTTTGTTGGAGTCTGTCTTTACCGTCATACTGATTTACCTTCTCACTACCAGCCAGATCCACCAGGTATAACTTCCCTGACAGTTTCTTCTCTGTTTCCACATTCTCTTGTTTGATGTTGATCAGGAAGATGCTGTGGCTTCTGGAACTGTGCTCATTCATGTCTATGAACACGGACAAAATAAGTATATCTTATAGAAGAAGTATATATTATAGAAGAAGTATATATTATTGAAGAAGTATATATTATTGAAGAAGTATATCTTATGGAAGAAGTATATCTTATAGAAGAAGTATATATTATTGAAGAAGTCTATATTATTGAAGAAGTATATATTATTGAAGAAGTCTATATTATTGAAGAAGTATATCTTATAGAAGAAGTATATATTATAGAAGAAGTATATATTATAGAAGAAGTATATCTTATAGAATAAGTATATATTATAGAAGAAGTATATATTATAGAAGAAGTATATCTTATGGAAGAAGTATATTTTATAGAAGAAGTATATCTTATAGAAGAAGTATATATTATAGAAGAAGTATATCTTATAGAAGAAGTATATCTTATAGAATAAGTATATATTATAGAAGAAGTATATCTTATAGAAGAAGTATATATTATAGAATAAGTCATTTATATATTATAGAAGAAGTATATCTTATAGAATAAGTATATATTATAGAAGAAGTACATCTTATAATAGCAATGATACACCCTTCTAGGTCGGGATACTGTTAAACACTTTTACACAACTATTGATCTAAGAAGGGCTTCATAAATAAATGTGATTGATTGATTGAAGAAACACACAACATACTTGTTACAGCCACGTGCCGGTTGGCCTTTCCCTCATCAATGACATCCATGACCTCCTCTGGACTGGATACAAAGCGCTCTGTACAACCCTGGGACAGGATCACATCATCACAGCTTTAACAGGTTGGTGCCTTTTCTGATTGCTATAACATATAAGCCTCATAATAAGACATTATAAAAGGCTGATACATGCTTATGACAAGTAATAAAGCATTATACCTGCAGAATGTGTTACCCAACCATCTGTACTGCTCACCTTGACATAGGGAACTCTGTTCTTGTCCTCATGCACAGCCAGGTTGGTCTTCGACACTGGAAAAGAGGAAAGTGAGTCGTTAGAAAAGGATACCTAGTCAGTTGTACAACTGAAATGTGTCTGAATCAGAGAGGTGCGGGGGGGGGCAGTTGTTGTTGGGGGTTAACTGCCTTGCTCAAGGGCAGAACGGCAGATTTTTCAAACTCGCCACCTCTGGGATTCGAACCAGCGACCTTTCGGTTCCTGGCCCAACGCACTTAACTGCTAGGCTACCTGCCGCCCCCCGTTATGATCTGTCTAAAATGATCTCTGTTCATCTTCAAAAGACTTCTCTTTTTGAAGTCCATCCAACAGAACATGAGGTCTTCTTACCATCTAGTAAGTCTCGGATCTTGTCCAGGTAGATTTCAAAATACGAGACCTGCACAAGAAAACAGGAATCAATACAGTGTATATTTTGATGACCATAGAAATGGTAGGAAGCCGCCTGCGATCTTTAAAGGTCCTTTACACCAAATAGTGTATGTTCCAGGTGTGTAGGTATCAACATGAGAATACTGGAGGGGATGGAAACCACCACACTGTTTCAGTTTTGGATTCATTCCTCTTTTTGTACATTTTGATGATCAGACATCGTGTTGAAATTGATTTGATACTTGTAGACTGACTTTGCCTTTCTTAATGGCCCCCGAGGGGATAAATAAAGTTGAATTGAACAATTTAATACCTTGATGTGGAACTCAAGGTTCTCGTCCATGGAGTAGATGTGATCAAAGATGTCGTGAGCGATGCGTGGGATGATGCCCATCAGCTGTGGGTCATGGAGCTTGCCCTGCGATGAGGAAAAATAAATCACATCACACTCAATACTGATTATTATCACTAAATAGTCTGGGGGTCCGGAAAACATCCCTTATAGCCAGCTGTTCTATATACACTGAATATCTACAGCAGTTCTATATAATATACATCTATACCCCAAGAAGCAGCTGTTCTATATACACTGAATATCTACAGCAGTTCTATATAATATACATCTATACCCCAAGAAGCAGCTGTTCTATATACTGTACTCTATCTACTGCTGGCTTTAGCTGATCCTTGCCACTTTAATAAAAAGTAATTCATTGCCCGAGGACAAATGCAACCTATAGCGTTGGGGGGCCCAGTTCTTCTAATCACTCACACTACAGTACCATAATCTCATCCTAAATCAATTCAGTCTCAGAGAGTAATTAAATCACGTTATGTATGTCTGCCTCACTAACTGATCTGATGGGTTTTAATGCTCTTAGAAAGGCTGGACTGACTTCCAGTGAAATATCATGTCAGAAACCGCTCTGCTGAACTGTCTGAGAATAATGAGTGCAGTAGACTTGGTGCCGTGTTCTTAGGGCATAGCATACCTACAACATATAGTATAGATCAAATATTTCATATTTCTCTTCATTTACGCAGGTACTATTACTACAGAGAATCACGCTGACCTCCATGGTGTGGGTCTTCCCCGAGGAGGTCTGTCCATAGGCAAAGATGGTTCCATTGTATCCTCCCAGGACGTCTGTGTGAATACAATACAATACTGTTAAACTTTATTTGTCCTTTGTGAAACAAAACATTGGTATTTTTGCGGTCTTGTGTTTTTTTCCGACCCGCCGGACACCACACATACAGTGCATTCGGAAAGTATTCAGACCCCTTGACTTTTTCCACATTTTGTTCCGTTACATCCTTTTTCTAAAATGGATTCAATTGTTTTTTCTCATCAATCTACACACAATACCCCATAATGACAAAGCAAAAACAGGTTTTTAGAGATTTTTGCACATTTATTAAAAATAAAAAACGGAGGCCTCCCGAGTGGCACAGTGGTCAAAGGCATCGCAGTGAGGCGTCACTACAGACCCGGGTTCGATCCCGGACTGTATCACAACCGGCCGTGATCGGGAGTCCCATAGGTCGGCGCACAATTGGCCCAGCGTCGTCTGGGTTAGGAGAGGGTTCGGCCGGTGGGGGTTTAACTTGGCTCATTGCGCTCTAGCGACTCCTTGTGGCGGGCCGGGCGCCTGCACGCTGACCCCGGTCGGCAGTTGTACTGTGTTTCCTCCAACACATTGGTGCAGCTGGCTTCCGGGTTAAGCGGGCAGGTGTTAAGAAGCGCGGTTTGGCGGGTCATGTTTCGGAGGACACATGACTCAACATTTGCCTCCCGAGCCCGTTGGGTATGATGCTAAAAGCTTGGCACACCTGTATTTGGGGAGTTTCTCCCATTCTTCTCTGCAGATACTCTCAAGCTCTGTCAGTTTGGATAGGGAGCATCACTGCACAGTTATTTTCAGGTCTCTCCAGAGATGATCCATCGGGTTCAAGTTTGGCCTCTGGCTGTGCCACTCAAGGACATTCAGAGACTTGGTAGCTTAGTGGGTAAGAGCGTTGTGCCAGTAATCGAAAGGTCGCTGGTTCTAATCCCCGAGCCGACTAGGTGAAAAATCTGTCGATGTGCCCTTAAGCAAGGCACTTAACCCTAATCGCTCTGGATTAGAACGTCTGCTAAATGACTAAAATGTAAATGTTGTCCCGAAGCCACTCCTGCATTGTCTTGGCTGTGTGCTTAGGGTCGTTGTCCTGTTGGAAGGTGAACCTTAGCCCCAGTCGGAGGTCCTGAGCGCTCTGGAGCAGGTTTTCATCAAGGATCTCTCTGTACTTTGCTCCATTCATCTATCCCTCGATCCTGACTAATCGCCAATACCTGCCACTGAAAAACATCCCCCACTGTATGATGCTGCCACCATCATGCTTCACCGTAGAGATGGTGCCAAGTTTCCTCCAGATGTGACGCTTGGCATTCGGGCCAAAGAGTTCAATCTTGGTTTCATCAGACCAGAGAATCGTGTCTTTAGGTGCCTTTTGGCAAACTCCAACTGGGCTGTCATGTGCCTTTTACTGAAGAGTGGCTTTCGTCTGGCCACTCCACAATAAAGGCCTGATTGGTGGAGTGCTGCAGAGATGGTTGTCCTTCTGGAAGGTTCTCCCATCTCCGCAGAGGAACTCTGGCGCTCTGTCAGAGTGACCATCTGGTTTTTGGTCACCTCCCTGACCAAGGCCCTTCTCTCCTGATTTCTCAGTTTGGCCGGACAGCCAGCTCTAAGAAGAGTCTTGGGGGTTCCAAACTTCTTCCATTTAAGAATGATGGAGGCCACTGTGTTCTTGGGGACCTTCAATGCTGCAGAAATTGTTTGGTACCCTTCCACAGATCTGTGCCTCGACACAATCCTGTCTCGGAGCTCTAGGGACAATTCCTTCGACCTCATGGCTTGGTTTTTGCTCTGACATGCAACGTCAACTGTGGGAACGTATATATACTGGTGTGTGCCTTTCCAAATCATGTCCAATCAATTGAATTTACCACAGGTGGACTCCAATCAAGTTGTAGAAACATCTCAAGGATGATCAATGGAAACAGGATGAACCTGAGCTCAATTTCGAGTCTCATAGCAAAGGGTCTGAATACTTATGTAAATAAGGTATTTCTGTTTTTTTATTTGTAATAAATTTGCTAAAATTTAGAAAAACCTGTTTTCGCTTTATCATTATGGGGTATTCTGTGTAGATTGATGAGGAAACATTTTTATTTAATCCATTTTAGAATAAGGCTGTAACATAACAAAATGTGGAAAAGGTCAAGGGGTCTGAATACTTTCAGAATGCACTGTACACAAGGAATGTGGATCAGACATAATAACACGTATTCCACAAGGGTAAGGACTCACCAGCTGGTAGGGCTAGCCTACCTTTAGCAATCTGTTTAGGGCTAGCCTACCTTTAGCAATCTGTTTAGGGTTCGCCTACCTTTAACAATCTGTTTGGCACAGGCATCGTAGACCTGCTCCTGGGCTGTGTTGGGAGGCAGGACGCGGTCAAAGACATATGGTTTACCCTGTCCACAACAGACAAAAGAGATGCACAGTGACTACAGAGCTCTATGGGAAAGAGGGATGGGTAAATGGGAGCAACAACATTATGTGAATGGTACTCAATAATCCATAGCAGCGATTGTGAATGGTACTCACTAATCAATAGCAGTGCTTGTGAATGGTACTCAATAATCAATAGCAGAGGATGTGAATGGTAATCAATAATCAATAGCAGTTTGTGAATGGTAATCAATAATCAATAGCAGAGTTTGTGAATGGTAATGAATAATTAATAGTACAGCTTGTGAATGGTAATGAATAATCAATAGCAGAGTTTGTGAATGGTAATCAATAATTAATAGCAGCGCTTGTGAATGGTAATGAATAATCAATAGCAGAGTTTGTGAATGGTAATTAATAATTAATAGTACAGCTTGTGAATGGTAATCAATAATCAATAGCAGAGTTTGTGAATGGTAATCAATAATTAATAGCAGCGCTTGTGAATGGTAATGAATAATCAATAGTACAGCTTGTGAATGGTAATGAATAATCAATAGCAGAGGTTGTGAATGGTAATCAATCATCAATAGCAGTTTGTGAATGGTAATCAATAATCAGTAGCAGAGCTTTTGAATGGCAATCAATCATTAATAGCAGAGCTTGTAAATGGTAATCAATAATCAGCAGCAGAGCTTGTGAGACAATTACAATAGAGCTACAAGCAGCAGGTTTAATCAACACGATCCAGCCTGGTCTACGGTGACGGACACAACACAGGACAAGGCTTCCCTCACTTGACAACCAGCCTGTCAGCAGCTGAATGAGGGAGGAGATGTCTGTACCAGCTGAGCTGTCTGCAGGCTACAGGAGAATGAAGAGATGTCTGTACCAGCTAGTAGGCCTCCTGCTTTAAACAGAGGCTTCTGTTCTTTCTCTGGAACAAAAGTGATTGACGCGAGATCTCATAGGCCTTCATAATACACAACTGCATTAGGCCTCAATTTCATATTATATTAGGTAAATATGTGGTATACAGTGGACTTCCTTAACACACACTGACACAATGTTTCTTTATGATGGCATACAACCTTATGAATAATACATGAACGCTGAACGGCTGTTGAGCAAGGGGAGCAGCCTGTAGTCAGATACTGTTAACAGAGAGACAAGCTATTGTGATGATAACTGTGTAGGCTTTCTGTACACAAGACCTCATTCTAATACAACGGAGCACGCAAAATAAGACCTTTAGATTCTTACAAAAGATCTAGATTAGAACTGTACTACATGACCAAAGGTATGTGGACACCTGCTCGTCAACCATCTCGTTTCAAAATCACGGGCATTAATATGGAGTTGGTCCCCCCTTTGCTGCTATAACAGCCTCCACTCTTCTGGGAAGGCTTTCCACTAGATGTTGGAACATTGCTGCGGGGACTTGCTTCCATTTAGCCACAAGAGCATTAGTGAGGTCGGGCACTAATGTTGGGCGATTAGGCCTGGCTTGCAGTCGGTGTTCCAATTCATCCCAAAGATGTTCGATGGGGTTGAGGTCAGGGCTCTGTGCAGGCCAGTCAAGTTCTTCCACACCGATCTCGACAAACCATTTCTGTATGGACCTCGCTTTGTGCACGGAGCATTGTCATGCTGAAACAGGAAAGGGCCTTCCCCAAACTGTTGCCACAAAGTTGGAAGTACAGAATCGTTTAGAATGTCATTGTATGCTGTAGCATTAAGATTTCCCTTCACTGGAACTAAGGGGCCTAGCCCGACCAATGACAAACAGCCCCAGACCATTATTCCTCCTCCACCAAACTTTACAGTTGGCACTATGCATTCGGGCAGGCAGCGTTCTTCTGGCATTCGCCAAACCCAGATTCGTCCATCGGACTGCCAGATGGTGAAGCTTGATTCATCACTCCAGAGAACACTGCTCCAGAGTCCAATGGCGGTGAGCTTTACACCACTCCAGCCGACGCTTAGCAATGCAGATGTTAATTTTAGGCTTGTGTGCAGCTGCTCGGCCATGGAAACCCATTTCATGATGAACAGTTCTTGTGCTGATGTTGCTTCCAGAGGCAGTTTGGAACTCGGTAGTGAGTGTTGCAACAGAGTACAGACTATTTTTTACATGCTATTCGATTTAGCACTTGGTGGTCCCGTTCTGTGAGCTTGTGTGGCCTACCACTTCGTGGCTGAGCCCTTGTTGCTCCTAGATGTTTCCACTTCATAATAACAGCACTTACAGGGCAGGAATTTTACGAACGGACTTATAGGAAAGGTGGCATCCTATGATGCCACCTTCAGCCACGTTGAAAGTCACTGAGCTGTCTATGGAGATTGCATGGCTGTGTGCTCGATTTTATACACCTGTCAGCAACGGGTGTGGCTGAAATAGCCGAATCCACTAATTTGAAGGGGTGTCCACCACTGGAGAAGTGCAGATGTCTCCCTTGCCACCAGCTGAAAACCTGAATCATTCAAGCCAAGCCAGTTATCCAACTACTGTACATCAATTTAACAGGCTTGCCACTTTTAAAATGGGAACTTTAAATAAATCCTATTAGATTCAATCCAATTAATACATTCAAGGTATAGGCTATGTGTGCTTTATAGTTAGTAGAATGAGAGGAAATGCCTTATTTCCATGTTGTTAATTGTCCTATTATGAGTGCAGCTCAGCTTGCATTCACCACAGGTGACAGAGCTTAGACAGAGAAGAACAGAATGTTAGCCACCTGGAATCTGCTATCTCAGCAGAGTGAATACTGCATCACAGCAGTGTCAAAGCACAATCTGCCCCTCTGGCAACAGCTCCCTGTCTATCTCCGGCAACAATTCCCAATACTCCATCTGAGGCCATCAGCTGCCGCTGGAGAAAGCTACAGCGCAACACAATCAAAACATATAGGCTACCAACAAATGCTCTGCAGAGGGTCACAAACATTTTTGCGATGTTTGTGGAAGTTACCACATAAAAATGTTTTTCAATAGGCTACAATTCAATGTGCTGTGTGTAAAGATTCAGTCAATGCATTGGGCGCTCTGTATTGGAAATGCTCACTGCATTGCACATTTCCTCTGCGCGTTTTGCTGGTGTTCGAGTTGTCTAGTTAAGGCAACAATACTTACCTACACAGCAGATAAATTAACTATTAGATGCAGCACTTACAGTTATAACCACGGTGTCGTCTTCTTTAAATTTGGGGATATATTTGTCTCCTCTTGTTATTTCGGATTCATTTAGTGGCCTGAATCGGCACATTACTTTCACGCCGTATTCGGCTGCAGCATCCGCCATGGTTGCGTTCTATCCAGGCAAGCAGATATCCAGATAAACTTGTGATCCGAGGATTGTTTTTATCTGTTGAATGACTGTCAATAAACCAACGCGTCCTTCACCCAAAGTGCCTCTAGTTCGCTACGCCATGGGCATTTAGTTGAGACAGAGAAATCAACTGCAGTCGTCCATTCCGATCAGAATGCAAAATATTGTTCCGAAGACAGTCTTGGATGAAAAAAATATATCCTACTAAAATATAATTTACAAGTAGATATGTAAAGCCGACCCTTCAGAAGAGACGAGTGCCACAGAATTGAGAAACCACCGCATCATCCTGCACGTTGCTCTGCGCTCTTCTCTTCCACACTGCATCAGCATCAGCACCTCCCTCCTCCCTCTGGGCTGGGGCCCAGCATCTCGCTGCTATATCCTCAAAATAACCGCTAGAGGTCAGTATTTAACAATGAAGGAAATGTATAAGCGTCAACTTTGAAATTCTATTGCCCATCAATGGGATAAAAAAACTACTACGTGCAACTAATTGCAATATATTTAAATTCCTTTTGATAGCATGTGATAATTGGATGTGCATGAACTTTAAAACAGTATGTGTATCAGTAAAAATGAAGAGTGAAGAAGAGTGCCCTTAAATGCCAAATAATTCAAGTAGGAGTGACCAGTTTTTAATATCTTAAACATCTGTGCAACATTGTTCAAATGTTCCATCACTGTATATGACCTGTAATGTTTACAATATTTACAAAATAAAAACTGCTGCTTACATGAAATCATAGAAAACGGCAAACAATGAGGAATTATGGACTTCACACAATTTTTCCTAGCACCCACAATGCAACAAATGAAATCAAGTGCACAACATACTTTACAAAGTAGTCTACTTTTGTAAAGTATATATATATATATATATATATATTAGTGAGAAAACATACACTTAGTTACATGTGGAAAAACCAACACTGACAACAGCAACATGTTGATAACACACAAATAAGATTCAAAGAGCAAGCAAGGGTAAGAACAGAACACACACACTGATCTCAAAAAAGAACATTCACACGCATGTGAAGAAATTGGACTGCACTGACCATAACTGCTTTGACCGACTGCAGACAACAGAAAGGTAAAAGTGAAAGACATTATACAACATGGGGTTTGAACATGAGACTGACTGGGTCTCTATGTCATCGCACAAGGACAGAATGAACTTTACCGAAATAGTTAATGTATTCTCTCGACTGCTCTCAAGAGTATTTGTGAAAAGCATGAATACTTTTCTAGAAGTAGTGTAAAATACTTCTGGCTGGAGTGAATTACAGTTGATCCATCTAGACATGGTTTGTAACATGAACGTTTACATTTAAAAAAAAGATGATGGACGTTCTGAAGTTGATTTAATGATTTATGATGTAACTTATTTGTATTGCACATGACACACTGTAGTGAATATAACAATTATGTTTCCAATGGGGCCATAAAAAGCATCCAAATCTCATCAGCACAAATGTAGTGAAACAGTTGTATATATTTGGACAGTCTCCAATGAACAAACTTCTTTTGATATTCTATTCAGTAGTGATTTTTTTTTCCACCAATGTAACCAACCCTGTGACAGAAGGGCCAAATTATCACATTTCTTTCCATACTAAGATAACATACTGCATATTATCGATGATAAACATTTCTCCTATTCCTTAAAAAACGATTATCATACTAACTGCGCTGATTTTAAATGACAATTTACGTTGTTTAAAAGTTGATTCTGGATTTATTTTTTAAAAAAGACAGAATGATGTCTAAATATATAGTGAAGGCTTTTCAGACATGCTTATGCTTCTAAATAGCATGGTCCCGAGACAGACTCTGGAGATACGCAACCTTCACTTTCTAGGAGGCAGTCAATGACATCTTCAGGACATGTTAACATGGTCTACTGTAACAAAACTAAATAAGAAATAGCTAGCAGAACTGGAAAAAAACAATAGTACACAACGTTAAGGGATCCAAAAAGCACGTTTTAAATCAAACTGGAAAACAGTCAGGTTAAAATGGGTAAACTGAATACAGTATTTGGGCTATTCCTGTGTAAAAGACAAACACATAAGGCTTAGAGTTTTTAACTCTTGGTAGTATTATTGCCATCTAGAACATTGTAAAGCTTAAAATAAATATGAAATACTGTACATAAATAATTTATAACAAATAAACTACACATAAGGCCCCTAATTGTAGGATTAACTCTTTCCACCATTTCACCTCAGGCAGTTAGTGTTATTTTCACAATCCCACACTTACGACATAATAATATACTGCATCTCAAGGTTGGTTACTATCTAAAGCTATAGCTGTCTGATAAAATGATGACACTATTTGAAAATGATATTAAGAAAAATAACAAATCACATCAAAAAGAAAATGTAATTGCGCATAAACAGCTGAATGGTATTAGACAACTTGGTCTGTGGTTTTATTAGGCTGACATCATAGAATTAGAATGATTCTTCCTTCTAATTCTAATCATCCCCTTTTTCTATAGTACCGTAGATTGGAAACAGAAAGCCTTTCAGCTGGTAAAGTTCATTCTGTTTTTAAACATATAAAAATGAATGAACACTTAGTGGTGTTGAAGTAATGCCTGGTTCTCCTGGGCCTGTATTCATAAAGCATCTCAGAGTTGGAGTGCTGAACTAGGATCAGTTTAGCCTTGTAGATCCTAATGAACAAGATTATGTGGACAGGGGGGGACCTGATCCCAGATCAGCGGATCCTACTGCCAGTGATGATCTCGTAGCAGGTCTCCCCCCCCTATGTAATCTTATTCATTATAATCTAAACAGTTAAACTAATCCTAGATCAGTACGCCTACTCCTGGAATGCTTTGTGAATACGGACCCTGCTATTCAATATAATAAACAGCATGTCTATAAGATAACCATATAAAAGCTTTAGGTTGTATCTAGTCTTTATTTGTCCTATGCATACAGTCATAATGACTGTGTATGTATTGAATAAAAACCAAGACATTGGTGCACTTCTTCTGCTGCCGCTTTGTACAATACAAGTTCAAATGTGCATTATTAAGTATGTTGTACATTACCATTGTACAATTTTTACATCCGTTTCTTCATATTCATGAAATCTTCCGTATTACCTATGTACATATTGAAAATGTATCAGAAATATTTGGACTGTCTATTTTCTTTAAAATGTAGTATTTTTTTTTTCTCTATCAGTTTTTTAAAATATGTTATTCTAGAAAAAAAACAGTTATCATTCAGCTAGCTGTAGACAAATTACAACCGTCGTTTTTTACAGTTGAAATTTAAAACTGTAATATTTTTGATTGGCTTTTCCAGCACCTTCAATGTCAGTCAGTTAGGGAGGTCGTGGGACGATAATGTACCACTACTATCCATATTGTAGCACCTGGTTGGAGTTCAAAGGTCGCGGTGCGGCGGTCTGAACCGTTGTTCCAAGGCTGGGTACTGGCTAGGTACTGGACTGTTATTAGATGACCAAACACATTCAATGTTATCTGGAGATCTTTCTCCTCTTGGGCTTGGGCAGCTTCACCTGTCTATCTCTGGAAGGGATCTGATGAACCTGAGGACAGAGAAGACATAATACAGTACATATTAATGCATAACTTAGGGCTCTAATTTAACCCTAACCATAACATTTTCCATTAACCCTAACATTTAACCCTAACATTTAAATAACACTTAACTTTCAGCCTTAACCTTTAACCTGAGGACAGAAAATACTTAATAGAAGACGTATTAATCCATGCCACAGCATCATCCAGTGCTTTTCAAGCAAACAACCCAGTCTCTGTTGGCTTGTGCAGGTAGTAGTGTATATTCTACAGTGTTTCATAGCACGAGTTCAGACATTACTCCAAAAGACCACGTCCTAATCTGACAAAGCTCACTCGGTCCTCTTCTCCGCTGAAAGTGTCTGGTTTCATATTCAGCCTGTCTGAATTAAGAGGAAAGGCTGCAAGATGCATTAACAACACAGTGAATCCTTTTCAAATTGAAATGTGGTGCTGGTTGAGGGGCTGTTTCATCTTGTTTATGTAATCCTCTGACTGGGGGGTGTGTGTGTGTGTGTGTGTGTGTGTGTGTGTGTGTGTGTGTGTGTGTGTGTGTGGTGTCTCCCGGCTGACACAGAGACAGCCCTTGGATCAACAGTGGCTGTAGTCTTAGCTCTGCTCAGCTTAGCCTGTGGGACAGTCTAGAGAGGGAGAGGAGAGAGGGAGGGAGAGGAGGGAGAGGGGGTAGTGGAGGGGGAGAGGAGAGGGGAGAGGGGTAGTGGAGGGGGAGAGGAGAGGAGAGGGGAGAGAAAGAGGTGGGTGACACAGAGGAGAGGGAGAGGGAGACAGAGGAGAGGAGAGGGAGACGGGAGACAGGAGAGGATGAGGGGGAGAGAGAAGAGGAGAGGCCTTCTGGGAGAGCATGGGGTTGTAATCTTGTATACTCACAGTCCCTGACATCTTGTCCAGCTCGCTCATGGCCTCATGTATAGCAGCTTCTAAATGATTATTCAACTTCCCAGCTCTGTTGGGAACAATGAAAAAATCATGCTTCAGAAACATAAATAAGTCCTAAACCTAAACACTCAGCATTTTCTTTTTCACTTTGGACAATTATATGAATAATCTCTTGGCCTTAGATCTTTTCAACTCTGCCTCCTGCTACGGAAGGATATTAGGTGATTATACATGAGCTGTACCAATGTGGGGAACCACCCAAGGGAAATGTACGCAGCATGCTGTAGTGTGTTGTGTGAGAACAGGTAGTAAATGGGCATTTATTATATAATTGTATAGATAGGCATAATAAATGAGCTGTAAGCATGGCCATCACGGTGGTACCAGGTACTTGCAGAAGCATTCAGGAGGGGAGATCCAGTGGAGGGAAGAAACAGCTCCAAGGTGGTAATGCTGCCCGCCAGTGGTGGGGTATGATGACACAGGATATGGATTTTATCCAGCAGTAATGGTACTGCAGATGAGCCACCACCATGGGATAATGACTAGCCAGCCAGGGCATCACCAGGGATAATGACTAGCCAGCCAGGGCATCACCATGGGATAATGACTAGCCAGCCAGGGCATCACCGGGGATAATGACTAGCCAGCCAGGGCATCACCGGGGATAATGACTAGCCAGCCAGGGCATCACCAGGGATAATGACTAGCCAGCCAGGGCATCACCAGGGGATAATGACTAGCCAGCCAGGGCATCACCAGGGGATAATGACTAGCCAGCCAGGGCATCACCAGGGGATAATGACTAGCCAGCCAGGGCATCACCAGGGGACAATGACTAGCCAGCCAGGGCATCACCAGGGGATAATGACTAGCCAGCCAGGGCATCACCAGGGGATAATGACTAGCCAGCCAGGGCATCACCAGGGGATAATGACTAGCCAGCAAGGCAGCACCAGGGGATAATGCCTAGCCAGCCAGGGCGTCACCGGGGGATAATGACTAGCCAGCCAGGGCATCACCGGAGGATAATGACTAGCCAGCCAGGGCATCACCATGGGATAATGACTAGCCAGCCAGGGCATCACCAGGGGATAATGACTAGCCAGCCAGGGCATCACCAGGGGATAATGACTAGCCAGCCAGGGCATCACCAGGGGATAATGACTAGCCAGCCAGGGCATCACCAGGGGACAATGACTAGCCAGCCAGGGCATCACCAGGGGATAATGACTAGCCAGCCAGGGCATCACCAGGGGATAATGACTAGCCAGCCAGGGCATCACCAGGGGATAATGACTAGCCAGCAAGGCAGCACCAGGGGATAATGCCTAGCCAGCCAGGGCAGCTCCAGGGGATAATGACTAGCCAGCCAGGGCATCACCGGAGGATAATGACTAGCCAGCCAGGGCATCACCAGGGGATAATGACTAGCCAGCCAGGGCATCACCAGGGGATAATGACTAGCCAGCCAGGGCATCACCAGGGGATAATGACTAGCCAGCAAGGGCAGCACCAGGGGATAATGACTAGCCAGCCAGGGCAGCTCCAGGGGATAATGACTAGCCAGCCAGGGCAGCACCAGGGAAGCAGCAGGGAAGCAGCAGGCACACAGGGTGCATCCCAAAAACACCCTATTCCCTATTTAGTGCAGTACTTCTGACCAGGGCTCAAAAGTGGTGCATTAAATAGGGAGCCATTTGGGACGCAGCCATGGTCAAATGGCTGCAGAGTGGGACAGAGAGTACAGACAGGTGCTATTAACCACTCCTCAATACTGAGAGCAGCCAGCCGGGATGGACACAGCCAGCCGGGACGTGGAACTAGCCAGCCGGGACGTGGAACTAGCCAGCCGGGACGTGGAACTAGCCAGCCGGGACGTGGAACTAGCCAGCCGGGACGTGGAACTAGCCAGCCGGGACGTGGAACTAGCCAGCCGGGGCGTGGAACTAGCCAGCCGGGACGTGGAACTAGCCAGCCGGGACGTGGAACTAGCCAGCCGGGACGTGGAACTAGCCAGCCGGGACGTGGAACTAGCCAGCCGGGACGTGGAACTAGCCAGCCGGGACGTGGAACTAGCCAGCCGGGGTGTGGAACTAGCCAGCCGGGACGTGGAACTAGCCAGCCGGGACGTGGAACTAGCCAGCCGGGGTGTGGAACTAGCCAGCCGGGACGTGGAACTAGCCAGCCGGGACGTGGAACTAGCCAGCCGGGACGTGGAACTAGCCAGCCGGGATGTGGAACTAGCCTGGCCCATCAACATTCTAGAATGGATGGTGGGATGGACTTCCATTCTTCAAATGGAGCAAAAAAAACAAAAAACACTTCCGTTTATCGAAAAGCAATGTCTCTTTTAAACACAGGAGAAAGTGGTTCCACATACACACCGATGTAGATAATCACAACATGTACAGTACCATACATCCTACAACAATATAACTTACTTTCTGTTCCTCTTGGTCGCTCTGTCCAGGGCCTCCAGGTCATGTGTTAGAGTCTTCAGCTTCTCTGGCTCCACCTGGGGTAATAACAGATGTCAGACAGTGTTTCCAGCTTCTCTGGCTCCACCTGGGGTAATAACAGATGTCAGACAGTGTTTCCAGCTTCTCTGGCTCCACCTGGGGTAATAACAGATGTCAGATAGTGTTTCCAGCTTCTCTGGCTCCACCTGGGGTAATAACAGATGCCAGACAGTGTTTCCAGCTTCTCTGGATCCACCTGGGGTAATAACAGATGTCAGACAGTGTTTCCAGCTTCTCTGGCTCCACCTGGGGTAATAACAGATGCCAGACAGTGTTTCCAGCTTCTCTGGCTCCACCTGGGGTAATAACAGATGTCCAGACAGTGTTTCCAGCTTCTCTGGCTCCACCTGGGGTAATAACAGATGTCAGACAGTGTTTCCAGCTTCTCTGGCTCCACCTGGGGTAATAACAGATGTCAGATAGTGTTTCCAGCTTCTCTGGCTCCACCTGGGGTAATAACAGATGTCAGACATTGTGTTCTGTCTAATAATAGGACCTAAAGCCTGACTAAGTCCCATCACTATGACCACCAGTAGCATGTCTGAAGAGCTCAGAAGTAGTGTTCTCCCACAGTTACTTTCAGTTAAAGTCAATCATGAAAGAGACCAGAGTCGGTCCTGATATCTCACCTTACTCTCCTCTCTGAGCTGCAGGCTGGCATGGTGGTGATGGTTGTGCCCCGCCTCCTCCCCTGCCAGTTTACCAGGCCAGGACGGGAACCCTTTAAAGCCCTGTCCCCAGACCAGATCCCCCATGTTAAACGTCCTGGGTCTATAGTGGAGCATCTCTGACGAGGGGCTGTCCGGGTGCCTCAGGTCCTCCTCGCTGCTCAGGGACTTGGTGTCAGATGGGCTGGGGGCACAGCCTCCGTTGAAGTGACCGTTGTAGTGGCCCACGTACTCTTTAACCAACGGACCCTCCAGGCTGGTGGAGGAGCTGGGAGACTGGTCGTCCCCGGTTAGGTCTCCCTGTCTAGGGGGGCCGAGGGGGTCGGAAACACCGTACCCCCGGAGAGAGAACTGGACCTGGGGGGGTCCGACGCCACCTCCGTTCATATGGGCGCATCTCTCCACAGTCTGATCCAACCTCTCTTTGTAGTTGATGATGTTCACGGCCGTCCGGTTGCAGTTGTTGAAGCGGTTGAATCCATCCTCCAGGAAGGCCTTGTCTGAGGGGATGGGGAGAGAGTGGTGGTGACCTTCGTGGGGGCCGCTGTCGGCTGGACAGGGGGGTGCAGGAGCTAGACTCCCAGGTCTCTCCATACAGGGGCTGCTCCGTACATGAGTGGAACACTCTAGGAACTCCTCACCGCCCCACGCCGTGTGACCTCCGTCCAGACTTCCAGGGTGCCCGGTCTCGCCTTCCCACTGCCCCCTGGGGGTGCCATGGTCTGGGGATCTGAAGTAGTCCTGGTGGGGGGCCTCTGGAAGTGCTCCCTGACCCTCGGGGATGCTAACATTACTCTTCCCCTGACCAGAGTTCTTCCGGGGCCGTCCTACTCTAACCTGCCTGGAGCTGGGCTGTTGGCTCAGGGTCGGTGTCTGCTCCCCATCCTGGTGCGCCACCCGGTGGCCACTATGGCTGACTGCAGCATGGCCGTGTGGGAGGTTGTGGTTGATGCTGACCGGCTCCCCTACGGAGTTGGTGAAGGCACTCATGGTGCTGAGAGTGGGTACAGGGCTGGACTGGGTGGTGCCACTAACCGTGGTGGTGATGACTACATGCATTCCTTTACTGGCAGCATCCACCACAGCCCTGTAGATGGCGTCTACGGACTCCACCCCTCCGCTGGGTAGCCTATCAGGGCCGTGCATCCCTGGGGGTAGCCTCTCTCCCTGCGTCTGCTGCATCTCCCGTTGGCCGACACCAAACTGGGGGTGTGACAGCATCCCCTGAGACTCAGGAAGTGATGTCATACCAGACTGAGCGATCATCTGTGAGTGAGTGACTGATATGCTGTTGTCTAGCAAACGGTCCTGAAACAAGACAGACGTAAAATTCATCCAGATGAAAAGGGGAAATGTGACATCATCACTCCTAGCATGTCAGAGAATCCACAAGGAACAACAACTGGGGTCCTTTTCAGGAGGATGGAATGTTACAGAAATGTTACAGAAATGTACCGTGTAGATCATCCGCCAGTAGTGAATCAGAGAATCTTGTCAGCTCTATTCATTCTATTTCTATCTGCAACGTTCAGAGCTGTTTCGCGTCACTGAACACACCCTTCAAATAGACAGACTAACCTGGAAGTTCTGGAAGAGGCAGGCCATAGGGTGGGAGTTGGAGGAGTTGTTCTCAGGGAAGCCAGGTTGCTGTGAGCTGTGGTAGCCAGGAGGGAGGCCCTGCATGGCCCGCTGAATGCCCTGATGAAGCTGCTGCTGCTGGGCCTGATGCTGCTGGAACACCTTGGTACCACCACCACTGCTGGAGCTGTTGATGACGTGGGGCTGGAGGCTGGCCATGTTGCCCATACTGCAGTTTACTAGGTTAGATGGGTCTCCTGTTGGGGTGGAAGAATAATACTGTTCATTGTTATTTTCAAATCAGGGAAATTGCACACCTTAACTGCCTGGAGAGGACAGACAGGTCAGAGGGGGAAATCAATACTCTGACTGACAACAAGACAGGAGTCCTTATTGGTGGAAAGAATCATTTGAAACTTGTAAAACTGTATCGTACCGTCTCACAGTATACACAAGATATACCCGTCTCCAAATGTCAAGGTCTATTTTTCCCTTATCAATATGAATAATATCATCATGAATTAATGAGTGAGTCAGCACAATTCTACTCCTGATGTCACAAAGGACATATGAGCAAAATGATGGAAGAGGAGTGGGAAGATGGAAATTCTTGTCATTGAACGAATACACTTTTACAACCATACGAAAAGTCTTGCATTAAATATGGTGCCGACGGCCGAGATTGAAAGAGAAAGAGATTCTTGGAGATGGTGTGTGTGTCAGGGAGACGAGCCCTGTGGCTGGCAGTGACTGGAGCAGCTGTAGACCTGTGGCTGGCAGTGACTGGAGCAGCTGTAGCCCTGTGGCTGGCAGTGACTGGAGCAGCTGTAGACCTGTGGCTGGCAGTGACTGGAGCAGCTGTAGACCTGTGGCTGGCAGTGACTGGAGCAGCTGTAGCCCTGTGGCTGGCAGTGACTGGAGCAGCTGTAGACCTGTGGCTGGCAGTGACTGGAGCAGCTGTTGCAGTGCTCTATAGCTAGCTGGAAAGCCCGCTGGTTTAGGCTCTAGTCCTGTGCTCCACTCCTCACTGGTCTCTTTCAGTTCCTCCTCTCACTAGCTCCTCTCCTCCTCTCACTAGCTCCTCTCCTCCTCTCACTAGCTGCTCTCACTAGCTCCTCTCCTCCTCTCACTAGCTCCTCTCACTAGCTCCTCTCCTCCTCTCACTAGCTCCTCTCCTCCTCTCACTAGCTGCTCTCACTAGCTCCTCTCCTCCTCTCACTAGCTCCTCTCACCTCTCACTAGCTCCTCTCCTCCTCTCACTAGCTCCTCTCCTCCTCTCACTAGCTCCTCTCCTCCTCTCACTAGCTCCTCTCCTCCTCTCACTAGCTCCTCCCTCCTCTCACTAGCTCCTCTCCTCCTCTCACTACTCCTCTCCTCCTCTCACTAGCTCCTCTCCTCCTCTCACTAGCTCCTCTCCTCCTCTCACTAGCTCCTCTCCTCCTCTCACTAGCTCCTCTCCTCCTCTCACTAGCTCCTCTCCTCCTCTCACTAGCTCCTCTCACTAGCTCCTCCCTCCTCTCACTAGCTCCTCTCCTCCTCTCACTAGCTCCTCTCCTCCTCTCACTAGCTCATCTCTCCTCTCACTAGCTCCTCTCCAGCTCCTCACTAGAGCCTCTCACTAGATCCTCTCCTCCTCTCACTAGCTCCCCTCACTAGCTCCTCCTCTCACTAGCTCCTCTCCTCCTCTCTCTCACTCGCTCCTCTCACTAGCTTCTCTCCTCACTCGCTCCTCTCCTCACCTCACTCGCTCCTCTCACTCGCTCCTCTCCTCCTCTCTCTCACTCGCTTCTCTCCTCTCCTCACTCGCTCCTCTCCTCACTTGCTCCTCCCCTCACTCGCTCCTCCCCTCCTCTCACTCGCTCCTCTCCTCCTCTCACTAGCTCCTCTCCTGTCCTCCGCCTCTCCTGTCCTCTCACACTAGCCTCACCAGGGCTCAGCCAAGGCATCTGCCCTGCTATGATATAGTGATGATGGTTGCAGGGGAGGTTGCTATGGGAACGGTGTGATGATTGGTGGTGCTGTCTGAGCCATGGCTTATTTCAGAGCTGGCAACCTGGGAGAAGGCTGGGGGTTGAGGAAGGGGAGGGACGTGATTTAACGGCCCAGCCGGGGGATGGGGATGGGGTCAGAGGCAGGGCTGGATGGTGGGATTGGGGTGGTGGCTGGGGTGGGGGAGCTGCCTGGGCATGAGGTAGGGGAAGATAAGTGTTTGGTTGGAATGAACGCATCTACGGAGATGGGCTAGCATTCCACAAATAGATTAAAGATAGCTGCTAGGCTTGCTGAGCTAGCCTACATAAAGACAAACATATCCCGTATCTTATAGACTCTAGCACTGCTTCCTGCTATAGTGTTCACACAACAGCAGGCCAAATACAGCCACGTTCAACACAGTGGGCCGAAGGAAAAACAACTATCTATCCAGTTAGGCCTATATCAGAGCATATACACATACTAGGACTACTGAAGGAATACAACCCTTCTCCAAAGGCTTCACCCAGGCCTCCATTCAGAACCAAGCGTTACTATAGCTACCAGCCAGCTCTTCACTATATCTGGCCTAGAGATTTATTTTCTTAAAAGGAGGGAGAAAAAAATATATGTTTTCATTCAGTATTCTGCCACTGAGCTGAGCACTGAACTTGCAGCTAGCATGCTAATAAAAAGAGAGAAGCCTGAATGATTACACAAACATGAGGGCCAGCCTCTCAACGTACACTCTCTACGAGAGATTAAGACTGTCGTTCAACTCAAAAGCCATCTGGGTGAATTTACCAAACTCTGACACCATCAGGGCAAAGCTCATCGAACAAACAAAGTGTGTGTTTCTGTTAGTGTCTCACCTGGCTCAGAGATGGTTTGACCACAACTCCCATCATTGTTGCCGAGTGACATTCCTGACATACTAGTCCGTCCCAGTGCAGCGTGAAGGTGGCTGTGCTGCTGTTGATGTGGATGTTGACTAGGGTGAGACGGGTGGGACAGTGGTGGTGGGTTAGTGTTGGGGTGGTGGCTCAGGGGCATGTTCCCAGGGCCAAGGCCCACTTGTCCACCGGGCCCCAGAGGGACACAGTTCACCAATGAATTGGCCTGGATCTGGTTCATCAACCCTGGGAACCGAGGGCCGTGAGAATGAGGGCCTCCAGAGTCCATACTCTGGCAGAACATACCTTGACCCTCCCCTTGGCCTAGCATCCTCTGTTGGGCCAGTAGGTTCTGCTGCTGCTGGGAGACTCCAGGAGGCATGACCCCAGCCCCATCACTGTAGTGCATCTGACCAGGGCTTGGGGGGCCTACAGGACCTTGGTACCGGTTATGGTGGTTGTTGTGGTTGCTCATGGACTGAAGCAGCTGGGCCATGGAGGTGTTGGGCGGTAGGCACCCAAGCCGTGCCACTTTCCTCAGCTGTTCTGCTGAGCTTGGTGGCGGTAGCCTGGGACCTGGACCTCCACCCATGTTAGGGGGCTTGTTGAGCATGTTGAAGACCATGCTGTCGTGGTGGTTGAGGGTGTTGTTGGGCGGTGGGGGGCCTGACGGCTGCTGCTTGCGCTTACGGACCAGGGGGTCTCCTCTGTCTCTCTGCTGGGCCATGAGCTTGTCCCGGAGGGCAGCTCGACCGCTCTGACCCCCTGCTGCTGCTTCCGCAATGGAGGGCATCAGCATGGTGGAGTTAGGGGGAAGCATGGGGTTTAAAGTGCTGCTACTGTGCCCCTCTATGCCACTGAGAGGGCCAGTGGGATGCCCAACTCCACTACTACCACCACTACCATCAACCCTACCTGGGCCTCCACCCCCCATACCACCACCTCCACCGCCAGGCTCACTGCTGTTGTCACCATGTTTGTTTTGATTTGCTAGCTGTGCTTTGGCTGCTGCTGACAGTAGGCTGCTGGCGGGGAAGGAGGCAGCGTTCTGCTGGTTCAGGATCTGGTTCAGGGGCATCCCTAACAGACCTGGGTGGTTCTGGCCCTTCTGGTTGTGGGCCTGGTGAGGAGCAGCGATGGAGGGGCCAGAGGAGGTGGCAGGGGGGTACATGCCGGGGTTGTTGTGCTGGGTGTTGATGGCGTTCTGGTTACTCATCCCAACCAGCAGCTGACTGGGTAGGTCTTTGTACTGGTGGAGTGGGTGTGAGTCAGGCTTGGCAGAGGAGGGGCTAGAGGGCATGTTAACGGGCATGGTGGGCCAGGGAGATCCCATGGAGGACTGGGGAGAGCGAGGAGGAGCTTTCATCCCACCACACGGACCCTGACTGGGGCCTGAGGGCATGGCAAAGCTCCCGTGGTCCGAGGAGGTGGAGGAGGAGCGGGAGCGCTGGGGGGAGGCCTCCATCCTGCTGCCCAGGACAGGGCCTGACATGTGGACTGGGGAGGTGATGGGAGAGGGGGACATGGAGGTTATGGAGGTCTGCTGTTGAGTCCTCTGCATGTGGCCTCCGTGAGTGTGGCCCACTGGGCCGGGTTTGACAGTGGGGAGAGGGAGGTTGCTTGGCAAGGGGACGACGGCAGGAGGAGGGTGGTTGTTAATGTTTACATTCATCATTTGTACCTGAGAGGAGTGGACACTAGGTTGGAAGTTGGAGTTTGTCTGGCTGATACTGATGCTAGGCTTGCTGGGGATGGGATCTAGGATGCCTAACGGGTCCTTTTCAGAGGTCAGCAGATTTTTCTGGAGGGTGCAGGAGGGAGGTATGGCAGACGGAGGGCCAGGGTGTGGGGCGCCGGGCTGTGTTTTGTGGTGAAACGGTGCTCGTATGGGCATATCCATACTGGGGGGTCCGGGGAAGTTACACACAGGCTTCTTCATCATGACTGGGCTTTTGACAGTGGCGGTAGGGGAGAGGGGCGTGCTAGTCCTTCCTGCCATAGCGCAGGACGTCTGGGCCCCAGCCGGAGAGCCGTGGAGGAGCATCCCTGGTGGGGAGAGAGGCATCCTGTTGCCCCCGTGGATGGGACTGGAGTTGTTGGCTCCAGGGAAGCCACAGGGGTTGTTTCTAAACCCATCTGGGCTCCCCAGAGGATCAGACCTGAGGCTAGGGGAGAGTGGTGACCCGTCCCCGGGCCCATAGAGCTGAGAGCCGGGGCCCCCTGGACTCAGCATGCTACCATAGCCAGAGCGGTACGAAGACCTGGGCCCAGGCTCACTGCTCAGTCTCCGTTGTCTGTTGAGATAGCCAGGGTACAGCTCCTGCTGCTGGGGTGGACCTCCTAGCTCTTGGGGAAAGTGCCGCTGACCTGCTGCAGCCACCATCATCATTTTGAAAGGGTTCTTGCAGTTCGGAACCACAGAGTTGGGTAGCAGGGACTCGTGGGATTTATTCCGTATTGCTCGTGGATTCGTGGAATGTGACGGGACCATAGATGTTGAACCTGGGGGGGGGAAGATAGGTGAAATGTTAAAGCTGAAATCTGCAATAGAGGAAACAGCACCACTGTTTGCCTTAGCACATTTGTTATTGTTGTTGTTGATGAAACGGAACAGAGGAGCTTCCAGCATTGTGGTTAAAAAAAGGCATTAAAAAAAATACTTGATTGTTCTATCGCACATACAAAGATGTGCAATGTTGTCAAGAGTGAAATAAACAGTGTTTGTTGTTTGAAGCAACTTCTTTGTTGTTGTAATATCGCAAACAGACGTAGCAGTTTCACCATCACAGACTCCAGCTTTAAAACATTGAAAGTGTTTAGTATAATGCCACTGTGAAGCAAATTTCTAATGTTCAACTTTCTTTCTAACCTTGTTCTATATCACCCATGAAACAGTCTGAAATCTTTGAGAAGTTGATCATTGGAAAACAACCAAAACATACTTGTACCTCCAACAGGACTGGTAAGAGTCAGAGCAGGGTGCGGTAGCGTCATACTCTTGTGTAGCGTGGCCACAGCCAGCAGCTTTCTCTTGTGGATACACAGCTTGGTGACGTCTTCATCTGCCCTCACGTCCTCCGCCGTCCTCTGTTTAACGGCAGCCCCCGGATCAAAGCTAAACACCTGAGGAGAGGAGAGTAAGTTCTCTGTTACCTGACCTGTCTTGGTGAAAGGAGGGGGTTTATCCACAAGGACGTACATAAGGTAAAGACCAGTTAAAAGGGAATGTCCACTACTTGGCTTGTCATATCCTCCTCCAAGCCTCCTGCTTCTCCAGAAGCCTACACTACATTTGCATATGAATACATATTGGCCTTGCCTTGCATATGAACGCAGTGACCTGCACGTCTCCGTTTCAATATAACGCAACACACAAAAAAATGATAAATTAAGAAGAAAATGTAGGTTAATATATGTGGAAAAACAACCTCAGTTTAATTGAATACCTGGGTTTAACAAAACTGTTCTTTGGATCACTCAGGAGTAAATCTTAATCTCTACCCTTAAAGGAATACTTGGGGATTTTGGCAATGAGGCCAGATACTTCCCCAGTCTGATAAACTTGTGTATACCATTTTTATTTCTCTGCGTGCGGTTTGAAGAAAGTTGATTACAAGCGCAATTGCTAACTAGCTTTAGCGCAATGAATGGAAGTCTATGGGTATCTGCTAGCAGTTACCCATAGACATCAAATCATTGTGCTAACGCTAGTTAGCATTGGCTTGCGAAACTACCTCTAACTTCCTTAATGCGGGACACAGAGACATAAAAATGGTCTCCACGAGTTGATCTGACTCTGGGGAAGTAGATAAAGGGCTGCGTTGCCAAAATCCCAAAGTATCCCTTCAAGCTTTGTGTAGTGCTTCTTTGGCAGCTAGGCATTCAGAGTCAATTGAGGTTAGCTAAAGGCTTAGACAGACAGACGCGACAACCAACAACACGGTTAGTTAACGTACCTTTGGGAGGATGAGCGGGCACTCCAAGCCGCATTTGCAGGTCCCGTCTGTAAGCAAGTAGCTCTTCACCCGGTCTAGACAGGACAGCACCGAGCCACTAGGACTGGAGGTTACAAACCAAACAAAGGATCATGTTAAAATTAAAAAAATTATTGTCCAATATACATGACTGTCTAATAAGGACATTTATCTTGTGCTTTATCCCAACCTCTCCGAAAGAAACACACACAGGTTGGAGAGTTGATACTAGCCACCAAGACTGTTGATTACAAACCAAACAGAAGTGCATTATTGTGGCATCATTTCAAAAAACAGAGCACTGCAATGGGTCTTACCTGATGTAGATGACTCCATTAGTTGGATCCACCTTGCGCTGCCAGCCAATAGGGACCTGGACAGGGGCTGTATGTCCCCACCCCCTCTGAGACCCCTCCCTTACAGTCCTTTCCTCCATTCATTGTTCTAGTTGGTTTAGCACACAACACCTCAGAGCATATCACACATTAACCAGAGACTTCAGAGTACATGGCATCTTTGTCTTCCAATAAAGAGGACTTTGCTGTACAATACAACTTCACTCTCAAATTTGGATGAAGTATGGGCTGGGGTCCGTGTGATGTGAGGCAAGCTCACAGCGAATCCTAACCTTTGAGACCCTTCATAGTTTTACTACTGAACACCAACGAGATTTCCATATCTGTCTCTGTCATTCAGAGCCATAGACACTGAATCAGATTCAGAGAGACTGGGGCAACACAGGTGGAACCAGGAGTGGCTCATGAAGACATGCTAGGTATTCCTTCTGGAGCAGGTTATTTGAAGTATTCCCATGGTTCCTGATTGGGAAAAATAAAGAAAGGTATTAGAAAACATTGTTGTATGACATCAACCAACATTTACACAAAACTACCTGCAACAACAAACAAAGGTTTGTGTGTGTGCAGTGATTGTAGCCTACATTCATGTTATGTCCAATTCAGGCCTACCTGACCTACCCACCTTTATCTAATGGTGCAGATTTAACATCAGTTTGATCCACTGAATAATTCCTTGCAGACAAGTTCTGTGAAAGATATAGTAGTGGCACTCGGGGGGTCTAAATGTGTTTTCTGAAGACCAAGGATCTTACTATTGTTGAGAGGCCATGCTTTGGCCTTGACTGTCACAGGGATCAGTGCTGTACTGCCACAGGCTACTAATCCAAGCCCTTGTGTGCTGACTCATAACTGTCCCTGTGTAGGGATGGAGGGAGGGGGAGAGCTAAAGAGAGACACAAGCACCAGGTTCTATCTGGAGTCAAGGTATGGTCGGACGGGTGGAGCGGCACCCAGGGTCACAACAAGCAGAAGGATCTGTATTATACGATGTAGCTATGATAGCTGAGACCAACTCAGTAGCCTTGTGGTTAGAGTGGAAGGTTGGGAGTTCGATCCCCGGCCGAGTCATACCAAAGAGTGTAAAAATGGGACAAAATGCATCTCTGCTTGGCACTCATCATTAAGGAGATAGATTGGGGGGTAAGGCCCTGTGATAGACTAGCGTCCTGTCCAGGAGGTGTGCTTGTACATCAAGCTGCCTCACGCTACAGAAACAGGAGATAGGCTCCTGCTCCTATTAACCGTTCCACTCGCACAAGCCAAGGCTCGTGCAAGGCTACTTACTTACTACTTATGATAGTTGATTATGTAAAACCTCTATTCACTGTCACAGAATACCTAATCTTCTTTATGGAAATCTTCATGCCAAAAACACTGAATATGAATACGGAGGTGTTACAGGACTAATACATTTTTACATTTTAGTCATTTAGCAGACGCTCTTATCCAGAGCGACGTACAGTTAGTGAGTGCATACATTTCTTTCTTTTTTTCATACATCTATGACAAACCTCCTGTGTGAGGATTTGATTTGGTGAAAGACCCACTGGTTGAACCTCTGGAATGACATAGGGCTGATACCTGACTGGGCCCATTTTGGGTTGCAGAAAAGCAACGACCCATTTATGACAGCAGGCTTAATGGCATTGCACAGCTCTATGTGAATCAAGTGGTGCATTTCAACAAGATATTTTGAGAAATGACAGCAGGTAGCTCACTAACTCTTATTAAACTGACAACCACATGAAGATGGGGAAGAAACAGACAGACACCTGTATAGCTGCAAAACTAGGTTATTGTTAATAATTGCCATGATCTGTGATGGCAAGCTATTGCTGAAATGCCAAATCAAATTCGACCAATGCGCCACATAGCATAACGTTAATGTAGCTAGAGCACTCCTTTTCGTCTGCAGAATCAAAAAGGTCTAGCTAAATTATTACAAGTTAGCTAGCTAGCTACCCAGATAATGTTAGCTAGCTTTGGGGGACATACAATGTTTTTTATCTAGCTAACGTTAGCTAGATAGGGAGATAGTTGGCTACCTTGCCAACTACCTAGCTAGCTACTAGGCTAGCATATCAGCTGATCGCCAACGTTACTTAGCCTAGCTAGTTAGTTAACGTTAGTTATAAAGAATCTAAATGTTTGCTAGTTGGGTGGGTGATATCTATGCACTTGATATTAGCTCGCTAACAGTTAGCTAACTCTTCGGTCTAATGTTGACGTTAGCCAAAGTCAATAGAAGACGGTTGTTTTAACGAAGAAAAACAACTACTAGCGGGCCTTATTTAGCCCATCGATTTTGACTAGCTATCTAACGTTAGCTAGAAGACAGCTCGCCAAACAACATCATTTGTCGATGGCAGGCTAGGTAACCAACTTAGCTAAGCTAAATAACTAGCAGAATGCTAACGCTAGTAAGTAGCTAACGTTAACCGAAAATGAAATGGAAATAAACATACCCGTGTAATCTAACACAAACTCCAAAACATTAACATACCTTTAATGATATTCCACTGTACGAAAAGATTATATCCCGACTCGAAATGTCGAAGTTTTTATCGTAACTGGGGAGCGTTGAGCGTATTTTCCTATGTGAAACGTCTCCAGCTAGGGACGAGGCAGGGGCACACAGGCCAGTGAAAGGATAGCTGAGCAGTGCAGAGGGTTGCTTTGCAGAGACAGGAGCTTTTGAGATTCCAATCTTATAGCCTTAAAAACGTTTTCTCCATCTTTCCGAGAATCAAATGATTTCTTGAAAGTCCATGGTGGCTGACATAGTATATTTAAACTCCCTCCTATTTGCTTCTGGCCCTTTAAAAATAAAAATAAAAAGCCTGCCCATGAAATGTCTCGGCTGGTTCTCCCTGGGCTTGGGATAAAGATGGAGCGCTTTACTGCTCCTGCGCCGCAGAGAGATGAGATGAGATGAGATGAGATGAGAGGAGAGAACAGGATTAGCGCAATTCGGAATCCTTGGGACGTCCCTACCCGAAAAACGAAAGCTGAAACTCTAAACCTAAAACTAAACCATTACCTTTACGGTTACTTACCCTTACTTTAACCGTTTTACATTTTAACTTTACTGGGGTGACGTCAGAATTGGGACGTCCCAAGGATCCCGTTTTCCATTAGCACAGTAGGGGGGGATATGTGTTGCTCAGACATGACAAGAGCAAAGAGCAAAATCAAGAAAAACATCATGTTACTCAGTTATGCAACACAATAGAAAAGTGTCTATCCAGATATTCCTTCAAATTAAATTACCAATCTGCAGTGGTGGAAAAAGTACTCAATTGTCATACTTGAGTAAAAGTAAAGAGACGTTAATAGAAAATGACACAAGTAAAAGTGAAAGTCACCCAGTAAAATACTACTTGAGTAAAAGTCTAAAAGTATTTGGTTTTAAATATACTTAAGTATCAAAAGTAAATGGAATTGCCTAAATATACTTAAGCATCAAAAGTCAAAGTCAAAGTATAAATCACTTAAAATTCCTTATGTTAAGCAAACCACAATGTTCGAGTTTTTATTTATTTATGGATATCCAGGGGCACATTACAACACTCAGACATAATTTACAAACAAAGCATTTGTGATTAGTGAGTCTGCCAGATCAGAGGCAGTAGGGATGGCCAGGGATGTTCTCTTGATAAGTGTGTGAATTGGACAATTATCCTGTCCTGCTAAGCATTCAAAATGTAACGAGTACTTTTGGGTGTCAAGGAAAATGTATGGAGTAAAAAGTACATAATTTTCTTTATGAATGTAGTGAAGTAAAAGTAAAAGTTGGCAAAAATATAAATAGTAAAGTTAAGTACAGATACCAAAACAACCTACTTAAGTCCTTTACACAACTGCAAATCTGTCATGTCTCACTTTCAGCTGATTCAATAAAAGGCAGTGGTGTAAAGTACTTGGTGTAAAAATACTTTAAAGTACTACTTAAGTATTTTTTTTGGGTATCTGTACTTTACTATTTATATTTTTGACAACTTTTACTTTTACTCCAATACATTCCTAAATAAAATTATGTACTTTTTACTCCATACATTTTCCTTGACACCCAAAAGTACTCGTTACATTTAGAATTGTTAGCAGGACAGAAAAATAGTCTAATTCACACACTTATCAAGAGAACATCCCTGGTCATCCCTACTGCCTCTGATCTGGCGGACTCACTAAACACAAATGCTTCGTTTGTAAATTATGTCTGAGTGTTGGAGTGCCCTTGACTATCCGTAAATAAAATAAAAACAAGAAAATTGTGCCGTTTGGATTGCCTAATAGAAGTAATTTGAAATTATTTATACTTTTACTTTTGATACTTAAGTATATTTTAGCAAATACATTTGGTTTTGATACTTACCAAATACTTTTAGACTTTTACTCAAGTAGTATTTTACTGGGTGATTTTCACTTTTACATTTTATATTAAGGTATATTTACTTTTATTCAAGTATGACAATTGGGTGCTTTTCCACCACTGATAAAAGGGACCGACCTTGTTCAGTAAATGCATTCATAATAGATTCCCATCATAAATGCTAACTTGGTGGGGGTGGTAGGATAATCATTGTTGTGTCTCAGGCCTCTGTTGAAAGATACATTTTATATTAATTAGATGCATGGAATTTTACATACTGGAATCATTAATTTAATTGTGTGTAGATTGTTTTGTGCAGAAAGATCGCCTCCTAGGTCCAATAATTAGGTAACCCGGAAGTTGGTTGGAGTTGTGAATCTTGAATGAGAAATGTCTTCGCAAAGATTCCAATTTCGCGCTTAGACCACTGTCATCGAGAAAAAAGTAAATAATTATTCTTAAAAAATGCAACAAACTTGTAAATATCCCTCAGTCATATGTGTCATCTTACATTTCTATTTTTATAAGGCGAGTCAGCAGCTAGTTCCTAGTATAATAGAGAAATATATCGCTTTGTTTGCACTGCATGCCATGTTGCTTACTAGCTAGCTCCTGTTAGCTAGTTAGCTTTAGCTCAAGTCTCTTGTGTTTTGTCCATCAGGACTGTTGTCACCATGAGTAAACGAAAGGTGAAAGAAACACACATGACAGTCGGCGAATGTATTTCTCAGGTTTGTATTCGTTTGTTTTTATAGAATATTTACATTGAACAGGCAACATAAATTATCAATGCATTTGTTGGTGGTGGTGACCTTACCCAGATAACACATTAAGGTATGATGTCCCATGAACAACATTACTCACAAATACTTAAACTTGTAGGTTCAGGTGATATTGAGGGAGAGATTCTGTCATCAGAGACTTCCTGAAAAGCCAGTGGGAATGGAATCACAACACAAGTAGGTACCTTGGTGGTGCTGACCTACTAACTAAGGTTTTATAAATTGACAAACATGACACCGACTGTACTGTAGCAGATTGATTAATGTAAGGGTATAAGTTGGGTTTATTTGCCATGACACATGACAAGTGTGTTTTATGAGGGGTACACCACAGGTCATGTATCATGGCAATGTGCATTTTTGGGGGGGGCTGAAAGTCTCAGCATAATAAGCTTAACTGTTCAGATTTTCAATTTCACAAGGACCCTGTTGTTTATTATTTTGCTCCAGCCACACCTACACCTGTCATGTCTGTTTCTGTGTCTGTGCTGTCTAGTGTCACACTGTGGCAGCCACCGGCCGCGTTCAAAACAACTGGAAACTCAGAGAAATACGAGGTCAAATCATGACGTCAGTGATCTTCAGGTCGGAAAGTCGGAGCTCTAGAAAGAGGCCTGAGTTCCCGAGTTGGAATTACGAGTTGGATGACCGTTTAAATAGTTTTTTTTTCAGAGTTCCCATTTGTTTTGAACGCACTGAAGTCGGAAGTCAGAGATTTCCCATTTGCCAGTTGTTTTGAATGTGTCAACCGGCCAGGATATATACTGAGCTGCAGAGAGTAGGGCATTGTGGGTAACGGTCCTTGTGTTAATGTTCCAGACACCTGCTGGAGCTGCTGAGGAGGACAGCTGTCCACGGAGAGAGTAACTCTGTACTCATCGTTGGACCCAGGGGATCTGGGAAAACAATGGTATGGAATGCTAAGAGGCTAGCCTGGTCCCAGATCTGTTTGTGCTGTCTTGCCAACTCCTATAGTCATTACCTAGCCTGGTCCCAGATCTGTTTGTGCTATATAGCCAACTCCTATAGTCATTACCTAGCCTGGTCCCAGATCAGCCAACTCCTATTGTCGTCGTCATGCATGTTGACGTTCTTCTGTTTTCTCCAGCTCCTGAACTGTGTCTTGAGAGAGTTGCTGGAGGTGAAGGATGTCAATAAGAATGTGTTACCGGTCCACCTGAATGGTAGGTAGTAGGATGTCTGTGATTGGTTTCTGTGTCTGTCGGTTCTCTGTTTCTGCAGTGTCTGTTAATTCTCTCCCAAACTCTTCTTCTCTGTCCTCTGTCTCTCTAGGTCTTTTACAGACTGATGATCGAATAGCGCTCAAAGAAATCACACGGCAGCTCAATCTGGAGAATGTTGTTGGAGACAAAGTGTTTGTAAGTAATGTAGACAGTAAGACGGTGTTTACAGAAGTTATGCTGTATGTTATGTTCCTTTGCAACTTAGAACTTGCTCTTTATTTGGTTGTTATTCTCAGGGTAGTTTTGCAGAAAACCTGGCCTTCCTTCTTGAGGCGTTGAAAAAAGGTAATCATTTCTGCACATTGCCCTCACTGTAATTTAGAAGAATCCTCCCCATTTATGCTGATAGTATGTCTCTACAGTGTACTGTTCTGTCTTTGTCCCAGGTGATCGTAGCAGCAGTCGGCCTGTCCTCTTCATTCTGGATGAGTTTGACCTGTTTGCCCACCATAAGAACCAGACTCTGCTCTACAACCTCCTGGACGTCTCCCAGTCTGCCCAGGCTCCCGTCGCTGTGATCGGCCTCACCTGCAGACTGGTAGGGGCTCTTCTGCCTCAGTTTGAGTTCTGTTCTATCTAGTATTTAGACCTCAGGGACCAGTGATGAACTAGTTTTAGTTTCAAAAGGATAGATTTCAATCTAATTCTATTCTACTCAATTCTATTATACTCTATTCTACTATATTGTACTCTATTCTATTCTACTCTACTCACAGGCGGCCTGTGGTACCTTAATTGGGGAGGAGGGGCTCTTAGTAATGACTGGAACGGAATTAATGGAATGGTATTGAACAAGAGAATGAAAGAGAAGAGAATCTGTTTGTGGCAAACCATGTGTTTGATACCATTCCGTTTACTCCATTCCAGCCATTATTATGAGCCGTCCTCCCCTCCGCAGCCTCCTGTGACTCTACTCAATTCTACTTTACCCTCTTCTCTTTCATTCTCTTCTCTGGTGATCACAACTGGTCTCGTCTCTGCTTGCTGCAGGATGTCCTGGAGCTGCTAGAGAAGAGGGTCAAGTCCAGGTTCAGCCACAGACAGATCCACCTGCTCAGCTCCCTGAGCTTCAGACAGTACCTGGACAACGTCCGCTCACAGCTCAGCCTGCCACAAGACTTCCCCGACACCAAGTTCTGTGAGGAGTGGAACGACGGCATCAAGGTGAGACCAGGCCAGTCCAGGACTGCAAACATTATTATACATTTTTTTTAGAATTCTAGATTTGTGATGTGCTGTAGTTGGCTTTATCTGAAAGGCATTTTTCTTCTGACTCACGATGCCTCCGGACTCTCTCTCAGACGCTATGTGAAGACCAACCAGTGGTGGATGTCTTACAAAGACATTATAACTCCAGCAAAGACTTCCGCTCCTTGCACTTGTTGCTGGTAAGAGTTTGTATTTATAGAACATGTCTGTAGTATTAAAGCAAAGAGTGGGAAAAAAAATCTGTATGTTGCTTTGTGTGTGTGGCCCCTTCTCTGCAGATGCTGGCTCTGAGCCGTGTGACCGCATCTAAACCTGCCATCAAGCCCACTGATCTCTTGGAGGCCAGCAGAGTCTGTATGGTGGACTCTAAAGCAAACATACTTCATGGTAATTTAAAGCCTAAAGCCATTACTGGTATCACTTGCTGGAGCTAGGGTTGTTTTGAAGAACAAGACAGGGTAGAGCCCTGGAGCTAGGGTTGTTTTTAGAGCCCGCAGCTCACACATTCAGTGTTATTGGCCTCTAGTGAATGAGAATAGCCTGGTCAGTTTGAGAGGATTTCTTTGATGGACGTATGACCATTTTATAAAACATTGATAATTTTGCTTCGTTGTTCTTTCCAGGTCTGTCCATTCTTGAACTGTGCCTGATAATTGCCATGAAACACTTGAATGACATCTATGACGGAGAGCCGTTTAACTTCCAGATGGTTCACAATGGTAAGGAAAACAGTACGTAACAGCTGGTATGTGATTGTTGGGAATGACATACGTTTATGTTAATATATATTTTATTTTTGTCAGAGTTCAAGAAATTCCTCCAGAGGAAATCCCATTCTATCCATAACTTTGACAAGCCAGTCGTCATAAAGGTGGGTCTGCATGACATGGTCTCAGTAGAATGACATCATCAGACATTTCCAATAGTATACTTCATAAAGATCCTATAAAGTTTTTGTAGATAATTCTCAAGTAAGTGTGCTGATCAATCCAAGATGGCGTAGCAGTGCGGTCGTGTTTTTTTTCTGTGTCCTTGTGTAAATAGCAATTTTTTTTGTTTTTTGTCTATTTTGTATATATTTCTCAATTTTACTTTTCATTCTTTAACTAAATATAATTTCCTGCAACCCACCTCACCCAACGTGGAAAGGATTCTATTATTTCTTTATCACTTTTATCAAGAACCTTAAGCTGAAACTAGTCTAGCTGCAACCGAATGGCTTCTTGCTATTAGCCAACGTTAGCGTCTTCACCATTGTCCGTGCCTTTACATTTTAGTCTTAGCAACGCTCTTATCCAGCACTTACAGTTAGTGATCAATTTTTTAATTTATTTTTTTCATACTATGTCCCCTGGAACCGAACCCACCCTCGTTGAAAGCCATGCTCTATACTGAGTCTTTATCCCTACGCCATCCCTCCTAACCTGAAACGCTAGCCATTGGCACTGCATGAGTCTCCCTGCTGCCCGTGCGCAGCTGATTCGACCATGTCTCAGTGGCACGCTACTACCATGCCAGTGCTTAGCCCTGCCACTAGGCCTGGACAATTGTCGGCCAGTCTGCACAGCGTGCTATCGACCCAGAGCATATCGGATTTTCTGCCGAAATCACTGGACCCTAGCGCCGGATCATCGCAACCAGCTAGCTGCAACCAAATGGCTGTTGTTATTGGCTAATTACCATTGCCCCTTAGCAAGCACCAGTTAGCCTTGAGCTAGCCTCGAGCCAGGCCCATCTTCCGGCTATCTACCTCTGTCAACCGGACGGGACCTCCTAGTGTTGACACGGAGCCCCGCCGATCCAACACGACTGGTTTGCCGACGAAATCGTCTGATGTGGTTTCAACAGGCTTCCCGTTACGACGTCGACCACGAAGATCCATCTGCTATCCCCGGCCCGCTAGCACACACAAGCCGGGCCTCTTGCTCGCCAGTGCTGTAGCAGCCCCCGAACTACCTCCGAACTCTCCTATTGCTGTTCACCGGACCTTATGATAACTCAGCTATACAGCTGATGCCTGCTGGACTGTGCCTTAATACGGTACCGCATCCTGTTTATGTTTAGCCTCAGCCCAAACTTTGTCGCCGTTACCAGCTGTTGTGTTAGCTCTCTCGAATAACACCTGTGCTTGCTTTATGCCTCTCTCCCATGTCAATATGCCTTGCTTATTGCTGTTTCGGTTATTTCTTATTGTACTATTTCACTGTAGAGCCCCCAGCCCAGCTCAACCTGCCTTAGATAGCTCCTTTGTCCCACCCCCCATACACACGGAGACCGACTCAATTGGTGCCTCCAGTGATGCTATCTCTTTCATCATTACCCAACGCTTAGGTTTACCTCCACTGTACTCGTATCCTTCCATATCCTTGTCTGTACATAATGCCCTGAATCTATTCTACAACGCCCGGAAATCTGCCCCTTTTTTTCTCTGTACCCAACGCACTAGAAGAACAGTTCTTAAAGCCTTTAGCCGTATCCTTATTCTACTCCTCCTCTGTTCCTCTGGTGATGTAGAGGTTAACCCAGGCCGTGTAGCCCCCAGTATCACTCCTACTCCCCAGGCGTTATCATTTGTTGACTTCTGTAACCGTAAAAGCCTTGGTTTCTTGCACGTTAACATCCGAAGCCTCCTCCCTAAGTTTGAGTTAATCACTGCGTTAGCACACTCCCCCGTCTTATCTTAGCTCACTGGTCACCATAGCAACACCCACCCGTAGTCTGCGCTCCAGCAGGTATATCTCACTGGTCATCCCCAAAGCCAACACCTCCTTTGGCCGCCATTCCTTCCAGTTCTCTGCTGCCAATGACTGGAACGAACTGCAAAAATCTCTGAAGCTGGAGACTCTTATCTCCCTCACTAACTTTAGGCGTCAGTTGTCAGAGCAGCTTACCAATCACTGCACCTGTACACAGCCTATCTGTAATTAGCCCATCCAACTACCTCATCCCCATATTGTTATTTATTTTGCTAATTTGCACCCCAGTATCTCTATTTGCACATCATCTTTTGCACATCTAGCATTCCAGTGTTAATACGAAATTGTAACTATTTTGCACTATGGCCTATTTATTGCCTTACCTCCATAATTTACTACATTCGCACACACTGTATATATATTTTATGTTGTATTTTATGACTTGTGTTTTTTTTTACCCCATATGTAACTCTGTGTTGTTTTTTATCGCACTGCTTTGCTTTATCTTGGCCAGGTCGCAGTTGTAAATGAGAACTTGTTCTCAATTGGCTTACCTGGTTAAATAAAGGTGAAATAAAAAAAATAAAAAAAATTGATTTCCTTACATGAACTGTAACTTTGTAAAATCGGTGCATGTTGCGTTTATATTTTTGTTCAGTATATAATGCTGTATGTTGTCCCTGACTAAGGTGTATTATAATACATACAGTCTTGGCATACATGTGGCCTATTGTATTATCTGATACTCAAGATTTACTCAACCCAACAACACTCTGTTCCAGGCGTTTGAGCACCTGCAGCAGTTGGAGCTGATTAAGTCTATGGACGGCTCCACAGCTAAGATCCAGAAGGAGTACCAGCTGATGAAACTCATGTTGGACCACAGCCAGATCATGGAGGCCCTGCAGAAATACCCACAATGCCCCACAGATGTCAAACAGTGGGCCTTGTCTGCCTTTGGTTAAAGGTACATATTCTTCTATATTGGGTCCAGAGGGGCAGTTTTGGATAACCAATGAAAGATATGGGACCGTGGCCTGGACCCTGTCCTCATGGACAGACAATGAATGACCTGACCAAAATGTTTCTGCCATGTGTACATTCCTTGTGTGTAAATATAAATATTTGGCTGTACTAATTGAATAAAGTCATGCAAAACAAAATCATCAGTGTACCAGTTCTTGGAACCTAAGAATTATTAAATGCTAAATGCCGCCATCTAGTGGTCTGTTTTGGAACAGACATTACTGGGTACAAAACAATTCACAGATGTCAGCAATGATGACGCATCACATCGAGCAGTCATTATGCTTTATGTCAGGGGGGGAATAGCATACACTTTCTCTGTACACTATTTAACAACCAGGCATCTGAAATGAATGCCAAAGACGAACGCATCATCATCAGTGTCAATGTTACTCAGAAAATAAAAATAAAATACTCCTAAACAGTAGTGTGTCAGTTTAATATTGTTTTGCATTAAATGTGTTTACCATACTAGAGGAGAGACGCAGCACTTTCACAGGTTCTGGGCTCTGGAAGACCAAAATCTCTTCATTTGGTGACGGTGAGACCACCAGCGTACTGCACCTTTCACTCCTCTGTTAGGGAGCAGGACACTTCAGTTAACTGTAGAATCAACACTGACATCACTACCACGGAGGGTCTAGCTCAAAAGATAAGGTGTCTATTGGGCTGATGAAGGGCTGTCATTCAACAGTCAGTACCTGTTCCAATGAACATGACGTGGTAGTTTCTCCATCTACAGCTACCACTCGGTCGACCACAATCCTCAGAGAACATAGCTCCCCTCTGTAGAACCAGTAGACGCCCGGTCAGCGGAGGCAGTGCCCCCTCCATGAGGGGCCGGTCGCAGACATACGACAGGGTCTTGTCTAGGAGGTCCAGCCCGCCGTGCTGCGTTGGTCGTGCACTTTAACAACAGCACGACCAGAGAGATAATGACACATTTGAACCATGAGAGATGGGTCAAATATACAGTGAGTACTGTAGATTTCTAGTACATTATGGAGGAACTCTTGAAACGAATCACTGTGTACTGTAGCTAGCCCACAGGACGCTAGATACGTCAAACGTGACGTCATGTAGGTCAGGGCCACTGAGGGCCCAGGGGTCAGAGCCACAGGAAGATGTTTGGAGGTGGGGGTGCTGCGAGACTGGAGGGGCATATCTTTTTGTTGTTGCCCGCGCTACAGACGGCTATATATCGGTTCGCTAATACAGGACTAGTAAAGGCCCAGTGCAATACTTTTGTAGATACAATATATATATATATATTATGATTTTTCAGGGGGTGCTGCAGCACCCCTACTTCCCGCGGCTATGCCAGGGGTGAAATTATATTAAGTTGTTTGTTTACTCCTGTAAATTGATGATGGTGTTTCTTTACTAAATATACTGGTAACTAACTAACTTTCCAATTTTGTCTGTGACTTTATCCTATAATTTGACATGCACTGAAGAAATCCCAGTGAAACAGTGCCGTTGCATAGAGATTATGTATGATTTTCGGAAATTATGCTGGAGTAATACAACATTCCACCAATAAACCCTAGGGGAAAAAAACATTATAGTTTGAATAGAATCCAAAAGCTTTGGTCAATCCGACCAACACATTTCACAGTTTCGTGTTTATAGATAGACAGAGCATTGGTTAAATTATCGACTTCTTCCTGAGATAAACGTGAACTAAAAGGATTGTATCTATTCCTCCTACAGTACTAGCGATGGGTCGTTCGCGAAAGGATCTTTTTGGTGAACGGATCTTTTTGGTGAACATCGGGAATCCCATCGGTGAAAGAGCCGTTCATTTGGCTCCCTGATTTACATACAGCTACTACTGTTTTTTTGTTTGTTCTCAAAATAACTATTACCTGCAGATAAATTACAAAATAATTATCTAAAGAGAGATAACAATAAATAGTGGGGAGAGCGCGTCATTCTGGTCCACCCTAATTTTTGCAGTGCCTTAAAAAGAGATGAATAATTTATCCAGGTAAAAATGCATTTGAACGCGCATTTCACGATCTGACATAATGGTAGCCTACTTTTTGTGCACATTTTCCTTGGTTCTAGATCGATTTTTAAGCCTTTTGAACGAGGAACTATTTGGGAGCCGGTTCTTTTACGTGAACGGAGCCAATGAGCCTATTCACTGAAAAGACTCGGAATGCCCATCACTAGTGGCAAGTGCACTAAACTAATCTCAAAACAAACCTCGGAGGAATTCAAAATGACTCAAGCAATAGACACAAAAGTGGTGGCTTTGTGCAAGAAAGGAAAGGTATTTTTGACTATCAGTAAAACAAAAATATTGAGCTCACAAACTAGCTTCCTTGACCATGAAGCTGCATGTTTGCTAGCTAAGCTTGCTACAGCTAGCTAGCTAACAAGAGCTAACCAGACACGAATATACACAGGCACTTACATGAAGATGAAGTTACTACTTATTCACAAGTAAATTCTCTCCTTGTAACAACCATCTCAGAAAACAAAGTTGAAGAGTCAATGTCAGCTAGACTTTTAGGATGAGTAATGATGAATTTGGCTACTATCTAGCTATACTATTTCGGTCTGGTCAAGCCCGAGCCCGTTATTTGTCGTGTGAAGAGGTACGGGAAAGTTCTGTCCATCCGTGTCCTGAAATTGACATGGTAATTTTCAGATTTGTCCACTAGATGCCAGAACTGCAATAACTATTACAGAGCTTCTAGCAAAGATGGTCTGCTTCTAGTGAACTGTATGTATACAGGGACTCTAAATGTATACCTAATATTACAGCTATGACTACTGCATACCACCTAATATTACAGATATGACTACTGCATACCTCCTAATATTACAGATATGATAGTGTCGGAAATCCCAGATCTAGGGCAAAAGCACTAGGAGCATTGTTCACATTGTGGAAGGCACCCCTGTTGCCTAGGGAGACTACAGCTATAACTACTGCATACACATATTTGCCTGTCATGTTGGCAAATATAAGCCACACCTTGCAAATAATCATTTAAAGCTGTAACAAAACATTTATGCACATGACTGGCTATTGGTTTTCTGTTCTAGGATGACAGCCGAGATGGATTGGTCCAAATCAGAAAAAGAGACTTGGAGAGATTGACTACAGAGGTCATGCAGCTCCGAGAGTTCTTACCCAAAGTAGTGAACGGAGACCTGATTGAGATGCTGCAGAAAGCCCGTGCTGCAGAGACAAGTAAGCTGCCCTTGAAATGGCTCTACGCCGGTTGTTATCATACAAGTGGGCAGATGATGAATAACATGAATGTTGGTATTGGGAAGTAGCCTAAACAGTGAACGGGAAAATCCTGTGTATGTGTGTTTGTGTGTTTGTGTGTGTGTGTGTGTGTGTGTGTGTGTGTGTGTGTGTGTGTGTGTGTGTGTGTGTGTGTGTAGTGAAGGAGCGCCTTGGTCAGGAACAGGAGCAACTGAGACAGGAGTGTCTGCACCTCCGCTCTCGCCTGGACGCAGCGCAGAGCGAGTGTCAGAAAGAGAGGGAGGTGAGAGATGGAGGGATATAAGAGAGGGAGGTGAGAGATGGAGGGATATAAGAGAGGGAGGTGAGAGATGGAGGCATATTAAAGAGAAGGTGAGAGATGGAGGGATATAAGAGAGGGAGGGATATTAGAGAGGGAGGTGAGAGATGGAGGGATATTAGAGAAAGGAGATTAACTAAATGTGTGTTGAGTCTGTGGATTGGGTAATCTGTTCCCTAGGTAACACTGGGTGTGTCAGAGTATGTCTTAAGGCCTTACTAGTAGACCCAGAGAAGAAGATGGTTCCTGGAACAAGTGTGTGTGTGTGCATGCGTGTTAGTCTATCTGCTGCATGCCCCTGCAGGAGAAGCTGGTTCTGAGGGAGCAGCTATGGGAGAGTCGGGAGCAGCTGCAGCAGCAGGCGGAGTTCTGTACTGGGCTGGGGGCTGCCTCCTGCACCCTGCTATGGAGCACCTCCAGTAAGGAGGAGGCAGTCAAAGACATCCTGGCCGATGTGAGAGGCATTCATCTACAGACCGTACAAACCCTTTCACCCAATTCCAAATCAACCCCTAGTCGCTTATGCACCTGTGGAGATCTGAGAGGATTGGATAGGTATAACATTATGGCCAATAGCTTCATCACACCCTTTGATAGACTTGGTGGACTTTTCACTGTATTGCGCTGACACCTATCATATCATTTCAGATCCACAGAAGTACCAAGGACCTAGGGCTCAATTTAGGATTCAGCACTCATCTGCCTCTGATGCTTTCCACCAGTCCATGTCCTGGTTCTCTTTGAACTCCAGTCCATGGCCTGGTTCTCTTTGAACTCCAGTCCATGGCCTGGTTCTCTTTGAACTCCAGTCCATGGCCTGGTGTTCTTTAAACTCCAGTCCATGGCCTGGTTCTCTTTGAACTCCAGTCCATGGCCTGGTTCTCTTTGAACTCCAGTCCATGTCCTGGTTCTCGTTTGCTTTTATCCTTCCTTGTTCCTTAACTCCTCCCCTTTTCCTCTGGCCGACCTCTGACCCTGCCTCATTACTCTGATTGTAGGGTAAGCTGCAGTCCTTCCTGAGCGTGGCGGGCCAGACCCTGGAGAGCTTTGTCAAGTCTTTGGATGGGGAGGCCAAGGCCGAGCAGCAAGACTCCAACTCCCATGAGCACCAGTTTGTCCTGGCGCTGGCCGGAGTCGTCACCAGTGAGTATGCAACTATGCCAGCATGGCATGCCATCCAAACTGTCTATTGAATGTATTTTATAACCACAGTTTATAATTACACTATCTCACTGTGAGTTATTCCAGTCTATGCTGTACTATATATCATATTCTGCATCGTGTAATAAATGGCGCACGCTGCTCAGCATTAACATCTTTAGCTCTCCAATTGGTGACCTCCCTGCTGCGTGATTGTCCACTCAGACGTGGCGGCGGTGACGTGTGGGCGGGACTACCTGTCCAGCTTCGCCCACGTCCTCTTGGAGACACTGATGCAGCTGCTGGAGCTCCTGAAGCCTGGGGTCTTCCCCAAACTCAAAGTGTAAGACTGGAGGACTCCTTAATCACACACACACACACACACGCTCTCCTCAGCGGTTACGTTGGCCGACCCAACACATACACACACATCAATACACACAGCCGTCTGAATCCAAATCAAATGATACCTGCAATAATAAATTAACTAGGCATTGTAGTTTTTCTGCAGGTGGATGAATGATGATGGTTATTGTAGTTTCTCTGCAGGTGGACGTGGATGACCATTGTAGTTTATCTGCAGGTGGATGCTGATGGTTGTTGTAGTTTATCTGCAAGTGGATGAATGATGATGGTTATTGTAGTTTCTCTGTGTTGCAGGTTGATGCTGATGGCTCTGTATAATGTCAGTATCAGTGTAAAGGGACTGAAGTATATCAGGGAGTTTCCAGGACTTCACTCTCTCATCTGGACCCTTTTGGAAGGTAAGAGGGGAGTGAGGCGTGGGCTTGTGTGTTTTGTATGTGTCGTTATAAAATGTGTGCATTCAAAAGCATTTGTTTGTTAATAAGGATCTATTATAGCCCACAATGGGGCTAATCGTCCAAGAGTCCAGTGTGTGTCGGACAGAGAGAGCCTGAATCAGAGGTCAGAGAGCTGGCATCAGTATGTTTAACTCAGATCAGTGAAGCAGGGCTCATTGGTTGTGGACAGTTAGGTGGATTAGAATAATCTCTCTTCTCTCTCGAATCATCTGCTCAGGGAGGGCTTCTATAGCTCGACACGAGATCTGAAGAATAAGGAGGAGCTCGTCTCTCTCTTACTCTCATATCCGATTTTTTCTCTCTCTCTGATCTAGAGTCTTCGCGTCTCGATAGCAGACTCTCTCCTGCGCATCGTCTCATCATCTCTCTTCTCTCTCCTCTGATCTCTCTCTCTCTCTCTCTCTCCTGTCCTCCTTTCTCCCTCTCTTGACCCATCTTCCCCTCCTGAGACGGGGACTCTGAGGTATGCCTCCACGCCCTGCGGCTGCTCCAGTCAGTGCTGCTGGAGGAGGCGGTGGCCCTGGTGGGGCCCGGGCTGCTGCTGGACGACCCCCTCATCCCCCTGGAGCGCATCCGCACGCTGGCCACCTCCAGCCGCCACCCGGCCCTGAGGCAGACGGCCCAGGAGACCCTGGATGACCTGGGCTCCCTCCGCGCCTCCTTCCTGGACCCCCACGGCACCTCCTCCTCTGACCAAGTACATGTATAAATACACCCAACCCAGTCAAACACACAGCACTAGCGACACGTCCCACTCATGTGATGATGATGATGATGATGCTTTCATACGGTTCTCTGATGAGAGAGTTCTCTACTGAGGAGAGCTCCCATGGTGCACTGTGGAAGCTGGGTCCGAACTCTCTCCTCATTACGCAGTTCCATCGTGTCCCTTTCTCGCTTTTCCACCCGGTCCTCGGACTTTGTCAGGTTGGTTCCGGACCAGTAGAACCCCATAACTGTACATAAGGGCTTCATAACACATTCATACCCCATACATAGAACATACATACGCACTACAAAACTGTGTATGTCAACAGATTGTTGACACAATCCAAGGCAAGCATTACCTTTACTTGCCATATGTTATAGTCTGTTTGTTTAACGTATTTAGCTGCTGTTGACTTGGATCTGTTTCTACCAGTTAGCCTGTTGACCTAATACCAGCTAATACCATAGTCAGCCTCATGTTCTTATTTTGTTAGGTCAAGTACCTTGAGGTCAAGTAACAATGGAGGATCGGTTATTTGTGTGTGTTGTGTTTTACCATTGTTACAGACAATAAAAATGTTATTCAAAACTTTTCCCAAATGAACGTTCATTTATATGTAGCCTATTTTAACCAGGTTAGGAGAGGCTTGTGTGTGTGAATTTGTCTGACTGTCCTGTTCTCCCACCACCATATCCTGGACCAGCTCACACGTGACTCCCCAACACCATCTACGTTTACATGTTAGCCAGGTAGCAGACGCTCTTATCCAGAGTGACTTACAGTAGTGAGTGAATACATTTTCATACTTTTTCGTACTGGTCCCCCGTGGGAATCGAACCCATCCCCCTGGTGTTGCAAGCGCCATGCTCTACCATCTGAGCCCCCGTCTCCCAGATAAACAGAGATTATGACGTAGAGATTGGCCTGGTCATTAGGAGTCTCCTAAAGTGGATAATCCTTTCAGTGTCTGAGGGGATGACACTGAGTAAGCTGACTCGGCACGTGGACACCAGGCTGTATGGTATTGAAGCAAGTAAGACTCTGTGTACATATACAGTCAAGCCTCAGTTTGTTGAGTTGCAGTCCATTTCAAAGTTACAAACATTTCCATATTCTGACCCGACCTCCATTCCCAACGTGATTGTATCTCTGAGGTGCTACTGTACTGTACACATAGATGAGAGGGCTAAAAGACTGGGCTGGATTCTGTCCGCTAAGGATCTTTGCTAATAATAGTAATTTGCAAATCCTCTCACAAACCAACACGAACTTGCTTACACTCAGAAGAGAGGTGTGTTGCCAATACCTTGCTAACTTGTAGAAAATGTATGTGTCAGAGCATGTGAAGCGATACAGCAGAGGTGTAACTTGGTTTTGTAGTTACAAAAATAAGGAAGAACATTTTTGGTGTCTTGTTTGATCTTTTAGAACGTGGAAGTCCATCGTTCCAATGGCCTCCAAAGGACATGGCGACACCGACTCAGGACAGTTACCCCCGGCCCCAGCTTACTCCAAAGAGGTACCGCCTGGTCACAATGCTGTGTACCCAGCGCCCACCGTGGTGCCACCACCCCCAAGCTGCCTGACACCTTCAGCCCCACCGGTTCATATGATGATGCCTGCCTCCCTCGGACCACACAATGTTGTCTACCCCGCGCCCACGAACCCTGGTTTCACACCTCCCGGATACGTGACCCCTTCCGCTCCTCCGATGATGCCTGCCCCTCTTGGACACCCTAATGTTGTCTACCCCGTGCCTACAAACCCCGGATTCCCACCCCCAGGCTACGTGCCCCTTCCGGTGCCTCCGATGATGCCTGCCCCTTTCGGACACCCTAATGCTGTCTACCCCGCGCCCCCGAACCCCGGAGTCCCGCCAGTACCCCCAGGCTACGTGCCCCCTCCGGTCCCCGCGATGATGCCTGCCCCTCCGCCTGATCTCCGACCCACCGGCTGCCCCCCAGGACTGGAATACCTGATTCATATCGACCAGCTTCTCGTCCATCAGACTTTTCATCTGGCCGAACTGCTTGGTTGGGAGGTTAGAAATTCCTACAATGTGAAGAACAGCATCGGGCAACAAGTGTTTCTCGCGGAAGAGGAGAACAACTGCTGCACCCTACAGTGCTTTGGTCCCAGCCGACCTTTCACCTTTCACATCCAGGACAACCTGGGGCAGGAGGTGCTGACCCTGACGCGCCCTCTTGCGTGCAGCTACTGCTGCTTCCCCTGCTGCCTGCAAGACCTGGAGGTGCAGAGTCCCCCCGGTATTCCAATAGGGTATGTGGTGCAGGAGTGTCACCCGTTCCTGCCCAAACTCACTGTGCTGAACGAGAGGAGACAGCCTCAGCTGAGGATCAAAGGGCCGCTGTTTTTCTGTAGTTGTTGCAGAGACGTCACATTTGAGGTAAAGACTCTGGATGACTCAATGTCGATAGGACACATCAATAAGCAGTGGTCCGGCTTCCTGCGAGAAGCCTACACAGACGCGGATAATTTTGGAATCGTGTTCCCAATGGACCTGGATGTGAAGATGAAGGCTGTGCTGCTGGGAGCCTGCTTCCTGATCGATTTCCTGTATTTTGAGGAACGGAAAGGAGACAAGAAACATTGATGAACTTTTGCTCTGTGGCAACTATCCTTAGTGGACTGTGAAGAACTCCCAGAAGGATTACACATCAAAATTATTTTAGACTAGACCTACAGTTGACCTACAATAAAGTTGTGGGTGATGGACGTCCTACTGAACAGGGGTCAGCATGTCAAAATCAACAACTCCAAATCCCTCTCATTGTGTATATCTAAAGGTGCTCCCAAAGGGACAGTTCTCTCATTGTGTATATCTAACGGTGCTTCTTAAAGGGACAGTTATCTCATTGTGTATATCTAACGGTGCTCCCAAAGGGACAGTTCTCTCATTGTGTATATCTAAAGGTGCTCCCAAAGGGACAGTCCTCTCCCCAGTGTATTCTCCATCTTAAACAACTTCCTACTTCTCAGCATCAACAAAAACACTACAAGGCTACAAGGTCCCGGGGTTCAGTAACAACAACATTTTACATTTTACATTTTAGTCATTTAGCAGACGCTCTTATCCAGAGCGAACAAAACGACTACAAGGCTACAAGGTCCCGGGGTTCAGTAACAACAAAACGACTACAATGCTACAAGGTCCCGGGGTTCAGTAACAAAACGACTACAAGGCTACAAGGTCCCGGAGTTCAGTAACAAAACGACTACAAGGCTACAAGGTCCCGGGGTTCAGTAATAAAACGACTACAAGGCTACAAGGTCCCGGGATTCAGTAACAAAACGACTACAAGGCTACAAGGTCCCGGGGTTCAGTAATAAAACGACTACAAGGCTACAAGGTCCCGGGGTTCAGTAATAAAACACTACAAGGCTACAAGGTCCCGGGGTTCAGTAACAACAAAACGACTACAAGGCTACAAGGTCCCGGGGTTCAGTAATAAAACGACTACAAGGCTACAAGGTCCCGGGGTTCAGTAACAAAACGACTACAAGGCTACAAGGTCCCGGGGTTCAGTAATAAAACGACTACAAGGCTACAAGGTCCCGGGTTCAGTAATAAAACGACTACAAGGCTACAAGGTCCCGGGATTCAGTAACAAAACGACTACAAGGCTACAAGGTCCCGGGGTTCAGTAATAAAACGACTACAAGGCTACAAGGTCCCGGGGTTCAGTAATAAAACACTACAAGGCTACAAGGTCCCGGGGTTCAGTAACAAAACGACTACAAGGCTACAAGGTCCCGGGGTTCAGTAACAAAACGACTACAAGGCTACAAGGTCCCGGGGTTCAGTAACAAAACGACTACAAGGCTACAAGGTCCCGGGGTTCAGTAATAAAACGACTACAAGGCTACAAGGTCCCGGGGTTCAGTAATAAAACACTACAAGGCTACAAGGTCCCGGGGTTCAGTAATAAAACGACTACAAGGCTACAAGGTCCCGGGGTTCAGTAATAAAACGACTACAAGGCTACAAGGTCCCGGGGTTCAGTAACAAAACGACTACAAGGCTACAAGGTCCCGGGGTTCAGTAATAAAACGACTACAAGGCTACAAGGTCCCGGGGTTCAGTAACAAAACGACTACAAGGCTACAAGGTCCCGGGGGTTCAGTAACAAAACGACTACAAGGCTACAAGGTCCCGGGGTTCAGTAATAAAACGACTACAAGGCTACAAGGTCCCGGGGTTCAGTAACAAAACGACTACAAGGCTACAAGGTCCCGGGGTTCAGTAACAAAACGACTACAAGGCTACAAGGTCCCGGGGTTCAGTAATAAAACACTACAAGGCTACAAGGTCCCGGGGTTCAGTAACAACAGAAGCAGGGCACGCTTCATCCTTACGCCCATCATCCTATTGAATAGTGGGACAAAGGACACAATTTACATTATCTGTCCGGACAGTAGGCTATGCATGTCACAGGGTACTGTGTGAATGTCTGTGTTCACTTTGTATTGCATTGCATTATATTATATTGAATTATAGTGTATTGGATTTGTGTACTTTCTTTGTGTTATATATATACAGTAGAATTCCAATGCAAATGGACAATAAAGTATATTGTATCATACAATGTCAATGCAACATTAACATAACAACAAAATGTAGGCTAGAATCCAACAAAATATCATGCTGCTGAGTGTCGCAAATTGAGTTGAACAATGTTAGCGTTGGCTCATGAGTCATCACCACATTGGTCATCATGACCCACTTGACTTGATGCCTGTCCGTTAAACTGCTTACAGGGAGGAGACTAGTGAGCCTCTAGTCTAGTAGAAACGTGTATGGTCTAATTCAATAGAGAGACGTTGCTGCCCAATGTTACTGTTTAGCGTTATTGTACCGTGAGCGGCTGCTACAGCCAATTCATTGTGCAAACCTCGTGGAGACCACTTGGACGTCACCGTGTCCAGCTCCAATACACCTTTCCCGCTCCACGAGAAGCACGCGGGACAGTTGCTCAGCAACTCTGACGCAAGCGTGACGTTATTGAAGTGTGTTTTAGTTTATTATGGCAGGAGAAGATTTCCAGCCGAGTTTGAGTTACAGAGGTTGGTGAATTATTGCATACCAGACTGATCCCCCGTTATCAAAATATGAGGAACAAATCGTCTGTGCGCACTTCTTAGGAAAGTAGCCTGGGTGCGCTCATTGTTCTAGAACGGTGGAGGATTCCAACAACACAGGTGGATGTATTGAACTGTAGGTTTTCTGTGAAGGTAAATTACAAATGAATAATAAGCTATGGTCTTTTTTTATTTCAATGACACTTGTTGGCTAATGGCTATACTCTTACGCGGTTACGCAGGCTATAGTCTTTCATCTCCTAAATAGTTAAATAGAATTACACTTTTTGAAAGGTGATTTATAACCTAGGCCTACTAGATTTAATATCACAATTGTATATTTTTTATTTCCTGTTATATGCAGCCTATATATATGCAGCCAAATATGTTTTTTCAATTTTGTTTACAGGAGTGACCTAATAACGGTAGCCTAATCCTGGGAAGTGGACAATAGATTTATCCGGTCACTGGGGTGCCTCTGCACAATGGTGGTTTTATCAGATGGCTCTCCTCCGTGCCCTGGGGGGCCGGTTCAGGTCGGTTTCTACGAGATCATCAGGACGCTGGGGAAGGGAAACTTCGCCGTGGTTAAACTGGCTTGTCACAAAGTCACAAAAACCCAGGTGCTTAATTACGCAAGCATAATGCATATTAAACATTTCTTCCCTACACCATCAATCTCCAATATTCAACTCCAACGTTATACAGTTTGTTAACATAGAGTGATTTCATACTGTTAGGATTTACAGCCAGCTGCTGCTTAGCAAACAAGTGACAGAATGAGAAACATGGTCTCAGAGGATTTCGTATTATTCTGTACGTAATTCCGAGACACTCCATTTAGCATGATATGTTACGTTTCGTATGGAATGTATTAATTTGTGGATGCCATCATCAATGTCGTATGATATGTTAGGAATTACAATTCGTATGATATGTTACATACATTTGCAAAACATACAATATGTTACGAATTTTCTAAATGTATGATATGTTATGAATCCCAATTTGTTGTAGCTAACGTTAGCTAGGTGGCTAATGTTAGGGTTAAGGCTAGGAGTTAGGTTATGGTGTTTAAGGGATACTTCGGGATTTTGGCAATGAGGCCCTTTATCTACTTCCCAATAGTGAGATGAACTCGTGGATACCATTTTTATGTCTCTGCATCCAGTTTGAAGGAAGCTGCTAACTAGCGCTAGCGCAATTGCTAATTGCTGTTAGCACAATGACTGGAAGTCTATGGGTATCCCCTATCAGCAAATACCCATAGACTTCCAGTCATTGTGCTAACACTAGTTGGCATTGGCTCGCAAAAATAACTCTAACTTACTTCATACTGAAATGGAATCCACGAGTTCATCTGACTCTGGGGAAGTGGATAAAGGGGCTCATTGCCAACATCCCGAAGTATCATATCATACTAATTTGAGTGTCCCGGATTTATGTTTACTATGTTACGTCTAGTCTATGTGACCAGGCTCGAATGGGACCTTGGCTGAGTCTGAAATGGCACCCTATTCCCTGTATAGTCAAAGTGCACTACTTTTGACCAGGGTCCAGGGCTTTGGTCAAAAGTAGTGCACTATATAGGGGTTAGGGTACCATTTTGAAATTAACTCTGCTTTCTTCACACACAGGTGGCCATTAAAATCATTGATAAGAAAAGACTGGAGCCCTCTGACCTGAAGAAGATTTACAGAGAGGTCGAGGTGATGAAGCTCCTTAACCATCCTCACATTATCAAGCTCTATCAGGTAGCTCCTCAACCATCCTCACATTATCAAGCTCTATTGGGTAGCTCCTCAACCATCCTCACTTTATCAAGCTTTATTGGGTAGCTCCTCAACCATCCTCACTTTATCAAGCTTTATTGGGTAGTCTCAACCTTATTACAAGCTATCTTCAACCATCATCACATATCAAGCTATGGGTAGCCTATCAATCCAAGCTTATCAAGCTTTATGAGGTCGCTCCTCAACCATCATCACATTATCAAGCTCTATTGGGTAGCTCCTCAATCATCCTCACATTGTCAAGCTCTATCAGGTAAGGTATAGAGATGGTTCATCTACTCTTTCTCTTCTATCTATCCTCTCTCTCTCTCTCTCTCTCTCGCTCTCTATCTCCTATCTCTCTCTCTATCTCTCTCTACTTCGTCTCTCTCTCTCTCTCTCTCTCTCACTCTCTTCTCCTTCTCTCTCTCTCTCTCTCTCTCTTCTCCTTCTCTCTCTCTCTCTCTCTGCCCCCTCTCTCATTCTCAGTACGAGGAGGATTTTGAAAGGTCAGGTTGTTTATCTTGTAATAGGGGTTAAATGTGTGTGTTTCCCAGCCCTCAGCCCAGCCAACCCCAGCTCTATGAGTCACATGGGGTTTTTAGAATGGAAAATGAAGACCCCGTGAACCCTCCCCTACTTCCAATATGGTCTCAAAGCAAATATTTCTTAAAACAACTCAGTGAGTCCGAGAATCTTTTACTTCGTTTTTTGTAATGGTTTTTAAGGATTCCAAGATGTGCCACTTCGGCACTCTGTTCCACAGCCTTACATGTAATAGTGACATGGGACATTTATATTTTAAGATGTATTTATTTATTTATTTATCAGTGAGTGTGCCTCTCTTGTGTCTTGCAGGTCATGGAAACTAAGGACATGTTGTACATGGTGATGGAGTATGCCAGGAACGGAGAGATGTTTGGTAAGTGGGAGGGTATCGCTCTAGAGGTTTCCATCTTGCTTGGTTGCCAATTCTTAGAACAGTGGGGGGGGGGGGGGGGGAGGGTACAGCAAGCACATGCAACAGTGAACAACCACAAGAATCGAGGAGACACAGCCCAAGCGTAGCCCATCGCGCCGACAGCCACAGCCCAACGCCTCGAACCAAGCCAACAGCAAGGCCCGACAAGGACCGCCGCGCAGGAGGAAGCCCAGCGAGCCCCTCGCCGAAGCCCAACGCGAGGCGAGCCACCGCGCCCGACCCGGAGCCCACTGCGCCCGAACCCCCCGAGCCCACCGGCCGACCCCCACAGCCCACCCCGCGCCCACGCCCACAGCCCACCCGCGAGCCCCACGCCCCACAGCCCACCCGCGAGCCCTCCGCGCCGACAGCCACACCCAACCGCGAGCACCCACGATGAGCCCGCCCGACAGCCCACCCGACCCGCCGCCCCACAGCCCACCCGGATCCCGCGCGCCCACAGCCCACCGCGAGCCACAACGCTCCCGACAGCCACCGCGCACCCAACCGCGCCCGACACCCACCCGCTAGCCCCTCCTCGCCAACTCCCACATCCCCCTCCCTACATCCCCCCCGCCCCACCTCCACACACCACCTCTATCACCCACCTCTCCCTACATCCCACCCTCTATCCCCACCTCTCCCTACATCCCACCCCCTATCCCCACCTCTCCCTACATCCCACCCTCTATCCCCACCTCTCCCTACATCCCACCCTCTATCCCCACCTCTCCCTACATCCCACCCTCTATCCCCTCCTCTCCCTACATCCCACCCTCTATCCCCTCCTCTCCCTACATCCCACTTTCTTTCTGTAGACTACTTGTCATCGTCGGGGCGGCTGTGTGAGAGCGAGGCTCGCAGGAAGTTCTGGCAGATCCTGTCAGCGGTGGACTACTGCCACAGCAACCACATCGTCCACAGAGACCTGAAGGCTGAGAACCTTCTGCTGGACTCCAACATGGACATCAAAGTAGCAGGTACAGGCAGAAAGGAGAGGCTTGGAAATCAATCAACCTTGAATCACAGAAAGATGGATGTTTTAAAAAAACTGGTCAAATATAATTGTTTTAGTTAGTAATTAAGCTACAGTGTATTCGGAAAGTATTCAGACCCCTTGACTTTTTCCACATTTTGTTACATTACAGCCTTATTCTAAAATTGATTAAATCGTTTTTTTCCCCTCATCAATCCAAAATGTAAATAAGGTATTTCTGTTTTTTATTAGTAATACATTTGCAAAGATTTCTAAAAAACAGTTTTCACTTTGTCATTATGGGGTATTGTGTGTATATTGATGAGGGAAAAAATTTATTGAATCAATTTTAGAATAAGGCTGTAATGTAACAAAATGTGGAAAAAGTCAAGGGGTCTGAATACTTCCCGAATGCACTATTATATTTATTAGATTCTATTGAAGGTGGTGGTTTAAGAAATTACAAAAAATATTAACTTACAGTATGGTTGCTATGGTGTCCCTTGTCATGTGCATATGTGTCCTATGATATGAATGAGAACGTTTCAGAGGATTCGCGAGGGCTTTAGGCAGGGCTATTCAACTCCGGTCCTGGAGGGCCAAAACATCTCCGTTATTTGTTTCTACCTGGTAGTTAATTGCAGTCACCTGGTGTCCCAGGTCTGAACCAGTCCCTGATCAGAAGAGGATGAAAACCAGAAGTGTTTTGGCCCTCCAGGACCGGAGTTGAACAGCCCTGGCTTTAGGGATAGTATCCTCTAATATGAATAGACTTTTTCCTCTCCCTCCCTGTAGACTTTGGTTTTGGGAACTTCTTCAGTGAAGGAGAATTTCTGTCCACCTGGTGTGGGTCCCCGCCCTACGCCGCTCCAGAGGTGTTTGAGGGGATTGAGTACGAGGGGCCACCTCTAGACATCTGGGTAAGGGACCAGGAAGGGATGGTTTCGCTCCTATTCTCTTGCTTTGGGTTGGTTATTTCTCTATAACCTATTGGAATGTCATGGGAAGGAAAGTGCAGATGAAGGTTGTACGTTTTCAGATCTCAGATTCCCTCTTGTACTGTAATAACCCTATAGGTGGTTATGGCGGTGCAGAGATGATTCATCAGGAATTCTACATCTTTATCCTATCCTATTTTTTGCAGAAATTGTCCCTTTTTTCCAATCAAATCCCTGGTAGTGACAGTAGTACTAATAGTAGTAGGAAGTAGCAGGACTGTGGTGCTCATCTCTCTCCCCTCTGGTGTTCAGAGTCTGGGGGTGGTGCTGTACGTGTTGGTGTGTGGCGTCCTGCCCTTTGATGGCCCCTCCCTCCCCGCACTCAGACAGAGGGTCCGGGAGGGACGCTTTAGAATCCCCTTCTACATGTCCCAAGGTACGGTCCTGCAGGAGTGGTCACATGACAGATAATCACAGGACAAGTCTGAAACGACACCCTATTCCCTATTTAGTGCTCTACTCTGCAGTAGTGCAGTAAGTTAGTGCAGTAAGTTAGTGCGGTAAGTTAGTGCAGTAAGTTAGTGCGGTAAGTTAGTGCTGTATATAGATACGATTATTGATACTCTGCAGTAGTGCAGTAAATTAGTGCGGTATATAGATACGATTATTGATACTCTGCAGTAGTGCAGTAAATTAGTGCGGTATATAGATACGATTATTGATACTCTGCAGTAGTGCAGTAAGTTAGTGCGGTATATAGATACGATTATTGATGGGGGCAAAAATCGATATAGTTACATATCCCAATATTATTTTGGAAGATATTATATCGATACTTTGACACCAAGTATCGATAAAAAGAATATATATATATATATATATATATATATATACAGTTGAAGTCGGAAGTTTACATACACTTAGGTTGGAGTCATTAAAACTAGTTTTTCAACCACTCCACAAATTTCTTTTTAACAAACTATAGTTTTGGCAAGTCGGTTAGGAAATCTACTTTGTGCATGACACAAGTAATTTTTCCAACTATTGTTTACAGACAGATTATTTCACTTATAATTCACTGTATCACAATTCCAGTGGGTCAGAAGTTTACATACACTAAGTTGACTGTGCTTTTAAACAGCTTGGAAAATTCCAGAAAATGATGTCATGGCTTTAAAAGCTGCTGTTAGGCTAATTGACATCATTTGGTCAATTGGAGGTATACCTGTGGATGTATTTCAAGGCCTACCTTCAAACTCAGTGCCTCTTTGCTTGACATCATGGGAAAATCAAAAGAAATCAGCCAAGACCTCAGAATTTTTTTTTTATACCTCCACAAGTTTGGTTCATCCTTGGGAGTAATATCCAAATGCCTGAAGGTACCACGTTCATCTGTACAAACAATAGTACGCAAGTATAAACACCATGGGACCACGCACCCGTCATACTGCTCAGGAAGGAGATGCGTTCTGTCTCCTGGAGATGAACATACTTGCGAAAAGTGCAAATCAATCCCAGAACAACAGCAAAGGACCTTGTGAAGATGCTGGAGGAAACAGGTACAAAAGTATCTATATCCACAGTAAAACGAGTCCTATATCGACATAACCTGAAAGGCCACTCAGCAAGGAAGAAGCCACTGCTCCAAAACCGCCATAAAAAAGCCAGACTATGGTTTGCAACTGCACATGGGGACAAAGATCATACTTTTTGGAGAAATGTCCTCTGGTCTGATGAAGCAAAAATAGAACTGTTTGGCCATAATGACCATTGTTATGTTTGGAGGAAAAAGGGGGTCGCTTGCAAGCCGAAGAATACCATTCCAACCGTGAAGCACGGGGGTGGCAGCATCATGCTGTGGGGGTGCTTTGTTGCAGGAAGGACTGGTGCACTTCACAAAATAGATGGCATCATGAGGAAGGAACATTATGTGGATTATTGAAGCAACATCTCAAGCCATCAGTCAGGAAGTTAAAGCTTGGTCACAAATGGGTCTTCCATATGGACAGTGACCCCAAGCATACTTCCAAAGTTGTGGCAAAATGGCTTAAGGACAACAAAGTCAAGGTATTGGAATGGCCATCACAAAGCCCTGACCTCAATCCTATAGAAAATGTGTGGGCAGAACTGAAAAAGCGTGTTCGAGCAAGGAGGCCTACAAACCTGACTCAGTTACACCAGCTCTGTCAGGAGGAATGGGCCAAAATTCACCCAACTTATTGTGGGAAGCTTGTGGAAGGCTACCCGAAACGTTTGACCCAAGTTAAACAATTTAAAGGCAATGCTACCAAATACTAATTGAGTGTATGTAAACTTCTGACCCACTGGGAATGTGATGAAAGAAATAAAAGCTGAAAGAAATAATTCTCTCTACTATTATTCTGATATTTCACATTCTTAAAATAAAGTGGTGATCCTAACTGACCTAAGACAGGGAATTTTTACTAGGATTAAATGTCAGGAATTGTGAAAAACTGAGTTTAAATGTAGTTGGCTAAGGTGTATGTAAACTTCCGACTTCAACTGTATACAGTGCCTTCAGAAAGTATTCACACCCCTTGACTTTTTCCACATTTTGTTGTGTTACAGCCTGACTTTAAAAATAGATTAAATTGCTTTTTTCTGTCACTGGCCTACACACAATACCCCATAATGTCAAGTGGAATTATGTATTTCGAAATGTTTACAAATTAATTAAAATGAAAAGCTTCAATCAATCAATTAATCAAATGTTATTTACAAAGCCATTTTTACATCAGCAGATGTAACAAAGTGCTATACAGAAACCCAGCCTAAAACCCCAAACAGCAAGCAATGCAGATGTAGAAGCACGGTCTTGAGTCAATACGTTTTCAACCCCTTTGTTATGGCAAGCCTAAATAAGTTCAGGAGTAAAAATGTGCTTAACAAGTCACATAAGTTGCATGGACTAACTCTGTGTGGAATAATATTGTTTAACATGATTTTTGAATGACTACATCATCTCTGTACCACACACATACAATGATCTGTAAGGTCCCTCAGTCGAGCACTGAATTTCAGACTCAACCACAAAGACCATGGAGGTTTTCCAATGCCTCGCAAAGAAGGGCAGCTATTGACAACAGACATTGAATATCCCTTTGAGCATGGTGAAGTTACTAATTACACTTTGGATGGTGTATCAATACACCCAGTCACTACAAAGATACAGGCGTCCTTTCTAACTCAGTTGCCGGAGAGGAAGGAAACCGTTCAGGGATTTCACCATGAGGCCAATGGTGACTTTAAAACAGTTAGAGTTTAATGGCTGTGATAGGAGAAAACTGAGGATGGATCAAAACAACGTTGTAGTTACTCCACAATACTAACCTAATTGACAGAGTGAAAAGAAGGAAGCCTGTACAGAATAAACATATTCCAAAACATGCATCCTGTTTGCAACAAGGCACTAAAATAATACTGCAAGAAATGTGGCAAAGCAATTAACTTTTTGTGCTGCATACAAAGTGTTATGTTTGGGGCAAATCCAATCCAACACATTACTTAGTACAACTCTCCATATTTTCAAGCATAGTGGTGGCTGCATCATGTAATGGGTATGCTTGTAATTGTTAAGGACTGGGGAGTTTTTCAGGATAAAAAATAAATGCAATGAGGCTAAGCACAGACAAAATCCTAGAGGAAAACCTGGTTCAGTCTGCTTTCCACCAGACACAGGGAGACGAATTCACCTTTCAGCAGGACAATAACCTAAAACACAAGGCCAAATCTACACTGGAGTTACTTACCAAGAAGACAGTGAATGTTCCTGAGTGGCCAAGTTACAGTTTTGACTTAAATCTACATAAAAGCTATGGCAAGACCTGAAAATGTTTGTCTAGCAATGATCAACAACCAATTTGACAGAGCTTGAAGAATTTTGAAAAGCATAATGGGTAAATGTTGCACAATTCATGTGTGGAAAGCTCTTAGAGACTTACCCAGAAAGACTCACAGCTGTAATTGCTGCCAAAGGTGCTTCTACAAAGTATTGACTCAGTGGTGTGAATACTTATGTAAATTCAATTTCTGTATTTCATTTTCAACCAATGTGCAACAATTTCTAAAAACATGTTTTCACTTTTCCATTAAGGGGTACTGTGTGTAGATGGGTGATAAAAATATATATTTAATCCAGTTTGAATTCAGGCTGTAAGATGACTAAATGTGGAATAAGTCAAGAGGTATGAATACTTTCTGAAGGCTCTGTATATATATATTTTTGTTGTTGTTGTTGCTAGCGTTAGCTAGCGCTAGTTGGATGTAATTACGCCAAAACTCCGGTATTATTCATCCAATTGTGATGAGGTGGTGTTGAAGGAGTCAGGCGCAGGAGGGTAAATCACAGAATAACAGGCTTTAATCCGCAAAATACAGGTTTACGCAGAAATGCGTCAAACACACTCCAAGGCACACAGGAAATACTCCACCGAGCTTCACTAACCTCCACAATAAACAATCACCCACACAGACAAGGAAGCAGAGGGAACACTTATACAATGACTAATGAGGGATAAGGACCAGGTGTGTGATTGAAGACAAGACAAATGGAGTGATAATAAATGGATCGGCAGTAGCTAATAAGCCGGTGACTATGAACGCTGAAACCTGCCCGAACAAGGAGGGGAGGCAGCCTCGGCGGAAGTCGTGACACCAATAGCTTATTTTCAGCACTTTTATTTCCATGACCGATCAAAACTCATTTTCTCATGCTCTCTTGTCTCTCTGCAGCAGACATATAGTGAGCAATATGTTTGGAACATCCAATCGCAATACAAATAGAATGGTGGGAATCTCATACATATAGTATGGTGATAATGTTGTATTGTAAGGTCCCTGGCAATTCCCAGCCCTTGATAATAGGGTGCCATTTCGAACACATTCACATACAAAGTTAGATATGATTATAGATGTTATAAATCCATGTTGTATTAATCAACCAAACACTGCTATAGTCACCACCAACGAAACAAATGGCTTTTCCTTTGATCATAGAACACTAACCAATCAAACTACAGCGGTGACATCAGCTGGTTCTGAAACCCTCTTTATTTTCTCCCTTATCTCCCTCCATACCGTCAGACTGTGAGAACCTGGTGCGGAGGATGTTGGTAATTGACCCGGCCAAACGCATCACGGTGGCCCGGATCAAGAAGCACCGCTGGATGAAGGCGGACCCCCCGGTCACGGCAGCCCCTCCAGAGACGCCCCAGCAGACCCCTGCCCTGGCCCCTGAAGCAGAGCCCTGTCTGGGGGAGAATTACAGCGAGCCGGTCCTTGGCCTCATGCAGACCCTGGGCATCGACCGGCAGAGGACCATTGAGGTGAGTGGGAGAAATACTAACAGACCAGGTTTGATCAGGCCAATGCGAGTCCTATGTGTAATTCGATATCTATATAGCTACATTGCTTACTGTATGTCATTTCAGTAGCTCTCTCTCTCTCTCTCTCTCTCTCTCTCTCTCTTTCTCTCTCTCTGTCTCTCTCTCTCTCTCTCTCTCTGTCTCTCTCTCTTCCTCTTCCTCTCTCTCTCTCTCTCTCTCTCTCTCTCTCTCTCTCTCTCTCTCTCTCTCTCTCTCTCTCTCTCTCTCTATCAATTCAATTCAATTCAATTCAATTTAAGGACTTTATTGGCATGGGAAACATGTTTACATTGCCAAAGCAAGTGAAATAGATAAACAAAAGTGAAAAACAGTAAACATTACACTCACAAAAGTTCCAAAAGAATAAAGACATTTCAAATGTTATATTATGTCTATATACAGTGTTGTAATAATGTGCAAATAGTTAAAGTACAAAAAGGAAAATAAATAAACATAAATATAGGTTGTATTTACAATGGTGTTTGTTCTTCACTGGTTGCCCTTGTCTTGTGGCAACAGGTCACAAATCTTGCTGCTGTGATTGCACACTGTGGTATTTCACCCAACAGATATGGGAGTTTATCAGAATTGGATTTGTTTTCGAATTCTTTGTGGGTCTGTGTAATCTGAGGGAAATATGTCTCTAATATGGTCATACATTTGGCAGGAAGTTAGGAAGTGCAGCTCAGTTTCCACCTCATTTTGTGGGCAGTGTGCACATAGCCTGTCTTCTCTTGAGAGCCAGGTCTGCCTACGGCGGCCTTTCTCAATAGCAAGGCTATGCTCACTGAGTCTGTACATAGTCAAAGATTTCCTTAAGTTTGGGTCAGTCACAGTGGTTAGGTATTCTGCCACTGTGTACTCTCTGTTTAGGGCCAAATAGCATTCTAGTTTGCTCTGTTTTTTTGTAAATTATTTTCAATGTGTCAAGTAATTATCTTTTTGTTTTCTCATGATTTGGTTGGCCTAATTGTGTTGTTGTCCTGGGGCTCTGTGGGGTCTGTTTGTGTTTGTGAACAGAGCCCCAGGACCAGCTTACTTGGGGGACTCTTCTCCAGGTTAATCTCTCTGTAGGTGATGGCTTTGTTATGGAAGGTTTGGGAATCGCTTCCTTTTAGGTGGTTGTAGAATTTAACGGCTCTTTTCTGGATTTTGATAATTAGCGGGTATCTGCCTAATTCTGCTCTGCATGCATTATTTGGTGTTTTATTGTTGTACACTGAGGATATTTTTGCAGAATTCTGCATGCAGAGTCTCAATTTGGTGTTTGTCCCATTTTGTGAATTCTTGGTTGGTGAGCGGACCCCAGACCTCACAACCATAAAGGGCAATGGGTTCTGTAACTGATTCAAGTATTTTTTGCCAGATCCTAATTGGTATGTCGAATTTTATGTTCCTTTTGATGGCATAGAAGGCTCTTCTTGCCTTGTCTCTCAGATCGTTCACAGCTTTGTGGAAGTTACCTGTGGCGCTGATGTTTAGGCCGAGGTATGTATAGTTTTTTGTGTGCTCTAGGGCAATGGTGTCTAGATGGAATTTGTATTCGTGGTCCTGGCAACTGGACCTTTTTTGGAACACCATTATTTTTGTCTTACTGAGATTTACTGTCAGGGCCCAGGTCTGACAGAATCTGTGCAGAAGATCTAGGTGCTGCTGTAGGCCCTCCTTGGTTGGTGACAGAAGCACCAGATCATCAGCAAACAGTAGACATTTGACTTCAGATTCGAAGCCTACCATTGACTATGTACATACCCAGCGTGCGACAGAGCTGCAGGAGTTGTGACCCGTTTTTGTTGGTTATGTTGTTGTAGTTGTGTCTAGGGGGGCGTATGGGGGAGGGAATGCTGTCACCTCCAGGTAGGTGTTTGTCCCGCTGTGTGCTGAGGGTGTCAGGTTCTTGTCCAGTTTTGGCATTTAGGTCGCCACAGACTAGTACATGCCCCTGGGCCTGGAAATGGTTGATCTGCCCCTCTAGGATGGAGAAGGCTGTCATCGTTAAAGTATGGGGATTCTATTAGGGGGATATAGGTAGCACACAGGAGGACATTTGTCTCTGTTGAGATCATTTACTTATTAATTTCCCTAGCCAGATGTAAAATGTTCCTGTTTTGACTAATTTAATAGAGTGGGTTAGGTCTGCTCTATACCAAATTAGCATACCCCCTGAGTCTCTTCCCTGTTTCACACCTGGTAGTTTGGTGGATGGGACTACCAGCTCTCTGTAACCTAGAGGGCAACCAGTGGATCCGTCTCCTCTACACCTGTTAGTTTGGTGGATGGGACTACCAGCTCTCTGTAACCTAGAGGGCAACCAGTGGGTCCGTCTCCTCTACACCGTCTCCTCTACACCAGAAGGGGCATAGGTCTGATCTGGGGGGGGCCTATATAGGGTGAGCCAGGGTTTGCTTGGGGTGGTCTTAGCTGGTTGGGGTGTGCCTGGTGATGCTGTGGTCTGGGTGTAGGTCCTCTTGGCGTGGGTTCTCTCGGTACAGGTCCTTCAGGAGGGGGTCTTGCAGGTCTGGGTGGGTTGTCCGTTGCTCTGTTGCTCCTGTGTGAGGTGCTGGGGCTGCGTTTGATGGTGACGTCCTTCAGGGACCTGGCAAAAGTTGGGATTGCTGCCATGTAGAGGTGGACCTGGTGGTAAAGGCTATTCAAGTCCAGGGTGGAGTGGTGGGCCAGGTAGACATTATGCTTCCATTCACCCACTCTATGGTGGCAGGGTGAACGTCTTTTCATGGTAGCAGGTTGGAGATTACTCTTAGGCCTCACTCCCCCCTATCTGAGATACCTACTGCAGCCCTCATCCTCCACATACAACACCCGTTCTGCCAGTCACATTCTGTTAAAGGTCCCCAAAGCACACACATCCCTGGGTCGCTCCTCTTTTCAGTTTGCTTCAGCTAGCGACTGGAACGAGCTGCAAAAAACACTAGACAGTTTGAGCTCCATCTCTTCATTCAAAGACTCAATCATGGACACTCTTACTGACAGTTGTGGCTGCTTCGCGTGATGTATTGTTGTCTCTACCTTCTTACCTTTGTGCTGTTGTCTGTGCCCAATAATGTTGCTACCACGTTTTGTTCTGCTACCATGTTGTGCTGCTGCCATGTTGTGTTGCTACCATGTTGTTGTCATGTGGTGTTGCTACCTTGCTGTGTTGTCGTGTGTTGCTGCCATGCTATGTTGTTGTCTTAGGTCTCTCTTTATGTAGTGTTGTGTTGTCTCTCTTGTTGTGATGTGTATTTGGTCCTATATTTATATATATATATATATATTTATTTTTTAAATCCCAGCCCCCGTCCCCGCAGGAGGCCTTTTGCCTTTTGGTAGGCCGTCATTGTAAATAAGAATTTGTTCTTAACTGACTTGCCTAGTTAAATAAAGGTACAAAAATAAATAATAATAATAATCATCATATTGTGCGTTGGGGAAAGTGGAAGAAGCTTTTTCAATCACTCCCTTGAGTGCTGTGGCCACCCTTTCCTGCTGGGCCCTCAGGTCATTTGTGCCCGTGTGAATTATGATGTGGTTGGGGGACCCTAGTCTGTCCTCTGACAACAGCTCCAGGGCATGCCTAGTGTTTGGGCACCAGAGTTTAGCTACTTTGTGTTTGGGAAAAAGTTTATCCTCTTGAATGTATATGCCATTTGAGTCAATCTCCTCTCTGCCTTTCTCTCTCTCTCTCTCTCTCTCTCTCTCTCTCTCTCTCTCTCTCTGTCTCTCTCTCTCTCTCTCTCTCTCTCTCTCTCTCTCTCTCTCTCTCTCTCTCTCTCTCTCTCTCTCTCTCTCTCTCTCTCTCTCTCTCTCTCTACCTCGCTCCAGTCTCTTCAGAGCAGCAGCTACAACCACTTCTCTGCTATCTACCGTCTGATGCTGGAGAAGGTGAAAGAGCTGCGCTCCCTCAGACTGCCCCCGAGCACCGAACAGGTGGGCCTGACCCCCAATCCTGACCCCGGCACTCTGCTACCGACCTGCATCAGTCAGAAGGATCACCATGGAAACCAGGGGGAGGAGCCACAGGAAGAGGAGCTGCAAGAGGAGGGAGGGGCAGCACTCCTCTCCTTAGACCCCTCCCTCAGACACACTCTGGCTGAGGTCTCTGCCAGCCTCCAGCAGTGCAGCCCACCTTGTGAGTACTGAGACACACATGTGCACACGCACACACACTCACACAAATCTGCACTATGTTCATTTAGATACACACATTTGTATGAAGTACACACAACACACAACACACCACTACACACACCACTATACACACCACTATACACACACCACTGTACACACCACTATACACACCACTATACACACCACTATACACACCACTACACACACCACTATACACACCACACACACACACACCACTACACACACCACTATACACACCACTACACACCACTACACACACCCCTACACACACCACTATACACACCCACACTATACACACACCACTATACACACCACTAACACACACCGCTATACACACACCACTATACACACCACTATACACACCACGAACACACCAGACACACACACACACAGACACACACCACGAGACACAACACCACAGACACACACCACGAGACACACACACCACAAACACAACGACACAACCACGAGACACACACCACGAGACACACCACGAACACACCACGAGACACACCACGACACACACACCAACGAGACACACCAACGAGACACACCACGAGACACACCAACGAGACACACACGAGCACACACACCACGAGACACACCACGACACACACCACGAGACACACACGGACACACAAACGAGACACACCACGAGACACACACCACGAGACACACACCACAGAAACACCACCACGAGACACAACACACACGAGACACACCACGAGACACACCACGAGACACACACCACGAGACACACACGAGACACACCACGAGACACACACACGAGACACCACACCACTAACACACCACTAGACACACCACTACACACACCACTACACACACCGCTATACACACACCACTATACACACCACTATACACACCACTACACACACCGCATGACACACACCACAGACACACACACGATACACACAAACACACACACGACACACACCAAACACCACGAGACACACCACACAAACACACCACGATGACACACCACGACACCACCATACACACCACTAACACAACACCACATAACACCCACTGATACACACCACTATACACACCACCACTATACACACCACTACACTCAATTTATATAGCCCCTTCTTTACATCAGCGTAATATCTCGAAATCTGTAACAGAAACCCAGCCTAAAACCCCAAACAGCTAGTAATGCAGGTGTAGAAGCACGCACACCACTATACACACCACTACACACACCACTATACACACCACTACACACACCACTATACATAGCCCACTTTCACATTGTCAAAGTTACAGGGCTAAACTACTTTACTTGTTCCCTGCTCTCTCCTCATCTACAGGTATTGTGGTAAACTCATCCGACCAAGCTTCCTCAGATAGTTTATCCTCTTCCTCCTCTTCGTCCTCTGCCAGTCCCAGCCTGTCCAGCCCTATTGAGGACCCCTATATGTTACTGGTCACTACTGTGGTTGGCCCTGGGACCTATATTCCAACAGAGTCCCCCCTGACCCAGTCCTCTACCCTGCCCAGCACTGTTGACGACCCCTATCAGTTACTGGTCACTACCGGTCATCTGGCCCTGGCCCTGTCGTCCACCCTGCAGCCCCCTCCGCAGGACAGCCTCCCCGTACCCAGCTTCCAGGAGTGCCGCCGATCCTCCGACATGTACACCGGCGCTCTAACACAAGGTATGGACGACCACATCAAAATGAAAGCACAGATCAAGTATGATGGATGGAAAGAAGAAAACCTTCTTACATATACTGTAATTGGCTCTTGTCTTACACATTAGAGAAACTCTTGAGTTTTAATCATCTTTGATTTGTAGATCAGAAACAACAAAGGTCCTAGAATGGATCCTTGAGGAACTCCACAAGATATTAAGATACCTGTCTGAACACACAAACTGCTCTCTAAAATAAACATAATTCTGTAACCGTTAGTAACAATTTAGTTCTAGATCTATTCGTGGCGGCTTTCATAAAGGTTTATGATGTCATGACCTTTGACCTCTGTTCCAGGTCTGAGGGTGTTCCGCCAGCAGTTGAGGAGGGATGCCAGCGCCAAGGGCCTGCTGGGACTGAACAAGATGAAGGGCCCCAGGGTCCGGCACGGGTGGTCCCGCCCTGCCTCTGGCCCTGCACCCTGCCCTGCACCCTGCCCCCCTGCCTGGGGGGGCCGAGGCCTGTCCCACTGTGTCCCCACCACACCACTGTCAGAGGACAGCTTCCAGCAGCAGAAGTGAGGCAGAGACCTTTTTGTTTCTTCAGATGTTATCATTGCGACTCAAATTATTATCAAGCCATTTTGATTTGGGTGAAATACATTTGTCAAAAGCTTTTAAGCATTTGCTTGATTTGTCTTGGACGTTGCTCCTGCAACCAGTTCCATTGGTTCCATTGGTTCCATTGTATTGGAGCAAACTAAATGAAGCGCAGCCCGAGTATTTGAAAATATTAGACACCTGTTGCTCTACTGACTCTTCTCTGTGTCTTCCCCCAGAGTGATCCAGATTCCACTGTACCAATTCCGCCCGACCACACCTCTTTCTCCCCGCCACCCCACCTCTTCCTCCCCGTCACCACACCTCTTCCTGTCTCCTCCCGTCCCTCCTAACGTTCCCGCTCCTCCTCGTCCTCCCATTGGCCTGCTCTCCACACACACACTGTCACATGACTTCCTCACACACTCCCTTCAACAGACCCACTCGCCACACCCACAACCACAACTACACCCACACCCACGACTACACTCACAACCACACCCACAACTACACCCACACCCACAGCCACAACTACACCCACAGCCACAACTACAACCACACTCACAACTACACCCACACTCACAACTACACCCACAACTACACCCACACTCACAACTACACCCACAACTACAGCCACAACTACACCCACACTCACAACTACACCCACAGCCACAACTACACCCACAACTACACCCACAGCCACAACTGCACCCACAGCTACACCAAAAGACACACCCACTGTCCTACCTATCTCTATGCTCGGAGCAACCATTAGACTTATCCCCTTCCTCCTCCCCTTCCTCCTCCTCTTCCTCCTTCTCTTCTTCAGCCATGGTGGCGTCGGCTGCCCACCTCTTGGAGACCCATCTCCATATCAGCTCTCCTCGGGTTGAGAACCACAGCCCACCCTTCTCTGACCTTCCTCGCCTCCCTGTTCAGCCCCAGTACCCCCACCCGAACCACCAGTCTCAGCTACTGCACCCCCACCCCCACCCATACAACCACCCAGACCCCCAGTCGCAGCTACTGCACCCCCACTCCCACCCCTACAACCACCCAGACCCCCAGTTGCAGCTACTGCAACCCCCATCCCACCCCCACACCACCCAGACCCCCATCTCAGCTACTGCACCCCCACTCCCAACCCCACAACCACCCAGACCCCCAGTCTCAGCTACTGCACCCCCACCCCCGACCCACATACAATCACCCAGACCCCCCCAGTCGCAGCTACTGCACCCCCACCTCCCACCCCCACAACCACCCAGACCCCCAGTCTCAGCTACTGCACCCCCACTCCCACCCCCACAACCACCCAGACCCCCAGTCTCAGCTACTGCACCCCCACTCCCACCCCCACAACCACCCAGACCCCCAGTCTCAGCTGCTGCAATCCTACCCCCACAACCACCCAGACCCCCAGTCTCAGCTACTGCACCACCATCCCCACAACCACCCAGACCCCCAGTCTCAGCCTCAGTTACTGCATTCCCACTCTGACCCCCAGCCTCAGCCTCAGTCAAGACCCTGGGCCAACCACCTCCTCTATACCCCCTCCCAGACCTCCAGGCGGCCCCAGCTCCAACGCCAGCCACGTCTGCCTCCATGCCTAGTAGGGAGAATGGAGCCTGGGTACGGCCTGTAGGAAACACCCAGGACTACAGGCCTAGCAGCTGTTGGACAGCAACGGTCTCAAGGCTAACATTAGGAGAGAGACTGGAGAAATGGAACTGGGCCTCAGACTGATGTCCCTAATGACTCAATGCCACAATACTCTGGCAACTGTGGACATTTACAAAGAAGGATGACATCAGTGGGACCTACTTAGGATGGACTGTGAGTCTAATGGTGGAAGCAGCTTCCCCCTAAAGCTAGGACAGCAGAGTCCCTGCCCATCTTCCCAAAACAACTGAAACCCTACCTCTTCAAAGAGTATCTTAAATAAGACATTGCACTTCTCTTTTCCTACTAGCACTGACTTTGCCGATAACTTTTCTATATAGGGAAAAATGTACTTACTACGACTGTGATATGGGGTTGTCTCACCTTGCTATCTTAACATGAATGCACTTACTGTAAGTCGCTTTAGATAAAAGTGTCTGCTAAATGATTCAATTATATATCTATTTTTAATGTAATTCTGATCATGTGCAAACTGACATGTCTCCCGAGTGGCGCAGTGGTCTAAGGCACTGCATCGCAGTGTTAGCTGTGCCACTAGAGATTTTGGTTTGAATCCAGGCTCTGTCGTAGCCGGCCGCGACCGGGAGACCCATGCGACGGCGCACAATTGGCCCAGCGTTGTCCAGGGTAGGGGAGGGAATGGCCGGCAGGGATGTAGCTCAGTTGGTAGAGCATGGCGTTTGCAACGCCAGGGTTGTGGGTTCGATTCCCAGTATGAAAAAAATATATAAAAAAAATTAATGAATGCACTCACTAACTGTAAGTCGCTCTGGATAAGAGTGTCTGCTAAATAACTAAAATGTAAATGTAAAATGTTGTGTGAACTGAAAATACCAATAATTGAGCTACTATGGAGACGTTAGTTTTTTCCAGGAAGCACTACTCCCAGTATTCTCCTATTATCCTATTACTAACTAGGTTCATTAATAGTTGTTGTCTCCCTGTCGTCTTCTATAAACTGTCTTTGATTCAGTGCAGTTGGCATGAGGAAGACGACTTAAAATAAGTGTTTTCTCATGCGGTTTGAATTCAGACCCGCCTTGTGCCTTTTGAACAAACAATATGACACATAGTATTGAGTGGACCAGACTCACCAAACCTCTCTGTAATAACAGTTTTTTTGTATTTGTTGAACATTGTAAATATAATTTTTTTAGTTTAATACTATTTCATACGTTGTTGGACCATTTTTTAACAAAGGAATTAAAAAAGCTGTTACTGGTCTTTGCTGTTTATTGCTGTTGCTCTCTATGTCTCCTCTGTTTTCTGCTGGCCCACCACCACCCCAACCTGTCTGGCTCTGCTTTGGTTCCAGTCAGGGGGATTGGTATAGATATACCTCCCTCACTGCCTGGAGTTTGGTATTATGGTAATGTTTGAGCCTTGCTCTGGCAGTGAGCTCCCCTGAAGGAGCACGCCAAGACCTAATGTATTGTCATTTATTTGGTTATTTAATGGTAAAACCAATATGTGGTGTTTCCTGTCTGAAATGCACTTCCTTGATTGTGTGTGTGTGTGTGTGTGTGTGTGTGTGTGACTGTGCGTCACACAATGCACTACTGACCCTGGCTCCGCTATCTCTTTTTCTCTCACCTGTCCCAGGCTCCCTCTGTCCCAGTCTATCTCTGTCCCAGCCTCTCTCTCTCTCAGTCTCTCTCTGTCCCAGCCTCTCTCTCAGTCTCAGCCTCTCTCTGTCCCAGTCTCTCTCTGTCTCAGTCTCTCTCTGTCTCAGTCTCTCTCTGTCTGTCTCTCTCTGTCCCAGTCTCTCTCTCAGTCTCTCTCTGTCCCAGCCTCTCTCTGTCTCAGTCTCTCTCTGTCTCAGTCTCTCTCTCTCTCAGTCTCTCTCTGTCCCAGTCTCTCTCTGTCTCAGTCTCTCTCTGTCCCAGCCTCTCTCTGTCTCAGTCTCTCTCTGTCTCAGTCTCTCTCTGTCTCAGTCTCTCTCTGTCCCAGCCTCTCTCTGTCTCAGTCTCTCTCTGTCCCAGCCTCTCTCTGTCCCAGCCTCTCTCTGTCTCAGTCTCTCTCTGTCCCAGCCTCTCTCTGTCTCAGTCTCTCTCTGTCTCAGTCTCTCTCTGTCTCAGTCTCTCTCTGTCCCAGTCTCTCTCTGTCTCAGTCTCTCTCTGTCCCAGCCTCTCTCTATCTCAGTCTCTCTCTGTCCCAGTCTCTCTCTGTCTCAGTCTCTCTCTGTCTCAGTCTCTCTCTGTCTCAGTCTCTCTCTCTGTCCCAGTCTCTCTCTGTCCCAGTCTCTCTCTGTCTCAGTCTCTCTCTGTCTCAGTCTCTCTCAGTCTCTCTCTGTCTCAGTCTCTCTCTGTCTCAGTCTCTCTCTGTCCCAGTCTCTCTCTGTCTCAGTCTCTCTCTGTCTCAGTCTCTCTCTGTCTCAGTCTCTCTCTGTCCCAGTCTCTCTCTGTCCCAGTCTCTCTCTGTCTCAGTCTCTCTCAGTCTCTCTCTCTCTCAGTCTCTCTCAGTCTCTCTCTGTCCCAGTCTCTCTCTGTCTCAGTCTCTCTCTGTCCCAGTCTCTCTCTGTCCCAGTCTCTCTCTGTCTCAGTCTCTCTCTGTCTCAGTCTCTCTCTGTCTCAGTCTCTCTCTGTCTCTCTCTGTCCCAGTCTATCTCTGTCTCAGTCTCTCTCTGTCTCAGTCTCTCTCTGTCCCAGTCTCCCTCTGTCTCAGGCTCCCTCTGTCTCAGTCTCTCTCTGTCTCAGTCTCTCTCTGTCCCAGCCTCTCTCTGTCCCAGTCTCTCTCTGTCTCAGTCTCTCTCTGTCTCAGTCTCTCTCTGTCCCAGCCTCTCTCTGTCCCAGCATCTCTCTGTCTCAGTCTCTCTCTGGCTCAGTCTCTCTCTGTCCCAGCCTCTCTCTGTCCCAGCCTCTCTCTGTCTCAGTCTCTCTCTGTCCCAGCCTCTCTCTATCTCAGTCTCTCTCTGTCCCAGTCTCTCTCTGTCTCAGTCTCTCTCTGTCTCAGTCTCTCTCTGTCTCAGTCTCTCTCTGTCCCAGTCTCTCTCTGTCTCAGTCTCTCTCTGTCTCAGTCTCTCTCTGTCCCAGTCTCTCTCTGTCCCAGTCTCTCTCTGTCTCAGTCTCTCTCAGTCTCTCTCTCTCTCAGTCTCTCTCAGTCTCTCTCTGTCCCAGTCTCTCTCTGTCCCAGTCTATCTCTGTCTCAGTCTCTCTCTGTCTCAGTCTCTCTCTGTCTCAGTCTCTTTCTGTCCCAGCCTCTCTCTATCTCAGTCTCTCTCTGTCTCAGTCTCTCTCTGTCTCAGTCTCTCTCTGTCCCAGCCTCTCTCTGTCCCAGCCTCTCTCTGTCTCAGTCTCCCTCTGTCCCAGTCTCTCTCTGTCTCAGTCTCTCTCTGTCCCAGCCTCTCTCAGTCTCTCTCTGTCTCAGTGTCTCTCAGTCTCTCTCTGTCCCAGTCTCTCTCTGTCTCAGTCTCTCTCTGTCCCAGTCTCTCTCTGTCCCAGTCTCTCTCTGTCCCAGTCTCTCTCTGTCTCAGTCTCTCTCTGTCTCAGTCTCTCTCTGTCTCAGTCTCTCTCTGTCCCAGTCTATCTCTGTCTCAGTCTCTCTCTGTCCCAGTCTCCCTCTGTCTCAGGCTCCCTCTGTCCCAGTCTCTCTCTGTCCCAGTCTCTCTCTGTCTCAGTCTCTCTCTGTCCCAGTCTCTCTCTGTCCCAGCCTCTCTCTGTCCCAGTCTCTCTCTGTCTCAGTCTCTCTCTGTCCCAGCCTCTCTCTGTCTCAGCCTCTCTCTGTCCCAGTCTCTCTCTGTCTCAGTCTCTCTCTGTCTCAGTCTCTCTCTGTCTCAGTCTCTCTCAGTCTCTCTCTGTCTCAGTCTCTCTATGTCTCAGTCTCTCTCTGTCTCAGTCTCTTTGACTGATTATGTGAGAGAAGAAGAGGATAAGATTAATCATAGCTCTAAGAAACAAACACTCACCTCTATACAAGAATAGGTGGCCTAGTTTTCCTCAGTAGCTTTGCGGTTGACCTGCGCAACGGATACGTTCACAGCCAATGAATACTTCATGAAACAGAGAAAGTACAGACAAGGGGTTTCTTCTTGGTTAATATTACAGCTTTATTGTTTCTACTTCTCAGATAGTGAGCAGATATCAGCTGAACAGGGCTAACGCTACAGCACAGGAAATATTCAAGGACAAGAGAGAAGGGTTTGGAAAAAGTCGCGACACATGAATGGAAAAAAGCCAGGTGGGTGGTATGAGCCCAATGATGGAACCCCTTTGCAGTACTACAACAATCCTATACGACCAGACAATGGTATGCACTTAACCCCAACTCCCCCCTATCCTCCAGCCCTCCCTCCCTCCCTCTCTTTCTTACTCTTAGGAAGAGTTGCTCAGTAAAGCCCTTCAGTACAGCCAGGAGAAAGACGGCAGCTTCCTCACTGGGTGAAATATTACCCATGGTACCCCTGGGGTGTTGTTTGTTTACACAGGAAGTAGAAAGCCAGGGTTAAGTCATGTGACCCTCTCTTAAATCCTTTTGTTTTGTTGTTGTCCCCCAAGCCCCAACCATCCCTCTCTTTATCCGTCCTCATGGGTCATGAGTCATCATAATCAGAACCAGAATATTAATATTGCCATAATAGTCTAGCGAAGTCTAAAAAATGGAGAAAATATTAGGCTAGAAATACACTGATATCTTCTAGGTGTGGAGTCAGGGAGAGAGGGATCGGGGTAGGGTGGCGAGGGGAAGGAAGAGGAGCGAGGGGGGAGGGAGACTTTGGGGGTAAAGGAATGTGTTGTTCAGCCCCCCCCCCCCACCCTGCCCCAGCCCCAGCCACATGGCTGCTTTATTTGGAAGAGAAGCCCCCTCTGCATGCCCCCTCCCGCCCATCGACCCCTCCCCCCCATCCCCGGTGCCACCCGGCCGGCAGCACGCCACACGCCCGTCTTCTTAAGAGGAGGGGGCGGCGTTAGACTTGTCGTCACGGGTGACGGGGATGCTGCGGTCGCCACGGCCGAGGTCGCCACCGCCACCGGTGACCTTTGGGCCACACAGGGTCAGGAGGCCGTCGGTGGACAGTGTGCAGGAGATAGCCGATTGGTCCACGCTGGAGGGGAGGCGATAGCGGCGGTGGAACTCACGCGAGATGTAACCGTGGTCGTCCTGGAGAGAGGAGAGAGAGAAATGAAGGTGAGAGAAACAACTGGTTGCAGATGGTTGCAATGTAGGGGGTTCAACACTTTAGATTTTAACAAAATATTACAGTTTTTATGGTGCTTTAAAAAAATATAACATTATCCCTTCATGCTGTCTGTCATATGTAGGCCTAACCGTATGAATTCCGCCCTCTAAGAAAAAAGATCTGCAGCTGCTGGGAATTACGCAGAAAGGACGTTGGAGAAAACAAAACGTTGTTTAGTTACAACGACTCCCCAACTCAGCCTGTCCCTGGAGGCCACTAACATCCAGAATGACAATACATGACAACATGGAGGGAGAGAGAGAGAGGAAAATGCAGGAGGAAACAGGAGAGTGAATAACAACAGACTATGAAGAGGAGATAGAGGGAGAGAAGAGAGGGAGAGAGGAGAGGAGAGATAAAAGAGAGAGGGAGAAAGAGTGGGAGAGAGAGAAGAGAGGGAGAGAGAGAGAGGAGAGAGAAAAGAGAGAGGGAGAAAGAGTGGGAGAGAGAGAAGAGAGAGAGAGAGAGAGGAGAGAGAAAAGAGAGAGGGAGAAAGAGTGGGAGAGAGAGAAGAGAGGGAGAGAGAGAGAGGGAGAAGTAGTATAGTGTAATCTAATGTAATGATGCGTAAATCTTACAAAAGGAAAACTCTATGTGGGCCACGTTCACCTCTATGACTAACATACGTCACATTCGTTCTGTGTCACCGTGTGGCCAAGGAAATTAATTGATCCCAAGCAGTGTGTCCCATTGTTTATGTAGGAATCCCTATCATTGGAGATGTTTTTCCTAGCAAAGTGTGTCAGTGTGTATGGTTTCGTCTGAGGACACGTAATTGCTTGGTTGTTTGACTTTATCCTGGCTGAACATGGGTCTTGAAAAGGGTTGAATTGAATTTGTATGAAGGGCAATGCGCGTAAGCCGACCAATTCACAGAGTAAACAAAGCAAGGCTGTTGTTGTGTGTGCACATCGACACACACACACACATATACTCACTTACACACGAGTGCACAACACACAAACACACGCACACACATTCTTTGAATCAATTAGCTATTTAGGTTGAGAAATTCTCCTCTGACTCAAACTGTTGACTCTAATAACACATCTTATTAGCATCTCTTTGAGGACTTGGCTGGTTAAAGCTAGTGGTTGTTGTTGTGGCTGTGTTTAGTTAGTTGGAATGAGCAACCTGCCTAAGGATCAATGCACTGACCTGGAAAGCACAGTGATGACAGTATCTGGTGCGCCTGTTGCTTCAACTACTGCCACAGGTCGTTTCTATGTGACAGACACTCACACTATGTATATATGTCACAGGAGGTTGGTGGCACCTTAATTTGGGAGGATGGGCTCGTGGTAATGACTGGAGCGGAATTAGTGGAATGGTATCAAATACATCAAACACATGGTTTCCAGGTGTTTGATGCCATTCCATTCGCTCTGTTCCAGCCATTATTATGAGCCGTCCTCCCGTCAGCAGCCTTCACTGATATATATGTGCACATGAGAGAAACCTGGCTTTGGTGTGCCAAGCCATAGTAGAGGGATTGTGTTTGAACTCAGGATTGGGTGTACTACCACAAGTCATAGTAAAAGTTTTGAGCTAGCTCGGCTTGTCTGTCCAGAGAGATTAGGGTGTGTGGTGCTTGGATGGGGATGGAATCTTAACCCATCCAACCAGGGGACACCGATGGTGGGAGGCCTCACCTGTCTCTCTCCATGCTTGCCCTGGATCTCCACATAGTCATCAGTCACCTTCACGTTGAGTTCATCAGGAGAGAAGTGCTTCACATCCATGAAGACCGAGAACTTGTCCCTGTCGGACCTCACCTGGAGAGATAGAGGGAGGGGGGTTGAAGGTTAGAGGTCAGGGGTAGCAGGTGGCGGAAACCTGGTAACCACAGTGATGCTCATCTTCTGAAATGTATTTTTTTTTCAATATCCTTTCAATTCAATTCTATATGTTGTCATCGAGTCATACCTCAGAGAGATATGAAGAAGATGATCCATTTCTAAAGTTTGTGTATAGATGCTGCAAAACAAAATGTGTGTCACTAGTCACCAAAACAGTATATGTTGTTTGGACATCGAAATTCTGCTATCCTGGCACCCAAGTTGAAATGCAGTTTAAGCTAGTAATGGAATAAGCCAGTATATGATGGGCTGGAGGGAGCATGACTCTGATTGGCCTGATTTCGACTAGATAGACAACACTGCACCAGTCTCTGAGCTCTTCCCTGCTGAGAATCACACAAGATTAGTGCCTTCCATTTGCCGCTCATGTGGCAACGTGAACAAGATGATTTCAATACATTTTCAGCACACTTGCAATAATCTTGCAAACCGCAAAATGCACTTTGTTTAGTTGGTTAAAGCTCCATTAGTAGGGATGTTTGACCTCTTTGTTCTCTGTGCTCTCTTATGAGAATCAGCAACAGATACTACAGCTGTATAGGATTGCAGGATGTCGTAGCCATTCAATAACAGATCTGGCTAGCGCTGCTGCTGTCGTAGCCATTCAAGAACAGATCTGGCTAGCGCTACTGCTGTCATAGCCATTCAATAACAGATCTGGCTAGCGCTACTGCTGTCGTAGCCATTCAATAACAGATCTGGCTAGCGCTACTGCTGTCGTAGCCATTCAAGAACAGATCTGTCTAGCGCTACTGCTGTCGTAGCCATTCAATAACAGATCTGGCTAGCCCTACTGCTGTCGTAGCCATTCAACAACAGATCTGGCTAGCGCTACTGCTGTCATAGCTATTCAATAACAGATCTGGCTAGCGCTACTGCTGTCATAGCCATTCAATAACAGATCTGGCTAGCGCTACTGCTGTCGTAGCCATTCAATAACAGATCTGGCTAGCGCTACTGCTGTCGTAGCCATTCAAGAACAGATCTGTCTAGCGCTACTGCTGTCGTAGCCATTCAATAACAGATCTGGCTAGCCCTACTGCTGTCGTAGCCATTCAACAACAGATCTGGCTAGCGCTACTGCTGTCATAGCTATTCAATAACAGATCTGGCTAGCGCTACTGCTGTCGTAGCCATTCAATAACAGATCTGGCTAGCGCTACTGCTGTCATAGCCATTCAATAACAGATCTGGCTAGCGCTGCTGCTGTCATAGCCATTCAATAACAGATCTGGCTAGCGCTACTGCTGTCATAGCTATTCAATAACAGATCTGGCTAGCGCTACTGCTGTCGTAGCCATTCAATAACAGATCTGGCTAGCGCTACTGCTGTCATAGCTATTCAATAACAGATCTGGCTAGCGCTGCTGCTGTCGTAGCCATTCAATAACAGATCTGGCTAGCGCTGCTGCTTTCGTAGCCATTCAATAACAGATCTGGCTAGCGCTGCTGCTGTCGTAGCCATTCAATAACAGATCTGGCTAGCGCTGCTGCTGTCGTAGCCATTCAATAACAGATCTGGCTAGCGCTGCTGCTGTCGTAGCCATTCAATAACAGATCTGGCTAGCGCTGCTGCTGTCATAGCCATTCAATAACAGATCTGGCTAGCGCTACTGCTTCTCTCTGATTTACTACAGCCACTTCCCCAGGGTCATATCCTTGTCTCCCCCACTCAGCTTTCTCTACTCTATAACTGTTGCATCTCCCTGTATTAGTAATGAATTCAGTGTAGGCCTCCTAGATGAAATACATTGAGTTTCTCTGTGAAAGATCTGCACACATAGACCACCTTAGGGCAAATTACAGTATGAGTCAGATCTGTCCAATCTCAGTCCATTTTGCGCTTCCTCTTTTTATAGGAAAACAGCATACTGTTCAACCAATGAAACTGTAGAGGATGTAACTAATGCACCAATGCATCATGGCACTAATAACCCGGCTTCGATTCCTCCAAGGACACACAAGCTCTCTCTGTAAGCTACGACAACATGCAGGCTCTTCTATTCTATGACATCAAACACGGACAACCAAATCTGCTTTTTATCCATAAAGATAGAAAACAAAAAAGTGCAAATTATACGTTTGGGTAGTTTGAACTAAACTAAAGTGACTACAGATTCAGAATGATGGTGAATGAATAGGTTTTAGTGGATCCTATTCTTCCCCAGAGGATGGAGCAGGTTAGCCTGGGTAAACCAGACTGAACGCTTCACTTCCAATGCTGAGCACAGTGATCGGTCAGGTTGAACAGGTTAGTTGTTACCTCAGACATGCCAGAGTTGGTGGAGTCCAGGAAGTTGCGGAACAGCGACTGTCTGTAGTAGGGGCTGATGGTGGAGGCAGCGTAGGGGAACAGGTCGTAGTCGAACATGCCCTCCCCAAAAAACTGATCAAAGAGACGGGCAGGATACATGGAGCCCATGGCGCGTCTGAACCAGGGGTGCTGGATGGCAATATCCATAGTAGCGTAGGTTAGGTTTTAGCTCAACGGGCTAAACAAAATAAAGCAATTTCTCGCTGCTCGGCTTTAGCTCGGCTGGCTAGTGCCTGTGTTCCGTTAGGAGTAGAGAGAGAGAGAGGCGAGAGGGAGGACAAGAGCTGCAGTGGGAGAGATACAAAGGCAGTAATAGTAGTAGAGAAGAGTAGGGGTCCCAAGTGGTGCGTGCCCTCTCCTCTGCAGCCGCCCCCTCTTTATATACCTGTGGGGCAGAAAAGAGGGGCTTTAGTGTGGATCTCTGTGGAATGGCATTATCTCATGGTGGGACGGGCTCTGTCAGCAGAATCTGCAGGCGGTGTGCACACTGGCCCGTTCAGCTACAGTCTGGCCCCCGGGGGAGGCTGGCCCTCGTAACGTGGCGGGACCTATGCCAGCGCAGACCGGACGACAAGGGTCTGCCAAAACAAGCCGAGGCTTGGCCTGCCGAGGGGTGAGGAGAAGAGAGAGAGAGAGAGAGAGAGGAGAGAGAGAGAGAGAGAGAGAGATGAAGACGAGAGAGAAGAGAGAGAGAGAGAGAGAGAGAGAGGAGAGAGAGATAGAGAGAGAAGAGAGAGAGGAGAGAGAGAGGAGAGAGAGAGAGAGAGAGAGGACTGGCTCATAGTAATGGCTGGAACAGAATAAATGGAATGGTATTGAACAAATGGAACCCATGTGTTTGATACCATTCCATTCACTCCATTCCAGCCATTATCATGAACCGTCCTCCCCTCAGCAGCCTCCTGTGGTTGGTGGGGTTTCTGACATTGGAAACAGGGTATGGGAATTGAACCTGTCTGTGTGTGTACATTAAGGCCTTGACGTGTAGCGAAGTGGTGGAGCACCGACATGCTCATCCTCTCTCTCTGTCTTTCACACACACAAAAACACACACACACACAGACATGCAAACACGCACAGACACACACAAACACACAAACACACGCACAGACACGCACACACACACAAACACAGACACAGACACGCACACACACACAAACACAGACACAGACATGCACACATGCGAACACACACACACAGACACACACAGTATTGTTCTGGTACTTTGTTGGGATGAAGAGCAGACTTAGTCACAATACAGTCTGGGGATGGCTGTGTGAGGGCGGGGAGCGGTCAACATGGGTATTTGTCCGATGTGGGACGAAAAGTATGGAATGTATGGAATGTAATATGGAATGTAAAGAGAAAAGCAGAGGGGGAACAGCAGGGAAACAGCAGGGGAAACAGCAGGGAAACAGCAGGGGAAACAGCAGGGGAACAGCAGGGAAACAGCAGGGAAACAGCAGGGGAAACAGCAGGGGAACAGCAGGGAAACAGCAGGGGAAACAGCAGGGAAACAGCAGGGAAACAGCAGGGGAAACAGCAGGGAAACAGCAGGGGAAACAGCAGGGGAAACAGCAGGGAAACAGAAGGGGAAACAGCAGGGGAACAGCAGGGGAAACAGCAGGGAAACAGCAGGGGAAACAGCAGGGAAACAACAGGGAAACAGCAGGGGAAACAGCAGGGAAACAGCAGGGAAACAGCAGGGGAAACAGCAGGGAAACAGCAGGGAAACAGCAGGGGAAACAGCAGGGGAAACAGCAGGGGAAACAGCAGGGAAACAGCAGGGGAAACAGCAGGGGAAACAGCAGGGGAAACAGCAGGGGAAACAGCAGGGGAAACAGCAGGGAAACAGCAGGGAAACAGCAGGGAACAAGCAGGGCCAACAAGCCCAGGGGGAAACAGCAGGGGAAACAGCAGAGGACAACAGCAGGGGAAACAGCAAGGGGGGAAACAGACAGGGGAACAGCCAGGAGGAACACAGCAGGGGAAACAGCAGGGAACCAAGCAGGAGAAACAGCAGAGGAAACAGCAGGGAAACAGCAGGAGAAACAGCAGGGAAACAGCAGGAGAAACAGCAGGCGAAACTGAAAGGGAGGTGATCTGAACTGCCGGATACAGTTAATGTATAGTTAGGGCCCCCGGGCTATGTATCCTACAGTATCATGGGTCATGTTAGGGCCCAGCTCTATGTATCCTACAGTATCATGGGTCATGTTAGGGCCCCGGGCTTCTGTATCCTACAGTATCATGGGTCATGGTTAGGGCCCAAGCTCTATGTAGCCTACAGATATCATGGGTTACCATGTTAGGGCCCAGCTCTATGTAGCCTACAGTTATCATGGGTCATGTTAGGGGCCCAGCTCTAGTTAGCCTACAGTATCATGGGTCATGTTAGGGCCCAGCTCTATGTATCCTACAGTATCATGGGTCATGTTAGGGCCCAGCTCTATGTAGCCTACAGTATCATGGGTCATGTTAGGGCCCAGCTCTATGTATCCTACAGTATCATGGGTCATGTTAGGGCCCAGCTCTATGTATCCTACAGTATCATGGGTCATGTTAGGGCCCAGCTCTATGTAGCCTACAGTATCATGGGTCATGTTAGGGCCCAGCTCTATGTAGCCTACAGTATCATGGGTCATGTTAGGGCCCAGCTCTATGTATCCTACAGTATCATGGGTCATGTTAGGGCCCAGCTCTATGTAGCCTACAGTATCATGGGTCATGTTAGGGCCCAGCTCTATGTATCCTACAGTATCATGGGTCATGTTAGGGCCCAGCTCTATGTATCCTACAGTATCATGGGTCATGTTAGGGCCCAGCTCTATGTAGCCTACAGTATCATGGGTCATGTACATTAATCAATACAATAGCCTTCCTACAGATTCTGTCTCTATTGAGGTGTGTGTGTGTGTGTGTGTGTGTGTGTGTGTGTGTGTGTGTGTGTGTGTGTGTGTGTGTGTGTTGTTTATGTCTGTCTGATCTGTGTGTGTGTGTGTGTGTGTGTGTGTGTGTGTGTGTGTCTGTGTCTGTATCATTGTGTTTGTGTGAAATAGCATGGCAATTCCTTTGTAAAGCAGCAGTGTGTGTTAAAGCCTAAGAACACAGAGAGAGGAGCTATCCACCCAAACAGACCCCTCCACGCCCGCTGCACCCACCGCCAGTTCCCATGGCTCTGATCCCTCTCCCGGTGACTTCCCTCCGGGCCTCGCTCACCGCTGTATTAACCTAATCCCGCTGGGCTTTCACCCGGCCCAGCACAGAGGCTTACACAAAGCATCAGCCAGGCTTTTTTTCCAGCCCACAGACTCACCTGGCAAGACCAACCGACCTCGGCTAGGGCCGAGCGCTTAGAGGGCATTGTGGGGCTGGATGAAGGCCAGAGGGGAGATGGGGGAGAGGATAGGGGTGCAGGACGTAGCGGGGGTAGGGCCATGTTTCAGCCCTGTCAGCAGGTTTAGGGGCAGAGAGGGTTTTATCAATGGGTCAGACAATGGAAGCCCTGGTCTGTGTATCTCCTACGGTACGCTAGACAGGTCAGGCTGTTCATCGTCAGCTTTGGTTGGAACAGTGCTGGGTAACCTAACCTGGGGCTAACCTGAGTTTGTTGGGGACGTATGGGGATATTGATTATTGTACTGGAATGTTGAGGGAGCTTGAACGCAAGCATTTCACTGCACCTTTTATACATGCCAACTGTGTACATTACAAATACAGTCTGATTTGTATTCCTTCCTTTAGGTGATCACTAAATGACAGTGAGTAGGGAAAGAGAAAAGGAAGGAAGGGGATGTGGTAGACTAGGTTTGAATCCAGGTCTCCTGTGCACCACAAGACTGTGTTAGCCCACTGAGCTAAATTGGGGGTTTCAGACCTCAGGAAAGGTTACTCACCACACCTTCTAATCAGGGGCTAATTCAGACCTGGGACACCAGGTGAGTGCAATTAACTACCAGGTAGAAATAAAGAAAATAAGTGTTTCGGCCCTCCAGGACCGGGATTGAAGAACCCTGTCATAGGGTAAGAGTTGAGTACCCCTGTTATAGACTGTCTGATGTGGTATGTCAGTTGAACTAAGCTCATGGGGCATTTATAAATTGTATTCAAGAAATATAATTCATTAAAAGTCCAAAAATGGATATACCCTTTAAAACCCTAAACAGTATATTGTATTATGAAATTGTTGCACGCCCACTCAGACTCAAGAGCAGTCACACTTGGAATGTTACACCAACCAAATCTATGCTCTTTCACTGCCACCTCGTGGTAGGGAGGTGTAACTGCTGATACTGTTATTTTTATTTTTTTTTATTTTTTATTATTCATATGCACAACTCAGCTATACATTTTTCCACAGAAGGTTCGGTAGTTTAGCTATCAAGAAGAGACGTCCAGAGAATTCGGCCACGCAGCCACGTCATACATTTTAAACAGTTAATGGCTTAGGTTCAACATAATTAGAGTACCATTTATCTTAATCACAATGGAATCTCAAACTACTATTAAAAACTAATGTATTTTCACTATACACATTATAAACACAAATAAAAACAACAGTATTCCATTACATGATTGCATAGCAAATATAAAGTGATTTTTTTAACAACACTTAATTTTTTTCATATTTTGTAAAGTAATTTTATAGTACACAAATCCCGATAATCCTTTTTACTCTGATACATCCAAAGTGAAAAGCATAAACAACCGTACCAATGCATTGCTGGAACACCAAATTATCTCGGACCCTGTATTACAGTGCATTCGGAAAGTATTCATCAATTCCTCATCAATCTACACACAATACCCCATAATGACAAAGCGAAAACTGATTTTTAGAAATGTATTTAAAAAAACAGAAATACCTTACTTACATAAGTATTCAGACCCTTTGCTATGAGACTCGAAACTGAGCTCAGATGCATCCTGTTTTCATTGATCATCCTTAAGATGTTTCTACAACTTGATTGGAGTCCACCTGTTGTAAATTCAATTGATTGGACATGATTTGGAAAGGCACACACCTGTTTATACAAGGTCCCACATTTGATAGTGCATGTCAGAGCAAAAACTAAGCCATGAGGTAAAAGGAATTGTCCGTAAAGACCTGGGAAAGGGTAGCAAAAAATGTCTGCTGCATTGAAGGTCCCCAAGAACACAGTGGCCTCCATCATTCTTAAATGGAAGAAGTTTGGAACCACCAAGACTCTTCCTAGAGCTGGCCGCCCGGCCAAACTGAGCAATCGGGGGAGAAGGGCCTTGGTCAGAGAGGTGACCAAGAACCCGATGGTCACTGACAGAGCTCCAGAGTTCCCCTGTGGAGATGGGAGAACCTTCCAGAAGGATAACAATCTTTGCAGCACTCCACCAAGTAGGCCTTTATGGTAGAGTGGCCAGACGAGAGCCACTCCTCAGGGGCGGCAGGTAGCTTAGTGGGTAAGAGCGTTGTGCCAGTAACCGAAAGGTCGCTGGTTCTAATCCCCAAGCCGACTAGGTGAAAAATCTGTCGATGTGCCCTTAAGCAAGGCACTTAACCCTAATTGCTCATGTAAGTCGCTCTGGATAAGAGTGTCTGCTAAATGACAAAAAATGTTAAAAATGTAAAAAGCACATGACAGCCCACTTGGAGTTTTCCAAAAGACACCATCCCTACGGTGAAGCATGGTAGTGGGGATGTCATAATACCTTTTTCAGCAGCAGGGACTGGGAGACTAGTCAGGATCGAGGGAAAGATGAATGGAGCAAAGTACAGAGTGATCCTTGATGAAAACCTGCTCCAGAACGCTCAGGACCTCAGACTGGGGAGAAGGTTCACCTTCCAACAGGACAACGACCCTAAGCACACAACCAAGACAACGCTTTGGGACAAGCCTCTGAATGTCCTTGAGTGGCCCAGCCAGTGCCCTGACTTGAACCCGATCGAACATCTCTAGAGAGACCTGAAAATAGCTGTGCAGCGACGCTCCCCATCCAACCTGACAGAGAAGAATGGGAGAAACCCCCCAAATACAGGTGTGCCAAACTTGTAGCGTCATACCCAAGAAGACTCAAGGCTGTAATCGCTGCCAAAGGTGCTTCAACAAAGTACTGAGTAAAGGGTCTGAATTCTTATGTAACTGTTTCAGTTTAAAAAATTATAAATGTGCATACATTTCTAAAAACCTGTTTTTGCTTTGTCATTATGGGGTATTGTGTAGATTGATGAGGAAAAATACAATTGAATCCATTTTAGAATAAGGCTGTAACATAACAAAATGTGGAAAAAGTCAAGGGGTCTGAATACTTTCCAAATGCATATCAATCATACTATTTCATTTCATATGATCTTGTCAAAAAGGCTATTTTGGTAGCTAAACATATTTGACCATTCCAGAACAAAACCTCAATTTTTTCATTTAAGTATGACGTTGAAGAGTACGGTACAATGAATATGTGTATACGTAGTTTTAAATGGCCAACTCAGCGATTGAAAAGGCAGTTTGACATCAGCATTGCAGACATAGGAAAGTTGCACAGGGATAAAGCAACAAGATAACATTTTAAGGCCCAATGCAGCTGTTTTTATAAACATTTCAAATCATTTCTGGGTAACAATTAAGTACCTTACCGTAATAGATTTCCATTAAAATTGACAAAAATAGCTTTTTAGCAAAAAACTTTCTCAGAAGAATTTTTCTAGGAGAGGGGAGGGGAAAACTGAAAACTAGCCGTTATTGGCAGAGAGGTTTGGAACTCTTTGCTATTGGTCTATTAACACATTTATCGCATGATGATGTCGCCATGGAACGTCGAAACTCCCGCCCACGCAAACCTGCTGATTAGAAGGTCCTGTGTAGATTGCATTTTCAACCAGCAACTATCAGTAAATAACACTGATCAAATTTCTTCACACTTTTACAGTGTTAGTTTCATCAGCTGTTGTACAATATGATACAAAAGACAGGAAATACTGAATTTGCAGAAAGTGTTTTTCATTTCATATATATATATATATATACACAATTTGTTTTTCACACTATAAGGTTGGAATAATACTGTGAAATTGCAGTCCCGTGTGGCTCAGTTGGTAGAGCATGGCGCCTGAAATGCCAGGGTTGTTGGTTTGATTCCCAAGGGGGACCAGTCCGATAGCCTTAATGGCCATGTACTCTTATAATCTCCATCAGGCACAGCCAGAAGAGGCCTGGTTCCTTCATAGATTCCAGCCTTTCTAGGGAATCTTTCCTAGACACCGTGCTTCTGCATTGCTTGCTCTTTGGGTTTTTTGTATAAGGACTTTGTGACATCTGCAAATGTAAAAAGGGCTTTATAAATACATTTGATTGATTGAAAAAGTATGCACTCTACTGTAAATTGCTCTGGATAAGAGCGTCTGCTAAATGACTAAAATGTAAATTGTGGAAATTATAATGCCCTTTTAGTTTAAGATGTGTTTGAAAAGAGCGCCTGAAATTCCAGCCCGTTTTGGTGGGATGTAGTTTTGGCCTGCCTGGTGACATCGTCAGGCAGTAAATTAGTTAACAGACCAAACCTCTCTTCCAATAACAGCTAGTTTGCAGTTTTCCCCTCCACACCCAGACCACTCCCAGTCAGTCCTAGCAACAGTCTTGTTTGAGAAACTGCTCTTTGCCAAGAAGCTACTTGTTTCTTATTGATCATGTTTTAATTGAAAACAAACACATTAAGATACTTAGTTGTTACCCAGACATGAAATCATAAAAACAGCTGCATTGGACATTTAAATAAACATCTACACACACACAGGTCTGTTTCCCAAACCTTTGTAATTGTGCAGTGTTGCGTCATTATGCAATAATGTTGATTATGCATAGTGTTGAAATACGTTGATTGATGTTTTCACAATTACAACAGTTTTTTTTCAGTAAAGATTGGTTTCACAATTATTGTTTCAGTACATGGAAGGGGGTACAGTCTGATCATTTAAATAAACATTACAGAGCAACATGGCAATTTCCTCTGTAGGCAGTGTCAACATTTTACATTCTATGATCAAGCTAGCAAAAATGTAAGACTTTTATATGTATGCATGGAGCTTTCAACGCTAGGGTTGTGGGTTCGATTCCCACGGGGGACCAGTACCGGGGGGGGGGGCGACTATGAAAATGTATGCACTCTCTACTGTAAGTGGCTCTGGATAAGAGAGTCTGCTAAATGACGTAAATGTAATGAGAAAGCAGCAACAACAGTTTGTCCACCAAACATGTTCATAAGACCTCATATTCTTTTGTATTGTCATTCATATCACCAAGTATGTTTGTGAGCTGTATGTGTAAATTAATGTGTTCTAATGTGTGTGTACACGAGGTGTGTGTGCGCATGACCCAGCCGTCACAGGGACACGGTCACAGGTCACTGCACTCAGAGAAGGACCTCTCCCTCTTCTCCCTGGCCGTGACGAAGTTGAGCAGGTCGATGGCTGTCACCACACCAAACACCATCTGCTTCATGCTGGGGGAGCCGTCCGTCAAGTCTGAGAGCAGAAGACAGGGAAGGGTAGAGTGTGGCATTAGCTCCCTCCTATAGCTATCATTGGACCAGGGGAGGGTGGGACTATGGTTGGTTGCAGGCCCAAATCAATGTTGGGACCTAATAACTGAGGACTTTGAGACTGGCACATATACCAGTCACATGCACAGAGCAGACATTAAACCAGGTTGGTTTAAAAATGGGTTCAGACCAGCCACCTTACCACCTTGTTACTGCCCTCAGAAAAGGACATGTCAATGAACCTTCACTCCTCTTATCGCAACATGTTCTCTACCATTATAGCAGGCAGAAAGACTTACATTGGATCTGTTCGTGTACCACCAGGGCAAAATGGTCCGTCTCCAGGATGCGAGAGAGCTTCCCCAGGTTATCAGTCAGACGGATCTGAGAATAGAATGAGACGTGAAGGTTATCAGTCAGACGGATCTGAGAATAGGATGAGACGTGAAGGTTATCAGTCAGACGGATCTGAGAATAGGATGGGACGTGAAGGTTATCAGTCAGACAGATCTGAGAATAGAATGAGACGTGAAGGTTATCAGTCAGAAGGATCTGAGAATAGAATGAGACGTGAAGGTTATCAGTCAGACGGATCTGAGAATAGAATGAGACGTGAAGGTTATCAGTCAGACGGATCTGAGAATAGGATGAGACGTGAAGGTTATCAGTCAGACGGATCTGAGAATAGGATGAGACGTGAAGGTTATCAGTCAGACGGATCTGAGAATAGAATGAGACGTGAAGGTTATCAGTCAGACGGATCTGAGAATAGAATGAGACGTGAAGGTTATCAGTCAGACGGATCTGAGAATAGGATGAGACGTGAGATAGAGAGGACTGTTTCATCATATAAACAAACATTGGTGGTTACAGTGTGTGTGTGTGTGTGTGTGTGTGTGCGCGAGAGCCCTATTTGCACTACTTACAGAAAAAGTGTATGCTTGCGAACACGTGTGTGTGACTGACCTGTTTGAACTGGTTGTAGATCACCTTGTTGACCGGGTCTGAGGGTTTGACCTTCCCAGCCAGCACTGAGGCCAGCATGTTCCCCAGAGTAACCATTCCTAGGATCAGCCTACACACACAGTTATTTTAGCAGCAGAACAACACTACCCATGGATTATGTCACCAGAACAGTTGACTTGAATCAGATGGTCATCAGTCTGCTTTCCAACAGACACCGCAAGACAAATATCACCTTTCAGCAGGTCAATAACCTAAAACACAAGGCCAGATCTACACTGGAGTTGCTTACCAAGACAACATTGAAAGTTCCTGAGTGGCCTAGTTACAGTTTTGAGTGTCCAGAAGTGAAACATGGGTTTACAACATTTAGAAATCAATAATACTAAATTAATTGAATTCCAGGGTTATGTCAAATGGAAGTTATCTTCAAATTCTCTACAATAATTGAATTTCTTCACCATGAACTGGTAAGCAGCACAAAGATAATGGACGCATCCCAAATGGAACCCTATTCCCTACACGGTCAACATTAGTGCACTATGAAGGGAATAGGGCTCCATTTTGGGATGCGACCACTGTGAATGAAAGAGGCAGGAGATGAGACAGTGAAGGAGTGCAGGAGGACACCCACCCAGCCGCGTCCACTACAGGGGCCTGGTCAAAGCCTTTCTCCTTCAGGATCTTGATGGTCTTCTGACAGCTGACCGTGGGCAGGACGGTCAGAGGGGCAGAGAGGTTCAACCCCTGCAGCTTCAGGTTCCACCACCTGGGGGGGTGGGGGGCAGAGAGAGAGAGAGAGACAACCAATTATAGAAATCAAAACAAAATACAGGCACAATATGCAGAAATCGCCCCGCCATCGCCTGGTTGCTAAAACTCTACAATTTACGCCTGATATCAGTTTGTGACAAAACAAGCAATGTTGAAAATCATTGTACCATCTAAACCTCTGTGAAATCTATTTTCAATTAACAAAATATATTGTATTTTCAGCTGTATTTTCAACTGAATTTTCAACTGTAGTACAAAACCGAAAGTAAAAAGACGCAAAACTGCACAGAAGGAAGCACAGAAATGGCACACATAGAACAGATCTACTGCTTCTTAGACTTGCTTCCAATTAGAATGACAGATCTATAACTCCCATTTCTATGTGAGTTTGGTCAGGTCGCCCACAGAGCTACATATTGCACCTTTAAGAGAAAACTACAAACAAATAGACAATGGATCACTAGATGAAGACATGTTCAGAGACACAGACCCACCAGGGGTTATTCAGACCCACAGACCCACCAGGGTTTGTTCAGAGATACAGACCCACCAGGGTTTATTCAGAGACCCAGACCCACCAGGGGTTATTCAGAGACCCAGACCCCCCAGGGTTTATTCAGACCCACCAGGGGTTATTCAGAGACCCAGACCCACCAGGGTTTGTTCAGATACACAGACCCACCAGGGTTTATTCAGACCCACCAGGGTTTATTCAGACCCACCAGGGTTTGTTCACCATGATGTCTGACTCCTTCAGGAAGCCTTTCTGGAACATCCACTTGTCACTCAGGAACTTGGTCCTGAAAAAAAGAGAAGAGTTGTTGTTGGTTACTTCATCCACTGGGAACAGCTGTTAAATGGTTCAGATTAAAGAGAAGGGTTGTTGGTTACTTCATCCACTGGGAACAACTGTTAAATGGTTCAGATTAAAGAGAAGGGTTGTTGGTTACTTCATCCACTGGGAACAACTGTTAATGGTTCAGATTAAAGAGGGGATCATGAATCAGTGACGCCTGCATGAGGCAACAGCTGCAATATTCAGACATGGCCACAAGGGGTCAGGCTAAGCTAAACGCTGACAGATCATTAGATTCACTATAGAACTACAGTATATTATAGTCAAGTATAACAGTATATTTAATGATGGTCTAGACCCTGGTTCCTCACATGTAGTTGCGGATGGAGTCTGGCAGGATGACCACACACCGCTGGCCCTCCTTCAGGTCCTTGGCCACCCTCACCGCCGCTGCCATGGCCGTGCCCGAGCTGCCACCTGGCACAGGGGTCAAGAGACGGGCACACTGGTGAACACTGGGCACACGTTGGCATGATGACTCGTGGCCAGGTCAACCCACAAATCAAAACTATGACATAGGCAGCGTTCCAGGTGGTTTTATTGAAGTGGGAATGTGCAGATGATCAGATATCCCAGTGTCTGGATAAGTATTGAATGCCTCTTTAACCACATTCATTTGATGTGGGTATGTGCAATAAGGATGACCTGCAACATGGCCATAGAGTCGACACTGGTGACAGTGAGATGAATGACAGAGAGACTAAAAGGTGACAAACGTACCACACAGCAAGCCCTCATCTCTGACCAGCATACGGGACATGTTGAAGGACTCCTCATCGTTAGACTTGTACCAGCTATCCACCACCTACAGGTAAACACACACTGGTGAGGTAGTGTATGTGAGTGTGTATGTATGTATGCGAGTGTGTGTGTGTCCATCTGACTCACTGATCTGTCCAGTACAGTGGGGATGAAGTCGTATCCGATGCCCTCCACCTCGTACTGGGTCTTGTCGGTCTTGTTCAGCTCCTCTGGTTCAGCCAGGATGGAGCCTTCAGGGTCCACACCGATGATCTGACCACACAAACCAGACAGAACCACACCACACCAGACCGAACCACACCACACACACACACAGTTAACACCCAGTAAGGACAGCCATAGCCTCTGATCAGAACCAGAACCATTTCTATTCAGTCGTGTTGAAGTAGTGAATTTGAAGATCCAAGTTGAGACTGATTCTATTTGTATGGATCTTTCCATACTTGAATAGGAATTTCAATTGAAATGCTCCCAACCCTAGTCAGATGACACCTGGGGAGGGAAATGCTCCCAGGTGGACACCCAGAGCTCACTCACCTTGATGTCGGGGCACCTCTCCTTCAGTTTGCGGGCAATGCCAGTGATGGTGCCGCCTGTGCCCGCGCCTGCCACCAGCATGTCCACTTTACCTGCCAGGTCACAGATGAGGAGGGTGTCAGGTTAGCTCATACAGATGGAGACAAATCATGTAAATTAACAGTGTATCAATGAGGGCTACAAGCCAACACAACTGCTCAGACAACGCTTTGCTATTGACCAAAACCATGAGTTAAACCTTATTCAGACACACACACTTGTATGACAACGATTCTCAACTAGTGGGTGGCGACAAGGTTTTGAATGGGTCGTAGGTGTCTGAGTAAAATTAAAATGTGTTTAATATATTATTTATTTATTTTTTTGGAGAAAAAAACTACTCCATTCTGAACCTAAACCAGGTAGAAAGTGTGTAGAAATAATTTACTTACATTTCTAAATAACTTAATCTCTGCACTATTTTTCTTCAATCACAGTATTTTTTGAGAGCGAGAGCAAGAGAGACAGTAAGACTAGAGAGAAGGAAAGACAGAACAACAGAGGGAGGGATCTGACAGGAAGTCTGTCTCACCGTCACACTGCTCCAGTATCTCCTCTGCTGTGGTGTCATAGTGGGCCAGGGGGTTACTAGGGTTACGGTACTGGTCCAGGATGTGAGAGTTGGGGATCTCATTCTTCAGACGCCAGGCCACGCCCACGTGAGACTCTGGGGAATCGAAGCGAGCGCTGGTGGGCGTACGGACGATCTCTGCGCCCAGGGCTCTCAAAACGTCCACCTGGGCGCACGCAAACACACAGACAGGCAGCGTTTTCATTATCATATGTGCAAACTTCACAATCAAATAGGTCCTGTGAAATTCCCAGAGAGGAGATTGATGAGGCAGGCATACAGAAGTCCTAAATGATCTTCAGTTCCATAATGTAAATGGAGGGGCTTACCTTCTCCATGCTCATCTTCTCAGGCATGACAATGATACAGCGGTAACCCTTCACAGCTGCAGCCAGGGCCAGACCGATACCTGTCTCACACACACACACACATTATTCAGTGAATCTACTACTAGAGAGACACATCCCTAATCATTTACTGAGATGTAACACACCCACACAGTTACCTGTATTCCCTGAGGTGGGCTCTATGATTGTGTCTCCTGGTTTCAGATGTCCTGCTCTCTCTGCATCCTCCACCATACGCAGACTGATCCTATCTTTCACACTGCCGCCCGCGTTGAAGTACTCACACTTGGCCACTGCACAGAGGCAAAACAGAATGATACACACTGGATTATCACACACAGATTCAAATGTTTTTAAATTCTGAATTAAAACACCACCTTGTCTGAAAATATCTGATAATGTAACCAGACCTGGGTCAAACATGTTCATTTCATTTAGTTTAGAGTTTGCACTTTTGGAGCTACTCCATTGGTTCCATTGTACCAGGCAAACTAAATCAAACTCAGCTCACAGTATCTGGAAGAATTTGACTTTCACGTATGCATCTGACCCATTGTGTAATATACAGTATGCTCAGACATTTATTATAAGCTTACACTATAAAATGTATGAAGCACAAGTGGGGTCATTCATTGCTGTGCTAAAGTCCTAAGCCAACAATAGAATTAAACTGTTACATTGGATACAATATAACTGGCAACAAATCCCAAATGGGATTATGGAGTCAAGCATGAAGGATTCTACAAAGTAGTCAGCTGAAAACCCCTAAAAAAAAAGGTCCAGACGCCCCAAAGTAAATCCAATTCACATGACTTCTTAAGCCGACCAATCAAAAAGGGTTTGACTGCCTGTGTTATATGTATGTCTGAACAGAAAGAGACGTTGAGGGGGAAGAGCGCCTTGAAGGCCCCCTCTCCTGTTTCAACAGTATTCTCTGGACTATGTCTAATTGGCAGATAATGCAAAGTTCAAGGATAAATGGGTGAAGGATAGGTTTTATCATGGTGGCACGGATAAATGGGTAACTCTCCGTGAGAAAAGTGCCCACACGAGGCTGAAACATTGCGTGGGAAACATTTCCACCCATGTAGCACGTTAAGGTTTCTCAATTCATCCCAAAAGGGTTCTGAGAAAAGACACCCTGATCAACTCACAGATTTCACACTTGAGGCCGAAGGTCTTGGGGATCTTGTTCATGCGCACCAGCGGGGTGTCACCGATCCTCTGGAGGATGTTGGTAAGGATTTTAGGGGCTTTGGTCCTGGAGGGAGGAGGGAGGGAGTTTAGCTGACTAACTCATTGAAGTTGATGAATGCTCAATGCTCATACAACATTGATGGAATCTGACTAAAAGATGGACAGGTGAACAAAGTGGAAATCAGTAGAGAAGGAGGAGGCAGGTGGAAGGAATAACAAAGGATTACCAGTCTTACTGTTGAGGGTTAGGGTTACCAGTCTTACTGTTGAGGGTTAGGATTACCAGTCTTACTGTTGAGGGTTAGGGTTACCAGTCTTACTGTTGAGGGTTAGGGTTACCAGTCTTACTGTTGAGGGTTAGGATACAGTTATGTGGGGTTAGGGTTACCAGGTGCGTTACTTGGAGGGTTAGGATACCGTTTTTACTGTGGGCACGTAGGGTACAGTTTATGTGAGTGGTTTACCATCTATGGTGAGGGTAGATACAGTTTCTGTGAGGTGATTACCAGTCTTATGTTGAGTAGTTACCAGTCTTACTGTGGGGTTAGGGTCCAGCTACTGTTGAGGGTTAGGGTTACATCACTGTTGACCGGCAGTTACAAGTCTTAAGGGTTAGGTACACAGTCTTGAAGACCGTCTGAGGTTAGGATTCCAGTTTACGGTGAGGGTTTCCGTCTTATTGTTAGGTTACCACGTCTTTGTTGAGGGTTAGGATCCCTTCTGAGGGTTAGGTTAAGTCTTACTGTTAGTGTTACCAGTCTTTGCTGAGGGAGTTAGTGTTACCAGTCTACTCGTTGAGGGTTAGGGTTACCAGTCTTACTGTTGAGGGTTAGGGTTACCAGTCTTACTGTTGAGGGTTAGGGTTACCAGTCTTACTGTTGAGGGTTAGGGCCACCAGTCTTACTGTTGAGGGTTAGGGTTACCAGTCTTACTGTTGAGGGTTAGGGTTACCAGTCTTACTGTTGAGGGTTAGGATTACCAGTCTTACTGTTGAGGGTTAGGTTTACCAGTCTTACTGTTGAGGGTTAGGATAACCAGTCTTACTGTTGAGGGTAGTACCAGTCTTACTGTTGAGGGTGGATACGCTTACGTGAGGTCTAGCATGGTTGCCCCCAGTCCATCGTGCAGGGGTGAGGTCGTGACGGATCTACTTGCCTTCGCCCCACCGCCTGGATGTTCCAGCTAGTCCATCTACTGTTGAGTTGGCTACCCTCTCTGTTGGGAGTTGTAAAGGCCCTCCTGGATTACTGTCGGATCGTTGGCTCCGGCTTGCTGAAGCGTAGCCTGGCAGCGTGTGGGCACACAGTGCCGATAGGGCCCAGGACGCTGCTGTCTTTAAGGGAGGGGACCGCAGGCATGTCTCACCTGGGAAGGTAAATGGCACATGGGCTAGTAAATGGCACATGGGCTCCGTCCTGCTCTTAAGCACAGATCTAGGATCAGATTCCCCTTACCCCAGTCCTAATTGTAACCGGTTAGTGGGAGGATAACTGATCTGACCCTGTATCTGTGGTTAGAGGGGAAGGAGCAGCAAAAGGCCAGTCTTCAGAATGTTTGTGGGATTCGAGGAGGTGCTGTCTGTCTGTCTGTCTCCTATTACACACTGCTGGACAGACTGACGACTTCTGACAAATTACAGTCAGGAAGCCATTAAAGAATATTCCTGAAAATAAATGTACACCAAAACAATTTTAAAAACGTTTGACCCCCAAGAGAGGTGCACACACACCTGACACCACCATGCATGGCATGCTGCATGTCCCTCTTAAGAGTGGTACTGCGAGCCCCACAGTTCAGTTACAAATTACTCAGGCAGACGCAGTACCTCAACACGTTTGACGTTTAAGTTAGTGAACTTCCTCAGGTCAATTTAAAAAAAACATTCACTTTGAATATGCAAAAATATGAGTGGCTATGCGTGAAGCGCTACAATGATTGAAAGAAATGTCCCTTGTCAAGAAAGGCTAATCATTAACGAGGTAATCGTGTGTGCCCAGCTAATTTGTATAGCCTAAAGACCCAAGGTTATAGAAGACAACGTACTGTCCCTAACCTATTAACAAGACAACGTACTGTCTCTAACCTATTAACAAGACAACGTACTGTCCCTAACGTATTAACAAGACAACGTACTGTCCCTAACCTATTAACAAGACAACGTACTGTCCCTAACCTATTAACAAGACAACGTACTGTCCCTAACGTATTAACAAGACAACGTACTGTCCCTAACGTATTAACCTAACGTATTAACAAGACAACGTACTGTCCCTAACGTATTAACAAGACAACGTACTGTCCCTAACCTATTAACAAGACAACGTACTGTCCCTAACGTATTAACAAGACAACGTACTGTCCCTAACGTATTAACAAGACAACGTACTGTCCCTAACCTATTAACAAGACAACGTACTGTCCCTAACGTATTAACAAGACAACGTACTGTCCCTAACCTATTAACAAGACAACGTACTGTCCCTAACGTATTAACAAGACAACGTACTGTCCCTAACGTATTAACAAGACAACGTACTGTCCCTAACGTATTAACAAGACAACGTACTGTCCCTAACGTATTAACAAGACAACGTACTGTCCCTAACGTATTAACAAGACAACGTACTGTCCCTAACGTATTAACAAGACAACGTACTGTCCCTAACCTATTAACAAGACAACGTACTGTCCCTAACGTATTAACAAGACAACGTACTGTCCCTAACCTATTAACAAGACAACGTACTGTCCCTAACGTATTAACAAGACAACGTACTGTCCCTAACCTATTAACAAGACAACGTACTCTCCCTAACCTATTAACAGACAAGTACGTCCCTAACCTATTAACAAGACACATACTGTCCCTAACGTATTAACAAGACAACGTACTGTCCCTAACTATTAACAAGACAACGTACTGTCCCTAACGTATTAACAAGACAACGTACTGTCCCTAACCTATTAACAAGACAACGTACTGCCCTAAACGTATTAACAAGACAACGTACTGTCCCTAAAGTATTAACAAGACAACGTACTGTCCCTAACGTATTAACAAGACAACGTACTCCTTAACTATTAACAAGACAACGTACGTCCCTAAAGTATTAACAAGACAACATACTGTCCCTAACCTATTACAAGACAAGTACTCCCTTAACCTATTAACAAGACAATGTACTGTCCCTAACGTATTAACAAGACAACGTACTGTCCCTTAACCTATTAACAAGACAACGTACTACCCTTAACGTATTAACAAGACAACGTACTGTCCCTAACCTATTAACAAGACAACGTACTGTCCCTAACCTATTAACAAGACACGTACTGTCCTAACCTATTAACAAGACAACGTACGTCCCTAACGTATTAACAAGACAACGTACTGTCCCTAACCTATTAACAGACAACGACTGTCCCTAACTATTAACAAGACAACGTACTGTCCCTAACTTATTAACAAGACAACGTACTGTCCCTAACCTATTAACAAGACAACGTACTCCCTAACCTATAACAAGACAACGTACTGTCCCTAAAGATTAACAAGACAACGTACTGTCCCTAAATAACAAGACAACGTACTGTCCCTAACTATTAACAAGACAACGTACTGTCCCTAACCTTTAACAAGACACGTACTGTCCCTAACCTATTAACAAGACAACGTACTTCCCTAAACGTATTAACAAGACAACTACTGTCCCTAACGTTTAACAGGACAACGTACTACCCTAACGTATTAACAAGACAACGTACTGTCCCTAAAGTATTAACAAGACAACGTACTCCCTAACCTATTAACAAGAACAACATACTGTCCCAACGTATTAACAAGACAACGTACTGTCCCTAACCTATTAACAAGACAACGTACTGTCCCCTAACCTATTAACAAGACAACGTACTGTCCCTAAAGTATTAACAAGACAACGTACTGTCCCTAACTATTAACAAGACAACGTACTGTCCCTAAACGTATTAACAAGGACAACGTACTGTCCCTAAAGTATTACAAGACAACGTACTGTCCCTAACGTATTAACAAGACAACGTACTGTCCCTAACGTATTAACAAGACAAAGTACTGTCCCTAACGTATTAACAAGACAACGTACTGTCCCTAACGTATTAACAAGACAACGTACTCTCCCTAACCTATTAACAAGACAACGTACTGTCCCTAACGTATTAACAAGACAACGTACTGTCCCTAACGTATTAACAAGACAACGTACTGTCCCTAACGTATTAACAAGACAACGTACTGTCCCTAACCTATTAACAAGACAACGTACTGTCCCTAACCTATTAACAAGACAACGTACTGTCCCTAACCTATTAACAAGACAACGTACTGTCCCTAACCTATTAACAAGACAACGTACTGTCCCTAACCTATTAACAAGACAACGTACTGTCCCTAACCTATTAACAAGACAACGTACTGTCCCTAACCTATTAAAATGGGACTAATTCTTTGGATTCCCAGACAGAGAGTTCAGTCCATTTGGTTGCCCCCCGTCTAACCGTCTAATACTAATATGCAGTGTCCACTTCCAAGCAGCTGTTCAAATGGACCTCTTTCTGAACCGCGCTGAAGACACAAACCTCGCCTGAGTGGCTTGACACCAAATGACCAGCACACAATAAACCCACAGGAGAGCATTGTGTCCTTAGGAAAACAAGGTACGGTGGGAGACGGAGAGAGACCAAAGGAAACGTTCCTTTCTGAACCAGTGCATTTCTTAATGGGACTACTACTACAGGTCTAGCTACTTCTGTTAAAGCGTAGGTCTACTACTGCTATGGCAGATATGGGAGCAGAGGGTTGAGTGTTCCTTGGGTGGGTTCATTTGCAATCTGATCCCCCTTGCAGACAGGTTCACTGAGTGGCAGTGAGGCTGAAATGGTCAGAGGTGTTGTGTTGCGTCACAGCTTGCCTAGGGTGTGTAACCAAACAAGTGGAGCAGACACCCTTCAGACCCAACAAACCGGTGGTAACAGTGTTATTACTACATGAGACAAACTGCCTTTGGAGATTTCTCTCAACAGATACTCTCAATACTTTTTAGCATCAGTTCGACAACAAACAGTGGTGCAACGCAAGAAGTATGATTAAAAAATTAAAAATTCTCCTTTCAGAACTCCCAAAAGTAGTGGAATTAAAAGATAGTGTGCAATGATGTATAATCAAACAGGACAGTATCTACAACCCTATAATAATAAATAAAACTGCCCTAAAAAGACAGTGCCCAATAATGCCTTTCATAACTATTCAGAGACAAAGCCATCAAGCCCATAGCGGACTAAACTCCATGGCAAAGGACGTTTCTGATGACTCCACCAACGGAGCGGAGCAGAGACCAGACTTTGTGGAATCTAGCATCGACTACATTATTCACTGAAGGTCAGTACTTTAAAACATGTTAAACGCCTACCTTGTACCTATGTTTGCCCTTTGTAATTGCGTGCCTTTGTTTGTTTGCTTTAATCCATACTTTTTCAATAAACTTTAATCAAATACAACCACAGACTTCACCTTAGGCGAATCAATGTAGTCGGAGCTAAATTCCACAAAGACTGGTCTCTGCTCCACTCTGGTGGAGCCGTCAGAAACGTCCTTCCCATGGAGTTTCGCCTGCTATGGGCTTGATGGCTTTGCCTCTGAATAGTTCTGACAGGCATTATTGAGCACTGTCTTTTTAGGGCCATACTAGAAACATATGCTTGGTTTAGTCCACTATCAGGGCCATGGCACAAGAGTGCACTCAATCATGGCAAATTGTGGGGGGGCAAAATGAACTGTATAGGTGTAGCTCAAATTCATTACCTGCAGCCCTCAGTCACCAGAACAGAAAGATGTGATGAATGATTCACAGGTCAATTCATTCAATACTGTTTTTTCAAACGATAACATTTATTTCTCAACACAGAGCAATCATGTACTCAGTTCACATATAGTCCCATATGGTGGGTCAAAATAAGATTTTTTTGGTGTGCATTTTAGCTAACCCTAACTCCTAAATGTACTTCTCCTACGAAAAGTGAAATCTGACGTTAATTTGACAAACGTTGGATCCCTTCTAGCCATGTTCGGAGGTTTCTGGGCCCCGGAAATAAACCACGTGCTTGTTAAAAACACGAACTGTCATTGTAGTACCCACCTCATACTATTTTTTGATTGCCATGACTCAGTAGGTAGGAACACCATAATTATAAAAAATATATATACAAGGAGACAGGACTATATTTCGATGAATGAAACAGGGCATCATAAAAGAAACGTGCATCCAAAATAGCACTAACATCATCTTACACGTGGTCGATCAGTTTCAACTTACCTATGTATCTGATGATCTGGGAATCTGGAGAGGTAAAGAATCGTCCACCGGCACCGGCGATAGAAAGAGACTTTTAGAACAGTGCGATATTAAAGAGCACTTTCAGGGCGAGGAGCTTGGCCAATCGTTGGGGAAGAATGCATGTTTAGGGCGCACTTTGATTGGCTGCAGCGAGGGAGTCTATTTCTGCCCCTCCTCCAATCAGAGATGCAGATTTGGGGAAACCGTTGGGGAAAACAAGTTATTAGTACATTGGGAAACGGTTGGAAGTCTATCAGGGATCTATTCATATTAATTTCCAAAAAGTGGAGAACCTATTCAAATGTTATTTTCAGAAACATCGGAGCCTATACGCAACTCGCGCATCACATGTGACATTCAATGCGTTAATGTGCCTTTCACGTATGGTTTATGGTCGTAAATATGTTTTTTAGTAAATGTTACTATTCATTGTGAGGACTTTGTATTTTTCCAACTGGTGATCTGGGCATGTCATAGTTGCCCATGGTAATTTCAATGGAGTTGTTCACCTGCGTAACCATTAGACATAATCCGGATGGGTTCCTTTGGGGACATGGTCAGAACGCTTCCGTACTCGGAAAAATACTAGGTCAAATCATGACGTCGGTGATCGTCAGCTCAGAGATCTAGAAAGAGGCTCGAGTTCCCAGTCCGAGCTCGTTTTTTCCCTCCGAGTTCCCAGTTGTTTTGAACGCCTCTATACCAGGCGGTGTCAGAGGAAGGCCCTCAAAATTGTGAAAGACTACAGCCACCCTAGTCATAGACTGTTCTCTCTGCTACCGCACGGCAAGCAGTACCGGAGCGCCAAGTCTAGGTCCAAAAGGCTTCTTAACAGTTTCTACCCCCAAGCCATAAGACTCCTGAACAGCTAATCATGGCTACCCGGACTATTTGCACTGCCCTCCCACCCCATCTTTTTACGCTGCTGCTACTCTTAATTATTTATGCATAGTCACTTTAACTCTACCCACATGTACATATTACTACAACTACCTCAACTAGCCGGTGCCCCCGCACATTGACTCTGTACTGGTACCCCTCTGTATATATAGCCTCCCTACTGTTATTTTACTTCTGCTCTTTTTTTCTCAACACTTTTTTGCTGTTTTATTTAACTTTTTTATTAAAAAATAAATGCACTGTTGGTTAAGGGCTGTAAGTAAGCATTTCACTGTAATGTCTGCACCTGTTGTATTCGGCGCATGTGGCCAATAAAATTTGATTTGAACTATACAACTCATGACGCACTGGTAACTATTGGTGCGTTCAAAATAACTGGGAACTTGGACATGTCCGACTTCAGTGCGTTCAAAACAACTGGGAACTCGGAAAAAAACGATCATCCAACTCTGGAGATCGGCCCTTTTCTAGAGGTCCGAATGACGTTATGATTTGACCTCGTATTTTTCAGAGTTCAAATGCTGCGATCAAAACAACAGGGAACTCTGCAAAACTCTGTTGCACATTTTGGTTTTTGCCCTAGCTACACAGCTGATTCAAATAATCAAAGCTTGATGAGTTGTTTCCTATTTAAATCAGCTCTCATTGTAGTGTTAGGGTAAAATCCAAAACATGCACCCAGAGGGGGCCCCAGGACCGACCTTCAGAAACCCTGCATACATTACATTCAAACGTGTTGTAATCAGAGGGTATTCTACATACTCATTGCTAGCAGGATCTCCAATCCAACATGTTCTGGATTGACCTTACTGCTCTTGTAGTTTTCTCAACCACTTTTTCTATTGCACACTTATTCTAAAAAAATGCACTGGTTAAGGGCTGTTAGTCTTCCAACTGTAGTTGCAAAACCGTACGGCAGTGGCCAACGCTCAAACATTGACTCTTGACTATACCACTCGTAGTGTACCCTTCACCGTCTTTCCGTGCGTGATCTAACTCGAACCTCCAACTGCATGCTTCAAAAATGAGGACTACAGCAAAGAACTCATCCAACTTAGTCTGGCTCTTTTTGAGGCCGCAATGCTTTATTTGCTGTCTTTTCAATTAAAGGCGATAAACAACAGGAATTCAACGTCGTTCACATTTGTCCCACACATTTTCAATAACGGAAAGCTTAGAGGTTATGGACGTGGGTGTGGGGAAGAACCAAGATATGCTACCCGGTGGCTCAGGCGTTAAAACCCTCATACAGACTTCCGTGTCCGGGACTCCTTTTACTCGCGCACCAGGTCCACCACGCATTCTACTTCTTAGCCGTTTCCTCCCAACCCAACAGCCACGGTTCCTAAGGTGTTATGCGTTGATAAGCTTTTCACGGATTGGAGTCAGGGGTATCGTCCGGAAGCGGTTGTACCCTGCCTCCTTATTACCTCCTTCACCCTCTTCTCTGGCATATAATGCTAATCCACATAACTGCCAGCACATGATTAACCAGCCAAGAATCAACTACAAAGGAGTCTGTTTATTACCCAGCTTGTCATGTTTCTTTAACAAATACCAGGGTAAGAAAAGTTACCCACTTTTGAATTGCAACTGTCCACATTTTCTCACGAGAATGGATGGGGGGGGGGGGGGGGAAGAGGGGGATAATTAGGTCTTGGCTCATCTTAAAATCTTCCAGAACGTTCCCGGTCCCTGGACCTCCGTTTCTCGCGGTCCCGTCCGCCGCCTCTGCCGCCATCGCCACCACGGCCACGGTCCCGGGAGCGAGAACGCCTTTCCCGGGATCGCGAGCGAGAGCGGTGTCCTCCTCCTCCTCCTCCCCCTTTGCTAGAAAGGGATAAATAAAATGCTTGAACCACATAATGCCAGCACATGACTTAACCAGCCTAGAGAATACAAAAACAAAGGAGGCTTTTACATTAGTCAACTACCCAAATACCAGCGGTGGAAAAGTACCCAATCATCATACTTGTGTAAAAGTTAAGATACCGTAATAGAAAATGATTGAAGGTAGTCACCCAGTAAAATCCTACTTGAGTAAAAGTCAAAAAGTATTTGGTTTTAAATAAACGTAAGTATCAAAAGTAAATGTAATTGCTAAAATATAATTAAGTATCAAAAGTAAAAAATCATTTAAAATTCCTTATATTAAGCAAACCAGACGGCACGATTTTCTTGTTTTTTTAAATTTACGAATAGCACACTGCAATACTCACACATAATTTACAAACAAAGCATGTATTTAGTGAGTCTGCCAGATCAGATGCAGTAGGGATGACCAGGGATTCTCTTTAAGTGCGTGAATTAGGCCATTTTCCTGTCCTGCTAAGCGTTCAAAATGTAACGAGTACTTTTGGGTGTCAGGGAAAATGTATGGACTAAAAAGTACATACTTTTTTTTAGGAATGTAGTGAAGTAAAAGTAGTCAAAAATATAAAAAGTAAAGTACAGATACCCCCCAAAAACTACTTAAGTAGTACTTTCAAGTATTTTTACTTAAGTACTTTACACCACTGCCAAGTATGGTCTTGGATGCTTCACCATTCAATCTAAAACAGTCAAAAGTTGACAGTGACACAGAACAAGGTCTTCCTGGAATACAAACATTCCCTAGAATGTGTCATACCCTTTTCTACGGCGTCCATACAGGTCCCGGCGGAGTTCCCTGGAGATGGGTTTCAGGTGCATGAAGTTACAGAAGCCTCCTCTGGTGCACTCTCTGTGGATGGAAGGCAAGCAGGGGGTTAAAACTGTTACTGTGTGTGTGTGTGTGTGTGTGTGTGAAAAGCTTTACCAATCACCACCTGTATCCACTGAGTAGCACGTTTACCACCCTGCACTCCAAAGCAGAGGCCTAGCTAGCTACATGCATCTCTCCTGCTGGAGTTAGCCAAACAGTTCAACTGTAGCCTAAGCAAACGATGGGTAGTTCCAATGGAAAAACACTTGAGGTTACATCCCAAATGGCACCCTATTCCCTACATTGTGCACTACTTTTGACCAGGGCCCATAGGGAATAGAGTGTTGAATAGGGTGCCATTTCAGACAGCCTGAGTTATATGCTGCAGGGAGACAGGCCTACATTCTTCCTGTTGGATAAGAGGTGGAAACTTAAGCTTTGCCCAGGTGTGTATTCACTAGGAACCAGACGGAACTAAATGGAAGCAAACTGAAAGAAACAGGGAGGGATCTATCTGAATTTGTCCAATAGAAACTCTCGTTTTCGGTGTAAAAAGTTTTCCGTTTGGTGTAAATGGTTTACGTTGAAAAAAGTTTTAGGACTACTGATTACACCCCTGGTTTATAGTCTGGAGTAAGAATATGGTGGAATGCAGTGCTGAAACAAGGCAAACAGATCACTATGTTCCTGGTTATTGTTGTTGGTCGCAGACACAGTGGTGTATAGATATATCAATCAGAAAGAGAGATTGACACTGACCCCATCTCATACTGCCGACAGCAGGCTTCCCTGAAGTCAGTGACCGGGGAGAGCTCTGAGTGGACAGGCTGACCGTTGAACCAGCGGTTGTTCAGGTCCATCACCGCTTTCTCTGCATCCTCTTCCCGCCGGAACTACACACACACACAGAGGGAGAGAAAGAGGCCATTTAGACAGATTCATGCTCTGATGAAGGTCGACTGACCATAAAGATCAGCTACTATAAAAAGGGGACGTTTTCCTGTTTCTCCAGACAGATTAACACAACACACTGAGGACGGATGCAGGGAGAATTTAACACGGCTGACATGGGATCTCTGACCCTCACCTTCACATAGACGTTGCCGACCAGATGGTCTCCGAGGTTGTCACACACGTTCATCTCCTCCACCTCTCCGTACTTCTCCTCCATCTCTGTGAAGACCTCCTGTAGGACCAGAAGATGGGGAAGGATCATAGGTGACAAAACTTTCACTGATTGATGAGTAAAGCAGCACCATGGAGACCCACTAGTCCAGACTTTATTTAAAGATCCACTAAAATCACTAGATCCACTAATAACTATACTGAACAAAAATATAAACGCAACATGCAACAATTTCAAAGACTTAACTGAGTTACAGTTCACATAAGGAAACCAGTCATTGAAATAATTAGGCCCTAATCTATGGATTTCACAACTGGGAATACAGATATGTATCAGTTGGTAACAGATACCGTAAATAAAAAGGTAGGGGCGTGGATCAGAAAACCAGTCACCATCTGGTGTGATCACCATTTGCCTCATGCAGCGCGACATCTCCTTCGCATAGGGTTGATCAGGTTGTTGATTGTGGCCTGAGGAATGTTGTTCCACTCCTCTTCAATGGCTGTGCGAAGTTGCTGGATATTGGCGGGAACTGGAACACTGCTGTCGTACATGTCGATCCAGAGCATCCCAAACATGCTCAAATGGGTGACATGTCTGTTGAGTATGCAGGCCATGGAACAACTGGGACATTTTCAGCTTCCAGGAATTGTGTACAGATCCTTGCGACATGGGGCCGTGCATTATCATGTGGCGGATGAATGGCACGACAATGGATCTCGTCACGGTATCGCTGTGCATTCAAATTGCCATTGATAAAATGCAATTGTGTTTGTTGGCCGTAGCTTATGCCTGCCCACCCCATAACCCCACCATGGGGCACTCTGTTGACATCAGCAAACCTCTCGCCCACACAACGCTATACACGTGGTCTGCGGCTGTGAGGCCGGTTGGATGTACTGCCAAATTCTCTAAAACGACATTGGAGGTGGCTTATGAGAGAAATTAACATTCAATTCTCTGGCAAACAGTTCTGGTGGACATTCCTGCAGTCAGCATGCCAATTGCACGCTCCCTCAAAACTTGAGATATCTGTGGAATTGTGTTGTGTGAAAACTGCAATTTAAGTGGCCTTTTATTGTCCCTAGCACAAGGTGCACCTGTGTAATGATCATGCTGTTTAATCAGCTTCTTGATATCCCACACCTGTCAGGTGGATGGAATATCTTGGCAAAGGATAAATGCTCACTAACAGGGATTAAAAAATTTATCACAATGAGTATCCATATGTTGTGTCATGTAAAATTTTGGGTCTATTATTTCACTCATGAACCTGGGACAACACAACCCCTGGCGTTTCTAATTTTGGTCAGTAGAGCACTAATCCACTGCATCTCAGACCCACTAGGGTAGACTCTTCGTTTAATGGCATTCTAGCGCACAGGTAACACCCGCTGCCCTGGAAACGACCCCAACATGATTCTATTAATACTATAGGAGGACAGGTCATCCGCAGGTCAAACCAATGACATAGGCATGAACAGGGCACTTTCAGAAGTCTCAAAAATGAGATACATGGGTAATTGTGACTGATAATCTCAAGGAAATTGAGTAGTTATTTATGATACGAGGTGATTTGTAGATCAGTTAGTCTCGACTCGCCTTCAAAAGTCAGCTGCAATGTGGAACATGCCCATGGTTTCTACACGGCTGACTTAGTCTCACTGAGGGTCTTTTCTATTACCCAACTACATATCCTCCGCTGTACAAATACTGCCCCTTTTACATCAGTGAACACTGAACAGGGCCAATATCGGCACAGCAGAATTGACCCTGTTTTGAAAGTAAATGGGAGAGAGGAAGTTGATACCGTGCAAAACAGGCAGGTTTAGCAGAGATAAGGTGAAACATCACAAGTCTCCCATGCCGAGGTCACTCACCTCAAAGAACTCGTCATAGTGCTCTTGCATCTCCACGTCGCTGACGGCACCTAAAACCATGAACAAATAACCAGTGAGAAAACAGCTATGTGGAGGCAGTGGCAGAGTCACTAAGCATTTGCATCAGTGCAATTTCAAATCCAACGATTTACGAGAATATAAAGACAAAATACCAAGCTAAACCATGAAACTAACGTACAGGTTAACTTTGTTTCATATTTGTCCTATAGCCATCATTTTAACTTTATGTTCAATTACTTTATCCCCTTGGAAATCACCAGATAAACATTACAATGGTACAACAGCTGAGTAAATCTGGCCAGTAATCTATTAGAATTGTAATTTTTATTTTATCAATTAGTTATTATAAACATTAAGATTACGTTTTGGAACAACAACCTTAATGACATTGTCTCAGCACAAGCCAGCTCCAATGACGCCGTTTGAGAACACTGACAGTGAAGCTGGCTGGTGCTGAAACTGAGTGCCAACGAAGCTAGTACGAGCAAGAAATACATGCAAAACCAGAGTCTATTTAGGAAGTTGAAAGTCTAGCAAAATATAGAAACATTCAATGCATTTCAGAAGTCATTTTTTCCATAACATACAACCTGAAAGAAAGGACCGCTTCCCATCTCTACCTGCCTGTGGCCTTGGTATTAAACTGAATGCAATAGAACGCAAGCATGATACATTTACTCATACTAATCAACATAAGAACCTAGGCTAGGTAAATATATACCTGACATCTTGCCAGTCACAGGGGGTCTATGGGAAAGGTATGCTTTTCAGAGCTATTGATCAAGGGACGTCTGACCTTCTCCATCACAAAAATACTACTTCATAATTTATATTTCGCATGAGCAATAGTTATTGTCATGGGGAAGGCTATACACACACAACTACACTGAGCCCATCACATCAGGTTCACAGTGAGGCCTCCAGGGAAAACGGTGTACATTTATGGGTTCAGCTAATAGGAATATAATAGCATATGGGTGTTGGGTGGGCAAATTCAATTCAGGTCTAGGCTACTAAAAACAAAACTAAATAATGTTTTCCAGGAAAAATATCTAAGCTATAGCTGTTTCCTGGCGAATGGAGGTGTTGTTGCAGCGTAGGTAGGAAAGTGTACACCAGATAACTGTATAATATAATGGAGGTGTTGTTGCAGTGTAGGTAGGTAGGTGTCCACCAGATAACTGTATAATATAATGAGCGGTCCATGCCGCAGGGCCCTGCAAACGTAGGGGGAACTTACAGCGTATACCATCGGCAGACTGGGCAGTGTTTTGAGGGTTACGGTAAATGTTCAAGAGGGCAATGGTCTGAAATACAAAACGGACATTTTTGTGATACAGGTCAAGCAGAAATGGGGGTTTTGGGGGAAGAAAGTTAAATTAGATAAGGTATCATGCTCCTTACAACAGGCCCTGAAGAGAACACACTAGGGTCAGCTAAGACGTTCTCAATTTACACATTTGAAGCCATGACTAGCTTCATTAGTCCCCTCTATGGAACTCTGCTCTGAACCATAGAGTGCATGGTGTGATCTGAAATGCTGAAAGAGAAGGTAACTGTGTGTCTCCTGACCACAGACGTCTCTGCCAGGGCGTCACAGGAGGCTGCAATCACAAGGAACTCAGAACTAGTCATTGTAATGCCAGTTAAAGAGAGAGAGACATTACTGACAAGTGTTACTGGAGAGGTAGCAAGGACTTGTGTGTTAATGTGTTGATAATTCAATCCAATACATTTCCCCAAAGGAAATAGCTGTTTGTGAATAGGTTACAGTACAAAAGCCATCTAAGTAAAGCACATGTGAAGCCATCTCTGGAATAAGGAAGGAGGGAGGTGTTTGGCTAGTTCTGGGATCCTTGTTTGGAAAGTCAGTCATCAGAAGAGAACAGAACAGTGGCAGACAGACAGGACAGTGGGACAGACAGGATCCTGTGAGAGTCCACAGCCATACCTACCTACCTGTGTGAGAGGACAGGCATCAGCTCTGGTAAGACAGGGCTCAACACTGGGTACTGCTCACACAGTGGAGGGTTACAACTAGGTCTACACTCACCAAATGCTTATAAGATGCATTACCCAATTATAGGACTTGTGCTCAAGGTAGTTTGGGATTTAAATTGGTCAACATAGCCTATAGAAGAATGGAATGTGTTTTTTTTGAGTGGCTGAGAGATTGCGTATGAGAGGGCAGAGACTGAGGCAACAGAAATATTTGACAATACAAAACAGATTGAGGAGCATCCTGTTTATTTATCTGGTAGTAATGGTTTGCTATTTAGGGGGGACTGGGAGGAGCAGTTACAGTAGCCAAAGTGTGAGAGAGGTACTGTAATGTTGGGTTCCCTGCTAACAGTGCTGAGGCAGTCCCTCACAGCTCGGCTGCTACGTGACCTACATATGGGGAGGAAGAGGAGGGATTTCTGAACCCGAGGCTAACAGATCTTTGGACTTACAGCGAGAGGCGTCGGCCGTCTGTGCACTGTTTTGGGGGTTACGGTAGATGTTTTGAATCAAGATGGTCTGCCGGGGATGACAAGAATAAAAGAGATAGATCATTCAATTGAATTCTTGTAGATTCCAAATGAGTCTAGTTCCCTGATTGACGTAAATACGGTATTGGGTTTACTGACGTAGGAGTCGAATCTCTCCTTAGAATCTATGGGCTGTATTTCAGAGAAGTTGGGGTAGAGGACATTATTATTACTATTATTAGGACAGAATATGTGAGCGGAGCGAACCCAATTTGACTGGAGCGTGCAGCGAGTTTCCCAAAGGCTGGAGCGTGCAGCGAGTTTCCCAAAGGCTGGAGCGTGCAGCGAGTTTCCCAAAGGCTGGAGCGTCAGCCTTCTGGCCCGCTCCAGTAGCACTCACTTCCCGAGCTCAGGGCATGCCCGTCCCAGCATGCATTTGTAGTTTACCTGTGTGCCGTTATAGCCCCTTGCTTTAGCTACTGTCATTAAGTACGCTACATATTTCCATAAAGAAACGGATTAAAAAAAAATCAAGGTGACTTACAAAGATGAAGAGGAACAAGAGCAAGAGAGGGAGTGTGGTGATGTAGTGTCCACAACTAAAGAATCATTGTGGGGGGCCTCCCAGGTCTAAGGCACTGCATCGCAGTGTTGCGGCGTCACTACAGCCTGGGGTTTGATCCGTGACCGGGAGTCCCAAATGGCGGCGCACAATTGGCCCAGAGTCGTCCGGGTTAGGGGAGGGTTTGGCCGGAGGGGCTTTACTTGGCTCACCGCGCTCTTGCGACTCCTTGTGTGCGGGCCGGGCGCCTGCAGGCTGACTTCGGTCATCAGTTGAACTGGGTTTCCTCCGACACATTTGGTGCGGCTGGCTTCCGGGTTAAGCGAGCGGGTGTTGCGAAGCGTGGCGGGTCATGTTTCGGAGGACGCATGACTCGACCTTCGCCTTTACCGAGCCCGTTGGGGAGTTGCAGCGATGAGACAATATCGTCATCACGAAATCAGGGAGAGAAAAAAAGAGGGTGGGGTGGGGAAATAAAAATGTAAGTGAAAAAATAGAATCATTGTGGAATCTGAAAAGACACATCCCGAAAGCATGATGGTGTACTTACTACGTGCACATGCTAACAGAAAGGAATGAGGTGGGTATCTAGCTAAACGTGTCATTGTAGCAAACTATTTATAAACTAAAAATCAGATCTCTTAAAAGTTAGGCCATAATTGATTTTGGTCCAATAGGCCTGGCATATTACCTCTTTCAAGTAGTTTTCCATTTTGATAGGGTTATTTGACCTAAAATCCGTTGGGCCTAACCCCCCCCCCAAAAAATGCATCCTGACCAGCCTGGCCTGAAGGGTGTTTAGCATCCCCAGTGGCTCTGCAAGCGCGGAGAGAGTATTCTTTGCCATTGGCCTGCTCTCCGAGCACCACCACATGAGCCTAAAGCCACAGACTGGCCAAACTCCTGTTTCTAAAAATGTATTCAAAAGGCACCGAGCATTTTTCGTTTAATTTGTATTTAATTTGAAGTAAGTCAGAGCCTATATGCGCAATTTATAGAATATACTGATTTAATACAACAAAATGTGTGTGTGTCGCACTCACAAATGCCTCACAATGTATTTATTTGTACGCTATAGCCTTGAAATAATTGAAATTTAGCTTAAATGATTAATTTCCTTCTTAGGCTACCTGTCTGGCTCCTGACCTATTTAGAGTGTTTATATGCTGTTTAATACAACATGTAGCCTATTTGAAATGATGAGCGCTTCTTACAGTTTATTTCTCTCCTGTGCGCGCAGAGCGGTTTTTAGCGGAGCGGTTGGAAAGGACATGGCGCGCGAGAGTGCTGAGCAAGCACCAGTCCAATGAACGGGATTTACAGAACGGCTCAACTCCGCCCACATGCTCTGGTAGAGGACGATCACCCAATCAGTCTTCTGATAGAAAGCTTTGTTTTGTTTCTCATGGTTCAGCATGGGGCCAAGCGCAACTATCCTGAGTTTGGAGACCTAGGGTTGAGTCAGATTAAGTCTTTTGATATGAACTGGCTGAGCTGTTCAATGAAGCACAATGACAGGGAAATTGAACTGCCATCGTGTCTATTGAATGTCTACCAAAGAGCCAGAGCCAGGCAAGCAGTCACTATAAATGAGGGGGGCAGGTTGGCTGCATGTTCATGTGAATGTGTGCATAGTCAAAAGTACCAGGTTGGAGTAAAATATTTAACATTCAGGCTAACACTACTTCATTCCATTGAGGTTGTGCCGTCTGCCATTGCATCATGTATATCATAATCAGCATTAGCCCACCAGTGGCTAGGGTGACCACATGTCCCAGATTGTGCAGGACACTCACGCATTTTATCAACAAAATAAAACACCACTAATTTACAAAAAAGGGTAGATTTGTCTATATTTAAGTCAGATTTCCTATTCATTTGATGAAAATTTACATTCCAATCTGTCTCTTTTGCAGTCCCGTTGCGCTTATGACAAGATATATATTATAAGGACGTGGTACTGGTGATGTTGAACACAATCGTTGAGGATCTCTTCATATAGTCAACCAATCACATGTCAAATCCTTTCGGGATTTGCAGCGGACAGCGAGTAAACTACTTACAAAAAGTGTGCTTCTGATGAAAAGCTACAAAAGTAAGTAAATAGCTGTTTTAGACTGACAGATAAGGTAATTTGTAAGGCTCACCATACTCAGTTGCTCATTCAACGTAATTGCTGCTACTTCACTCAATCCCATTTTTTAAAAAAGTCTTCCTTCCTAACCGTTTTAAATTCTCAGAACCAGAAATGGTTCCTTGGCCAAATATTCCCTGACTTTCATAAAAACAGCCACACATGCGGTCTCTCCTTTCTGCATCACCAAATTTTGTGCGAGCTCGGCAAAAGAGTAGGCTTCATGTGCTTCAATTAGCTCAGTGCAGCTGCAAAAAACATGTATTCATGTAGGCTACACTGTCCCAACGAATGTCTCGCAAAATCATCCTGTTTTCCCGCATTTGGATATTTTCAATGTGGTCACCCTACCAACAGCAGTTGCTTCTCTTCTGATTATAAATATTGACTGAGAGGCATTGACATGCTGCCAACCCTATCCTCATAAATCATAATGCAGGTTCTCTGAAAGGCAACAGAACACAATGTTATATACACTTCTGTAGCTAAGCCCATCGTGGAATCTGAAATGTAAATGTACACAGGGTTAGTGGAAACAGCATCAAACATTTAGGCCTACTTTACATACATCTGCCCACATTATGTTATTGCAGTATGTACGTAGGCCCATTCGAACATGGAAGCAACATTGCAAACATGAATGGAATTAGGGCTAATTGACAACACTGCAAAGTTTCAGTACTTCATTAATTATTATTTGATCCTACACAAGGTGAAGTCCATACGTCTATCTCCACACAAACAAGTAAACAATCAAATGTGAGTATAATCAGTCATGCTAGCTAGCTAACAAAGAAACCTAAGAAAGTCCTGAAATTCTAGTGGGCTATAACACAAACATTGGGCAATTGCTTACCATAAACCCCTAGCTAACTAATCATATTCAAGACATAGAAGCACGCTTACCTGGCTGAAAGTTGGCTTGTTGTGCAACCTAGAGCAGCGGTCCCCATGTCGGCATGCTCCAATTTTAAAGTAGAATGAACAATTGACCCTTGAATATGGACAAGAACATAAACAAATTAGATGTTGATAGCTGGCTATGTTAGTGTTTGCTTTGTATAGTTTTGTTGCTGCATCTAGCTAGCTACAATGGAAAACAAAAACATGATTCGTTGTGCTTGTGCAGTAGGCTACCAAGCCACTGGAGTCGTCTCTCGGGGCAATGCTAAAGAGGTGGAGTTAGCTAGCTACAGTAGCACGCTAGTTAGCTGCAGATTAGCTTAGCAAGCTAAACCGAGGTTATACAAACTAGCTAGCTAACTATTTAGCTACTAACTTGTAAAACATGTGATACTAGATTCACCAATAAAACAAAGACTGGTTTAGCTTAGTCTGGCCGATTTGGAGGGATACTGACGCGACGCAGCACATGCCACATTTTCAAACCAAGCCGCCTCCTCCATTCAAGCAAGTTAGCTAGCCTCCTACAGTATAGTCAGGAAGCTACGCTAGCTAGCTAGCCACACAAGTCTGAATGAAAAGCCACGGGTGCAGCAGCAGTCGTATTTGTAAGTAAACTGATAGCTTGTTGGGTTAAAACGTGCACGTTTTACCGAATATGCGTTTTATTAGCGTTATTATTTCAGCAGTTTCACAAAAAGACGAAATAACCTACTTGTCTTTCTCTGTTCCGAAAATGGAGGCCAGGTACTCCGCCATCTTCGGTTTGTCAACTAAACTGTGCTCTACGTCATGTATTCAACGCTTGCCGCTTTTTCGATAGAGACGAAAGTTGTGCTCTTCGTTTTTGTCGTTTGCATACGCTCTTGTCTTGTCTGTTTTTTTCTTCACAATATTCTCATGGGGGCGCAATTGCATCCATTTTGGTGTCATGATTAGGGCAAAAGATTATGATAACTAACCCTTTCATCTGTTTAGGGGTCTGTAGAAAATATATATTTATAGACTGGGTGGTTCGAGCCCTGAATGCCGATTGGCTGAAAGCCGTGGTATATCAGACCGTATACCATTGGTATGACTAAATATTTATTTTTACTGCTCTATTTATGTTGGTAACCAGTTTATAATAGCAATAAGGCACCTCAGGGGTTTGTGATATAGCCGTGGTATATTGGTCATATACCACACCCCCTTGGGCCTTATTGCTTAAGTATGCTATGCTGAATGAAGAAGAAGAGGAAGAAGTTTCAAGTTTTAAGAAGAAGTAGAAGATTACTTTATTATCTAATGTCCATTCATAATGCTAATTAGTGGCAAGGGGTTTCAGACTTCCTAGTATCATTCAATGAGAGGACAGTAGAGGTGACAAAACAACTCCACCACACAATGTTGGCATGTGACTCAATATTACCCCCCACCCACACAGAAAAGCCACAGCTAGGTTATATTAGAGAATCTGTGTATGTTCACACAGAGAGATCTGACAGATATACTATGACTTAAGCTTACTGTAATGTGCATAATTTTAGCCTACTGTAATGTGTATAACTTTTGCCTACTGTAATGTGTATAACTTTAGCCTACTGTAATGTGTAGAACTAAAGCCTACTGTAATGTGTATAACTTTAGCCTACTGTAATGTGTAGAACTAAAGCCTACTGTAATGTGTATAACTTTAGCCTACTGTAATGTGTAGAACTAAAGCCTACTGTAATGTACATTTGTACTCTGTTCTTGCCCCAGCGGGAACATGAAAGTGACAACTTCTCCATTTTGTGACGCAGATAGAATATATCTGACCATCTCTGAACAACCAAGGTCATGTTTAATTTATAACCAGTCTCGAATCCTGCATCTATCTATTTATGATCATAGCTGATTTATAGCAACAGGGCCACTGTTGAGACAGTCAAAAACGTCAAGTTCGTCGGCGTACACATCTCCAAGGTACTGAAAATGGTCAAACCACACTGACACCGTGGTGAAGGCGGCACGACAGCGACTCTTCAACCTCAGGAGGCTGAAGAAATCCTGCCTGTTCCCAAGGACCACTAGTCAACTACCTGCTACCCCTGTGTCCCCCCCAACTGATGTTAACCCTGCCCCCACCCCCAATGGACATTTAGAATTGTTACAGTTGTAAATATGTATATATTATTCTTATTTGTATTATTGTTTTATCTACTTCTCTTTGACCAGCCCTGTTGGAGCTCGGAGCTTAACAATTTCACTGTACCCTGCTATTACATCTGCGACCCTGTGCATGTGACTCATACATCTCATCTAATCTAATCTATAGTGATCACCACAGTCAATTTTCGTAGATGAGAGCGGATGAAGCACATGGGGAGAGAGCGAAAGAGAGAGTAGGTAAAGGAAGTAAAACGGAAGAAATGTTACCACAAACACTTATGCAGTGACGGAGACACTATGATGCTGAGGTGTGTTAAGACTAATGTGAGAGACATTTAAAATTGAGAGAGAGTGCGGGAGAGAGAGAGAGGACAGACAGTGTATTTCACTCTCTCTCTCAGACACACACACAAACACACAGAGAGATGATCATCTACCGTTGCTGTGGCTGTCTTCCTAAACCACCTCTGCTGTAACCTGTTGATTATAGAAGGCCTGTGTGCTACAAGTCACCATGGGGCCCCATGACTGCTGGTCCTGGACCAGCCTACCTCTCACTATCCTGGTTGTGCTTCTCTTCACATGGGATGCCCATGGTAAGTTACCCAGGAAAAAACAACACTTTGTATGAGGTTAAACTACAGCGTATTGTGGTTGGTTCAGTCTCAACACACAGTAAGAGAAGTGTTGCTGGTAAATAGAAGAGCAGTTGTGGTTATCTTTGAGTGAACATTGAGGTAAATATTTGAAATGTCATCCTCACATTCAAGACTTTCAGTTTTTGTCATCCTCGCAAAAAACACTTTTTTATTTGTGTGAGAGAGCTCGATGACAGAAAATAGATATCTTGTTGTAGTAAAGTAAAAAAGTAAAAATAAGAGATTAGCATGGTAGGAATATTTGTTCAAAGTCATGTTAAAGTCAATCGAGTTGTGTGCCATTGTGTGGTAGGCCTACAGCCAAGCTGTATATGATGTTATCGTTTTGTCACCTCTACTGTCCTTTCATTGATACTGGGAAGTCTGACACTCCTTGCCACTAATTGACATAACGAATGTCATTGATGGTCAGTTATACTGAGTTAAACTGATACCTTTTTGGATGTACTCAGCTCCTCAGCGACGATTATGAAGTCTGAAAGTCTTTAGGTTTGTAATAAGTTCCCCCATGGTATGATGAGGTGGTCCTATTTAGTCTGAGACAGGATGCAGCACTGAATAAGCACAGGTGGGGTTGAATCTCAGTTCCCTAGAACCTGTAGTCCCACTGTCTTTTAACTCTTCAGGATGCACTACATACTTTATGTACTATAGAGCAACCTCCCTCATTCACCAAATGGCATTCATGGCTTTCACAGAAATATCACCTTTTTCTTTCCCCTTAGAACATTTGCACAATTGTTCACATGCATTAGTTCACTATCTAGTAGTCCCCTGAAGCTCAGTTGGTAGAGCATGGCGCTTGCAACGACAGGGTTGTGGGTTCGTTTCCCACGGGGGGCCAGTATGAAAAATGTATGCACTCACTAACTGTAAGTCGCTCTGGATAAGAGTGTCTGCTAAATGACTAAATGTAAATGTATGTGAAAATGTCACTAAAATCTGTGTTTTTGTCCTTTAAAAAAAAGATCTCTGTGTATTCCCCTTCTATTAGTCATGAACATGTCACTTTCACTGATACCAAGGGGAAATTCTGATGAAGGGGAAAATCTCCTTCACCTGTCTGCAATCTTTAATCACCTCTCATCTTAGTAAACAAAATAAATATTTTCCACCACCTAGGATCCAGCTAAAGAAAGTTTAAGGCCTATCGTTGTAGCCATTATTACAATGTTCGTTTTTTTGTGTGTGGATGATTTGATATAGAGAGGATGGTTGATCTTATGGGGGACCCATTGGTCAGTTAGTGACATACTTCATTTAAATTCTTTGCAGGTCAAGATTCTGCTTGTTTCCCAGAGATTAGAGTGACACGGTACACCGTATGGAAGTCTTCACCTGGGAAACAACTGAAGATTAACTGTTCTGTTACTTTCTGTTCCTACTCACCACCATCATGGTGTAAGTTTGATGAATCAAACAAATGCAATACTGTAAATACAACAGCTCTCATTCAAACACAGTGGACCAATTTGACAAACAATACAGGGATCTCACTTCTGGTCTTCACCAGGATATCCATAGATGATACAGGTCTATACAGGTGTGAATTAAATGAAGTCTCTAAGAGTCATTCTATCAATGTTACTGTCTCAGGTAAGCAATTTCTTTAGTTTGAAATACACGTCAAACAATAACGATATGACATTAGCAATTGCCTCCCTGACCGGGTCCCAATTTGTATGTATTTCAGAGAGTGTTGAGGACACCACAGTTGTGTATCAAAAGAACGAAACAAGCAGTAAGCAAATATTTTTACTCTTCATAGCTTAGCATGCATTGCACACAGGACATAAAGGTGCTGCAGTATGAATGTACATCAAGGCACACCACAACACAATGCTATGTCACACCTAGCTCTGAAACACCGTGGTAACCAGTAACACCCTAACAGCCAGTTAAAACTAGCAACCTAGTATCCATGTTGAGTCAAACCTCCTCTTCAGGGGCGTAATTCTGATTTTGAAATGTGTGTGTGTGTAATTAGGCAGAATTATTTTGACATTGTAAACTCATTTCCTGCATTTTTATATTTTTTGGCCTATAGCTTTTATGAATTCAAATGTGTGGTTGGGGGGGCATTTCCTCCCTGTTTCGTAGTGGAAATTAGGCCTCTTTCTCTTATAGACAGTACACTGCATCTCTTTCTCTTATAGACAGTACACTGCATCTCTTTCTCTTATAGACAGTACACTGCGTCTCTTTCTCTTATAGACAGTACACTGCGTCTCTTTCTCTTATAGACAGTACACTGCATCTCTTTCTCTTATAGACAGTACACTGCGTCTCTTTCTCTTATAGACAGTACACTGCATCTCATTCTCTTATAGACAGTACACTGCGTCTCTTTCTCTTATAGACAGTACACTGCGTCTCTTTCTCTTATAGACAGTACACTGCGTCTCTTTCTCTTATAGACAGTACACTGCGTCTCTTTCTCTTATAGACAGTACACTGCATCTCTTTCTCCTATAGACAGTACACTGTATCTCTTTCTCCTATAGACAGTACACTGCATCTCTTTCTCTTATAGACAGTACACTGCGTCTCTTTCTCTTATAGACAGTACACTGCGTCTCTTTCTCTTATAGACAGTACACTGCGTCTCTTTCTCTTATAGACAGTACACTGCGTCTCTTTCTCTTATAGACAGTACACTGCATCTCTTTCTCTTATAGACAGTACCTATAGTAGCCTGGAGTGGCTGTGGCCTTATGTTTACTCCTCGGCTGGGATTGTGGTGTTTGTCACCGTGGTGATAACCGTATCCACGCTCTCAATGCGTGGTTGTAAAGGTAAGATGCTCACGATTACCATAACACATTCATATGGACGAATGATGACCATAGTAACACATTATTACAGGCTAATTACATTTACATTTTAGTCATTTAGCAGACGCTCTTATCCAGAGCGACTTACAGTGCATACATTATTTAATTTTTTCATACCCCCTGTGGGAATCGAACCCTCAACCCTGGCGTTGCAAACACCATGCTCTATCAACTGAGCTACATCCCTAATGATGACCATAGCACATTAATACAGACTAATGATGACCATAGCACATTAATACAGACTAATGATGACCATAGCACATTAATACAGACTAATGATGACCATAGCACATTAATACAGACTAATGATGACCATAGCACATTAATACAGACATTTACAGTGCCTTCGGAAAGTATTCAGACCCCTTGACTTTATCCACATTTTGTTAGTTTACAGCATTATTCTAAAATTGATTAAATGTTGTTGTTTTTTCATCAATCTGCACATAATACCCCATAATTTATAAATTTATTTAAAAATAAAACTGATTTTACATTTACATAAGTATTCAGACCCTTTACTCAGTACTTTGTTGAAGCACCATTGGCAGCGATTACAGCCTTGAGTCTTCTTGGGTATGACGCTACAAGCTTGGCACACCTGTATTTGGGGAGTTTCTCCCATTCTTCTCTGCAGATCCTCTCAAGCTCTGTCAGGTTGGATGGGGAGTGTTGCTGCACAGCTATTTTCAGGTTTCTCCAGAGATGTTCGATCGGGTTCAAGTCCGGGCTCTGGCTGGGCCACTCAAGGACATTCAGAGACTTGTCCCGAAGCCACTCCTGCGTTGTCTCGGCTGTGTGCTTAGGGTCGTTGTAATAATATAATAATAATAATAATAATAATATGCCATTTAGCAGACGCTTTTATCCAAAGCGACTTACAGTGATGCGTGCATACATTTTTGTTTATGGGTGGACCCGGGGATCGAACGCCACTACCCTGGCGTTACAAGCGCTGTGCTCTACCAGGTGAGCTACAGAGGACCACCTTCCTGTTGGAAGGTAAACCTTAGCCCCAGTCTGAGGTCCTGAGCGCTCTGGAGCAGGTTTTCATCAAGGATCTCTCTGTACTTTGCTCCGTTCATCTTTCCCTCGATCCTGACTAGTCTCCCAGTCCCTGCTGCTGAAAAACATCCCCACAGCATGATGCTGCCACCACCATGCTTCACCGTAGGGATGCTGCCAGGTTTCCTCCAGAATTGACACTTGGCATTCAGGCCAAAGAGTTCAATCTTGGTTTCATCATACCAGAGAATCTTGTTTCTCATGGTCTGAGAGTCTTTAGGTGCCTTTTGGCAAACTCCAAGCGGGCTGTCATGTGCCTTTTACTGAGGAGTGGCTTCCGCCACCATAAAGGCCTGATTGGGGGAGTGCTGCAGAGATGGTTGTCCTTCTGGAAGGTTCTCCCAACTCCACAGAGGAACTCTGGAACTCTGTCAGGGTCACCTCCCTGACCAATGCCCTTCTCCCCCGATTGCTCAGTTTGGCCGGGCGGCCAGTTTTAGGAAGAGTCTTGGTGGTTCCAAACTTCTTCCATTTAAGAATGATGGAGGCCACTGTGTTCTTGGGGACCTTCAATGCTGCAGAAATTTTTTGGTACCCTTCCCCAGATCTGTGCCTCGACACAATCCTGTCTCGGAGCTCTACGGACAATTCCTTCGACCTCATGGCTTGGTTTTTGCTCTGATATGCACTGTCAACTGTGGGACCTTATATAGACAGGTGTGTGCCTTTCCAAATCATGTCCAATGAATTGAATTTACCACAGGTGGACTCCAATCAAGTTGTAGAAACATCTCAAGGATGATCAATGGAAACAGGATGCACCTGAGCTCAATTTTGAGTCTCATAGCAAAGGGTCTGAATTCTGAATTCTTATGTAAATAAGGTATTTCTGTTTTTTATTTTTAATACATTTGCAAACATTTCTAAAAACCTGATTTCACTTTGTCATTATTGGGTATTGTGGGTAGATTGCTGAGGATTTTCTATTTATTTAATCCATTTTAGAATAAGGATTAAAACAAAATGTGGAAAAAGTCAAGGGGTCTGAATGTTGTTTTGTTCATGATTTCCTTGAAATTGCAGGTGCCTGTCCGGCCAGGCAGTCAAGGAAAGAGGAACAAACAGAGAACCAGGTCAAACAGATATACACTTTGCACATCTCCTTTTCATTTAGTCCTTTATTAGTACTCTACAGATTCTGAATGGTCTTTAATGTGTTTACAGTATGTAACATGGTGGAGTCTTTTGGTGCACTCCTTGTCTGTAAGGTCCCAGGTGTGGCCCATTATAATCAAGGTTGGGGTTTGCAAATACACAGAGTATAAAAGTTGCTTACTTGTTGTTACAGTACATGGCTATACCAATGACCCAGCTAGCATCCCCACGACCCAACCCCCAACCCCACCACAGAGGAAGCATCCGATCCCACCAAGCCCAGGACCGGCCCCAAGCCCAGGACCGGCCCCAAGCCCAGCCCCGGCCCCAAACCCAGCCCCAGGCACAAGCCCAGCCCACCCCACTGCCAGACTGTATCTATGACAACGCACCTACCAGGGGCCCACGTCGCACTCATCCGGCACCAGTCCAAGCTTCAGCCAATCAGGTAACTGTCCCGATGGACAGGGACGATACCTATAGCAACGGGAAGGAGAAAGAGGAAGACAGCGATATCATGTACGCAACGCTCAACCATCAGGTAAAGCCTCGAGCCGCGCCGTGCCCTGCACAGCCTCAGGAGGAGTGCTCAGAGTACGCAGCCATACGAGTGTCCTGAGCCCTGGAACCAGGAAGAAAACTCCTCTTCCCAGAGGGTCACAGTCCTACTGGTTTTTGTTTCTCCCTGATTACGAGAAGGGGGTCGCTGCATCCCAATATGGCGACTGGAGTATGGGTGGCTGGGTGTGTGGAAAGGGAAGTAGTGGGCGTGTGGAAAGGAGTGGGTGTGTCGAAAGGGAAGTAGTGGGCGTGTGGAAAGGAGTGGGTGTGTCGAAAGGGAAGTAGTGGGCGTGTGGAAAGGAGTGGGTGTGTCTAAAGCGCTATAGGTTAGACGGTTTTGATTGAGCTGTGTTTTTTCTCTTCCACTTCTTGCCACTCAATCAGACTGTGACACAGCTACACTCTTAAAACAAAAGGTGCTATCTAGAACCAAAAATTGTTATTTGGCTGTCCCCATAGGAGAACCCTTTGAATAACCCCTTTTGGTTCCAGGTAGAACCCTTTTGGGTTCCATGAAGAACCCTTTCCACAGACGGTTCTACATGGAATCCAAAAGGGTTCTACCTGGAACCAAAAAGGGTTCTCCTATGGGGACAGCCATAGAACCCTTTTGGAACCCTTTTTTCTACGAGTGTGCCTTACATTGAACTACCATACTGCGAGAGTTTGGACTTCTGTTTTTAAGCCAGAGGATGAGTCTGAGTGTTAGTTTTACATAAACAATTGTACATTTTCCGGTTTAAAACTGAAGATTGTTTATTTTTGATTAGAAGTATTGATGATGGGTGTACTGTTGCTTCATGGGTTGTATGCAGGTCCTTACTGTGGCTGTCACCCTGATATTGGCTACTAGGTAGCTACTTCCCACACCGTTGCCGGACAGTAGTGCCTGTCAAGCGGGAGCGAACGGTACTGTGTCCCGGTGTTGTTGTTTTTCATGTGTGCCCTCCCCATTGAGTAGTAGACTGTAGGTACTGTATGTATCAAGGTGACATCTAGATGGTTTTCAATATTAACGTAGTTACTTCTTGTGTAGGCTGCTATCCTCCTTGATATAAAATAATTTAAGAGAAAGCATTGCCACGTTAGGTACCGCCTGCGACATGACCATGACACCAGTGGCAATCGGTGCCGTTGAAGATGAGGGAGGACGATTTTTTTTCCCCATGATCATGGCCTTATTTCTATTACAGCTTATTGGATAACTGTCATTCATATTCCATTCACCCAGTTCAATGTAACATCGATAGATTTAGGCTACTACATGATACTCTACTTTTCCCTATACCCATCATGAGGTTGCTACAACCTAGCCTATGAATGAAAGTTTGCAGCGTAGGTGCAGACAGGTTGAGAGAAAAATTTGAGGTGACAGACAGTGACACATGGACAGACAGTGACACATTCTATACCGCCTTGCATGCTCTTGCCTGCAACTAGCTGATCTAGGGTGTAATCATTAGTCCAACAGTTGCAAACGAGAGTTTCTATTGGACAAATTCAGGTATGTTTATCCCCGTTTCATCCGCTTGCTTCCGTTTAAGAAACGTTTAAGAAACGTTTTTCAACAGAATTGGCAGAATGAATACACCCCTGATCACACATAAACACAGTTCACTTTCATAGCAGCCACGTTGTATTCCTTCTCGCGTCTATGCGATCTCCTCCTCTTACCTTTTCCCTTCACTTGTGGACTTTAATGCACAACACATCAGCTGTTTGTGACCAGGCGAAAAAACCTTTCCAAGCCAAACCATATCATAACTGCTACACACAGCCTACCTCATTGTCACCATATTAGCTAAAGTAATGTCATAGCTAATAGAACCAATGCATTAGTAAACATGCTACAACCATGCAGTAACATTACAGTGTAAGCAGTTTAGCAGTTACACCGGCAGGCCCCAGTGGCAAAAAATTAGTAAAACCAAAAGCTTATCATGACTTGGAAGAGTTCCAGTGTTGTGTTGGATCGTCGTAGCCAGCTAGCTAACATATCATGCCTCTGAGCCGGGTGTTCGAGTAGGCTAAACTAGCTAGCTGCATTTGCTAGCTAAGTAAGTGAAAGTGAAAGTGATTTTTTTTGGGGAAATATAGCTCTCTCTCCCTCTCTTGCTTCTTAATTTTTAAAGAAATTATTTTGTTCAAAACAAGTTCAACTATTTTCTTTCTCTCTCTTTGAGTCAACTACTCACCACATTTGATGCACTGTAGTGCTAGCTAGCTGTAGCTTATGCTTTCAGTAATACATTAATTCTCTGATCCTTTGATTGAGTGGACAACATGTCAGTTCATGCTGCAAGAGCTCTGATAGGTTGGAGGACGTCCTCTGGAAGTTGTCATAATTACTGTGTAAGTCTATGGAAGGGGGTGAGAACCATGAGCCTCCTAGGTTTTGTATTGAAGTCAATGTATCCAGAGGAGGACGGAAGCTAGCTGTCCTCCAGCTACACCATGGTGCTATATTTAGTATAGTTTTATGTATCTAAATTCACTGAGGAAGATTGTCCTCCCCTTCCTCCTCTGAGGAGCCTCCACTGCATGATACCCAGTAGGAAGTACTTCAAGTCGGCAGGCATGTCGATACAACCCCGGTGCACTGGTCCGGCTTATTGACTCGTCTTGCAGCCCAATCAGCCACATAAAACGGTATTCAGTGGCAACAAATCTGCCCAATTAGCTGATTTGCTTTCCATACAGCCAGTCCTTTCAACACACCCCCTCTCCCATACTCCGGTTGCCATATTGGGCTGCAGATATCCATACTTGGTATTATAGAAATTGATCAGTTGGCTGCCTCTGAACTTTGAACTTCCACCAATGATAATGTCAGTTTTAACTATGGTCTTTTGGGTAAAACTTTCATACAGAGGTTAATTCTTGAGACCTTCATAAAGTATTCCACAGCACTGTAATCAAGTGAAAATCAGTTGGCTGTTAACGTAACTGTGATTGATTGTTTTTTTTGTAAATAATATTTTCTGTGATTGCGTGTTACCTATTTAAACAAAGAATCAGATTTGTTTTACTATAATATAATTTTCACTGCAATATTACTATTCTCCAGTCCTTACTGTAATCAACCAGTTTAGGTGAAATCACTGTGAGTGATGATAATCCCCTGGCCTTGGGTTTAGTTGTGGTGTTACTGTCGTTATGCAGGGTGTTTTGCAGTTTACCTCTTGTGCTGGGATGTGATTAGGAGGGTTTCCTGTGCTACACAAACCAAAAACCCCACATGCTGCAGCACACTGTCACATATCCTGTGTGAAGCTGAGAGAAGCTTTCAGTGTGTGTTTGTATGTGTGTGTGTGTGTGTGTGTGTGCGTTCAAGCGTGCTCTACTGTTTCTGCATGCGTGTGTGCATGTGTTATCCCAGCTAGCACACAACGTTCTGAGAACAATATATTTCTTAGGCTTGGTGAGAGCGTGGTTGTCCTATGGTTATTTTGCACACGATCTTCCCACATTGTTCTGGGAATGTTGCAGGATACCCAGCTAGCGTATAACGTTCTGAGAACCATGTGTTTTTTTTTTGCATAAAGTTTTCTGCAGGTTTCCTCATGGTTCTATTTAAAGAAAAAATTCACCCAAAACCACTCAATCCTATAATTTACAGTGTTACATAACACTAATATGTGAGATAATAATGTTGGTAGCAACGTTATAATAATGTTGGTAGCAACGTTATAGTAATGTTGGTAGCAATGTAAATCGTTGTGGAAATCTGTTGCAGCTCAAGTCGACTAGAAAGCCGACAATGCAATGCTCTCTCTGCTGGCTGGCTAGTAGCTAGCTAGCAAATGTAGCTACACACAATAATACCAAAGTCAATATCAGCATGTGAAGTAGCTAGTTAGCTGTAAAATCGCCTAAACAAACTGCACTGTCAATTTAGGAGTCTACAATCTCACCATGTTCAACCTGCAGATCGATGTGCCTCACAGAGTGGAGTCTGACATTCGCAACGACACTACGCAATGCACCCTGGACTGACGAGGCAGACATAGGAGAAATGTGTTAGACCCTCTGTTAAATTAAACATTTCTCGAGGTTGGAATATCGCAATAATATGATCAATGGCTCATTCGAGAGAAGACAACCTCCCGAGTTATGACATCGGCCAGTATTGAAATCTGACATGTATGATAGACGTTTTTGCGATTTAAAAGTCATATTTCTATTAACTTCCAGTGTAGTGAGAGCGACTTTATCACAATGCTACGTCATACCGGCCGAATTTCTACCTGCTTGAACGGCAATAGCTCAGATACACATGAAAACATGACATGACCCAGGGAATCGATAGAACAGAGATGCACAAAAACAATATAACATAAAAAATGAGTGAATCTTTACTTTAAAGTCATGTTCTCAGAACATTAAGAAAACTTTCCATAAAAAGCACAAGCAAATATTAGTAACGTTCTAAGAATGATATTTAAAAACATATACATTCCGTTCTCAGCATCAACAAAACTCTCTCTATCCTCTATCTTGTTAAGTGTGTTCCGGTGTATTGATCTTAATCAGTTCTTGTTTCCTTTGAAATGGGGTCTGTTTGAATAGACTAAAACGAACAACTTTGTATGAGTAAAAATACATGGCATGCTAGCTCCAACTTGGTGGCGCAGTGGACTAATTCCATGGATAGAGCACAAAATATCATAGGTTCAAATCTCACTGATGAAAAAAATATGATTAATGCCTAAGCAAAACAATTTCCATGTGTCCTATCTGTGCTTGGAGTTCAAAACAGTGAATCCAAACTAAGCTAGCAGTGTTATTAAAAGTCTTATTGAAACATGTTCTCAGAATGTTATTTAATTACCTTCAAATAACCTATAATTTCCGTTCTCCGAACGATAATAAAACATCCCAGGAAAACATTCAGGGAACCATAGTAAACGTTCTCAGAACTTCCCTGCAACCTAAAAATGAACATTTCCAGAACAAGGGACATTTTCAGGAAACTTATGGCTTCCTTCGAAGTACCAATGGGAAACCAAAAACGTAAGTTCCCACGACTTCCAAGTAACCACATTTAGAGCTGGGATGTGAGTGTTTATGTGCATGCATGAGTGTGTGCTTTACCATATGTGATTGTGATCTCCTAACCATCACAAAGACACAGGGCCTTGAACAGAAACACAGGGCTGACCACAGTGTTGTGAAGTACACCTGACATGGTGGAATTGAGACTGTATGGTTTTACAGTACAGCACAGGTGTCAAACTCAATCCACGGAGGGCCGAGTGTCCGCGGGTTTTCGCTCCTTCCGTCTACTTCACTGTTAAAATAGAAAGTCTCAGAACACCATGATTGTGTAATGAAACCATGAAAAGTAGTGCACCTAAACTGAGACCTGGTGTTTGGAGGGGGTTTAAATGTAAACCCAATGTAAGCGTTTTAATACACAGAATGTGATTGTAAACAGAAATTAAGTACTCAAACACCCAAAGCGGTTCTTCAACCTGAATATTGAGAGTGTTGTGAAAACACTTTGTGGGGTTTCAGTGCATGTAAAAGGCAGCTTCAAAAAACAAAAACAGAGTTTCACATACAATCAATGGTTTATAAATGCAAATAGTTTATATCCTAAATATTGATTAACGATAAGGACCTATGGAGAATAAAAAACATATACTTAATAAAAATGAATGCAAATTGTGCAGAGCCCGAAGACCGGGGTTAAATTCCCCGCCCCAACCCTTCAATCTGTTTCTCTCACCTATCTGTATCCCCTCTGTCATTTCAGAACTGTCTCAATAAAATGTTAAAATACTCAAAAAATATATTTAAAAAAATGTATGCAGTCATATGAATTATTTCTTAATTTCATTTTACCAAAATAATGTAAGAATAAATCCAACTTAATATGTTGCTCAAAATGTCAGTGTCTTTCATGACGATAACCAAACAGAAAGAAAATGAGTGAGTGAACTCTGGTTTTAATCACCTTGCATTTTTCTATCTTGCCACGTGACTGATTTCAGAGGATTGTGGGTAAAACAATTAAAATACTTGATGATTCTTTCACACAATGGTGTATGCATGTTTGAAGAAATCCAAGTATATTTCTGTATTAGTATTAAGCTTGTGCCATGAAGTGTAATGGATGATGATGAATGAATAGCTAAACCGTCAGGCAAATTGACCTTCAATGAGGACAGCACCCATTCCCACATTTAACATTATTAATGGAAAAGGCAAGTCTAGAATCCTGGATTTCTGCAGTTCAACCTCCAGGTACTGCTGGTGGTTGGAACACTTGACAATGCCTGTCCAAAACGGTATATAATGGCAAATGATCAAATACATAACAATGTTAAAGGTTAAGCCACTTCAGAAAAAGGGATCTAATTCTGCAGTAGACCGGATTCAGAACATCAGAATGGTGTTTAGAAGCTTTAGAGAGAGGAAATGGCACCAAAAGAGAAGGTATCTAATTCTGCACTAAACAGGACTCGAAACAGCAAAATAGTGTTTTCAACCTTTTCAGTGAGTGCAGTCTCTGGCAAGGTCTTGGACAACACTTGATTAAGTTGCATTATAATCCACCATGTCATGTTTCAAAACATCTCAGGATGATGTGTTTCAATACTCCAGCAAAGTTAAGGTTTCGTCTTCGTCAAGTTGGTGGCAGCTCAGTTGCCATTAGTTTTGGCATTACAAAGCACTTAATTTTAACAGTGTTGATTGATGAATTAAGGTCCGTAATTAGTAAGGAACTCCCCTCACCTGGTTGTCTAGGTCTTAATTGAAATGAAAAACAAAAAACCTGCAGACACTAGGCCCTCCATGGAATGAGTTTGACATCCCTGCAGTACAGTATTGTAGATGAGGTGAACCCCAGGTGCACTGGTCTATTGGCCATCTGACGCCATGATTGTAAAACCAAAAGGGAACCACTTAGCTGACTGGCGTGTATAGGCCAGTAATGGGACTTTACCTCTCAATACCATCATGCACATCACAGGAGGTTGGTGGTACTTTAATTGGGGAGGACGGGCTTGTGGTAATGACTGGAGCGGAATTAGTGGAATGGTATCAAATACACCATTCCATTTACTCCGTTCCAGCCATTATTATGAGCCATCCTCCACTCAGCAGTCTCCACTGCAAGCACATACAGTACCAGACAAAAGTTTGGACACACTTACTCATTCCAGGATTTTTCTTTATTTGTACTATTTTTTACATTGTAGAATAATAGTGAAGACATCGAAACTATGAAATAACACATATGGAATCATGTAGTAACCAAAAAAGTGTTAAACAAATCAAAATATATTTTATATTTGAGATTGTTCAAAGTAGCCACCCTTTGCCTTGATGACAGCTTTGCACACTATTGGCATTAATAATATTATTGTTATTTCATAGTTTTGATGTCTTCACTATTATTCTACAATGTAGAAAATTGTTAAAATAAAGAAAAACTCTTGAATGAGTAGGTGTGTCCAAACTTTTGACTGGTGCTGTATATGGTAATGTTGTGTGTGATCACTTGCACCATAAAGGCTGTTTTGTGAACACAATCAACCCACAAGGCCTCATACTCTGACAAGACCCGTTTCATTTCTGTACTTTTATATCAATTCTAACCTGCGACTCTGCACTGTCTCCGGGTGTCTCTTGAAAAATAGATGTTTTCTATCTCAACGAGAGACTAACCAGGTTAAATAAAGGTTAAATACTTTTTAAATAAGTGTTAACCCTTCCATGGTGCTGTTTGTATAAGATACTGCTTTCCTGTTCTCTCACTGAATGTACTGTAACATAACTGAAATGATGATTGCCATTGAATGGCTATTTAAAATTATTTGACCTTTTATCAAATATGTGTTGTTGCTTTTTTAAAATTATTATTCAATAAATATATTATATTTTCTGAACGGCGAACTGTCCTAAATGATGAACTGTACATGAATTAGGATGAAACTATGTATTTTGTTTTATTTAACTGCATCTCAACTGCATATACAGTAAACCTGATTATTAGGCCTATGTGTTCTTTCCCAACCAAGACGTCAACGACATTTAAGACCCTCAGATAGGGAAGCATCAATTCCTCTAAAAGACCATGCTCCCCCATGCTGAACGTCTCAACATCCCACCGAATACGGGAAATGAGCCATTTATGTTCAGAACAGTAATCCAAAACTTAGACCACGTAGTGATTCTCTGGTCTCAACTACTTCAGTCACGTGGCTTGAGGTGGACGTAGGTTGTTCCCGCCACCTCTCTGTGGTCTGTGAGTGGAACAAACTGTTGAAGCCTGACTCTGTGATAGCACCCT